TTACAGGTCCACACAATACCCACACAACACAAAGATCCACACAATACCCACACAACACAAAGATCCACACAATACCCACACAACACTTACAGGTCCAAACAATACCCAAACAACACAAACATCCACACAATACCCACACAACACAAAGATCCATACAGTACCAACACAACACAAAGATCCACACAATACTCACACAACACTTACAGGTCCACACAATACCCACACAACACAAAGATCCACACAATACCCACACAACACTTACAGATCCACACAACACTTACAGGTCCACACAATACCCACACAACACAAAGATCCACACAATACCCACACAACACTTACAGGTCCACACAATACCCACACAACACAAACATCCACACAATACTCACACAACACAAAGATCCACACAGTGCCCACACAACACTTACAGATCCACACAATACCCACACAACACAAAGATCCACACAGTGCCCACACAACAAAAAGATCCACACAATACCCACACAACACTTACAGGTCCACACAATACCCACACAACACAAACATCCACACAATACTCACACAACACAAAGATCCACACAATACCCACACAACACAAAGATCCACACAATACCCACACAACACAAAGATCCATACAGTACCAACACAACACAAAGATCCACACAATACTCACACAATACTTACAGGTCCACACAATACCCACACAACACAAACATCCACAATACCCACACAACACTTACAGATCCACACAATACCCACACAACACTTACAGGTCCACACAATACCCACACAACACAAAGATCCACACAATACCCACACAACTTTTACAGGTCCACACAATACCCACACAACACAAACATCCACACAATACTCACACAACACAAAGATCCACACAGTGCCCACACAACACTTACAGATCCACACAATACCCGCACAACACAAAGATCCACACAGTGCCCACACAACAAAAAGATCCATACAATACCCACACAACACAAAGATCCACACAATACCCACACAACACTTACAGATCCACACAATACCCACACAACACTTACAGGTCCACACAATACCCACACAACACAAAGATCCACACAATACCCACACAACACTTACAGGTCCACACAATACCCACACAACACAAACATCCACACAATACTCACACAACACAAAGATCCACACAGTGCCCACAAAACACTTACAGATCCACACAATACCCACACAACACAAAGATCCATACAATACCCACACAGCACAAAGACCCACACAGTACCCACACAACACAAAGACCCACACAATACCCACACAACACTTACAGGTCCACACAATACCCACACAATACCCACACAACACAAACATCCACACAATACCCACACAACACAAAGATCCACACAGTACCCACACAACAATTACAGGTCCACACAATACCCACACAACACAAACATCCACACAATACTCACACAACACAAAGATCCACACAGAGCCCACACAACACTTACAGATCCACTAAATACCCACACAACACAAAGATCCACACAGTACCCACACAACACTTACAGATCCACACATTGCCCACACAACACAAAGAATCACACAATACCTACACAACACAAAGACCCACACTGTACCTACATAACATATAAATGCCCACACAGAACCACAACACAAATAACCTCCTCAGTTCTCATATATGATTGAGATTTTACCCTATTTCCATATTTCATTTCAGAATATTTCGTTGTCTTGCTGTTGATGATAAATGGAATTGGGCAACAGGCAGAGCCTATGAAAACCCTATATCCATTTGACTGAGATTGATCCTATATCCGTATGACTGAGATTTTTGCCCTATATCCGTATGAGTGAGATTTTACCCTATATCCGTATGACTGAGATTTTACCCTATATCCGTATGATTGAGATTTTACCCTATATCCGTATGATTGAGATTTTACCCTATATCCGTATGATTGAGATTTACCCTATATCCGTATGACTGAGATTTATCCTATATCCGTATGATTGAGATTTTACCCTATATCCGTATGACTGAGATTTTACCCTATATCCGTATGATTGAGATTTTACCCTATATCCGTATGATTGAGATTTACCCTATATCCGTATGACTGAGATTTATCCTATATCCGTATGATTGAGATTTTACCCTATATCCGTATGACTGAGATTTTACCCTATATCCGTATGATTGAGATTTATCCTATATCTGTATGATTGAGATTTACCCTATATCCGTATGATTGAGATTTATCCTATATCCGTATGATTGAGATTTTACCCTATATCCGTATGATTGAGATTTTACCCTATATCCGTATGACTGAGATTTTACCCTATATCCGTATGATTGAGATTTTATCCTATATCCGTATGATTGAGATTTTATCCTCTATCCGTATGACTGAGATTTTACCCTATATCCGTATGATTGAGATTTTACCCTATATCCGTATGACTGAGATTTTACCCTATATCCGTATGAGTGCGATTTTACCCTATATCCGTATGAGTGAGATTTTACCCTATATCCGTATGAGTGAGATTTACCCTATATCCGTATGAGTGAGATTTTACCCTATATCCGTATGACTGAGATTTTACCCTATATCCGTATGAGTGAGATTTATCCTTTATCCGTATGAGTGAGATTTTATCTTATATCCGTATGACTGAGATTTTACCCTATATCCGTATGAGTGATATTTACCCTATATCCGTATGACTGAGATTTTACCCTATATCCGTATGATTGAGATTTTACCCTATATCCGTATGAGTGAGATTTACCCTATATCCGTATGATTGAGATTTTACCCTATATCCGTATGATTGAGATTTTATCCTATATCCGCATGATTGAGATTTATCCTACATCCGTATGATTGATATTTATCCTATATCCGTATGATTGAGATTTATCCTATATCCGTATGATTGAGATTTACCCTATATCCGTATGATTGAGATTTATCCTATATCCGTATGATTGAGATTTTACCCTATATCCGTATGATTGAGATTTTACCCTATATCCGTATGACTGAGATTTTACCCTATATCCGTATGATTGAGATTTTATCCTATATCCGTATGATTGAGATTTTATCCTCTATCCGTATGACTGAGATTTACCCTATATCCGTATGATTGAGATTTATCCTATATCCGTATGATTGAGATTTATCCTATATCCGTATGATTGAGATTTACCCTATATCCGTATGATTGAGATTTATCCTATATCCGTATGACTGAGATTTATCCTATATCCGTATGATTGAGATTTACCCTATATCCGTATGATTGAGATTTACCCTATATCCGTATGATTGAGATTTATCCTATATCCGTATGATTGAGATTTTACCCTATATCAGTATGACTGAGATTTTACCCTATATCCGTATGATTGAGATTTTATCCTATATCCGTATGATTGAGATTTTATCCTCTATCCGTATGACTGAGATTTTACCCTATATCCGTATGATTGAGATTTTACCCTATATCCGTATGATTGAGATTTTACCCTATATCCGTATGACTGAGATTTTACCCTATATCCGTATGAGTGCGATTTTACCCTATATCCGTATGACTGAGATTTTACCCTATATCCGTATGAGTGAGATTTACCCTATATCCGTATGGGTGAGATTTTACCCTATATCCGTATGACTGAGATTTTACCCTATATCCGTATGAATGAGATTTATCCTTTATCCGTATGAGTGAGATTTTATCTTATATCCGTATGACTGAGATTTTACCCTATATCCGTATGAGTGAGATTTACCCTATATCCGTATGACTGAGATTTTACCCTATATCCGTATGATTGAGATTTTACCCTATATCCGTATGAGTGAGATTTTACCCTATATCCGTATGAGTGAGATTTTACCCTATATCCATATGACTGAGATTTTACCCTATATCCGTATGAGTGAGATTTACCCTATATCCGTATGAGTGAGATTTTATCTTATATCCGTATGACTGAGATTTTACCCTATATCCGTATGATTGAGATTTATCCTATATCCGTATGATTGAGATTTTATCCTATATCCGTATGATTGAGATTTTACCCTATATCCCTATATCCGTATGATTGAGATTTTACCCTATATCCGTATGACTGAGATTTTACCCTATATCCGTATGACTGAGATTTATCCTATATCCGTATGACTGAGATTTTACCCTATATCCGTATGATTGAGATTTTACCCTATATCCGTATGACTGAGATTTTACCCTATATCCCTATATCCGTATGATTGAGAATTTACCCTATATCCGTATGACTGAGATTTTACCCTATATCCGTATGACTGAGATTTATCCTATATCCGTATGATTGAGATTTTACCCTATATCCGTATGAGTGAGATTTTACCCTATATCCGTATGATTGAGATTTTACCCTATATCCGTATGATTGAGATTTTACCCTTTATCTGTCACCGCACTAGAGTACCAGTAGTACCTTGCTATACACTATTGCTCTAATAATACAGGACTAGTCCAGTAGAACCTCCACATAGAAGTTATCGAAATGTTCCCCTACAGCATGTACCTGGGAAACCCTGCAGTATCCCCTCTACACCTGTGTTTCCCTTGTGTGTACATTTGCCCTTCCTCATCCTTTCATCGCTGCCATTAGTCCGTGAACTGAGCTGGCTACACGTTAGATGTGATTGACGATGAAAGGTTGGACGAGTCAAGAAGGGTTATCGCCACCGTCTCCCGTGCATGTATGCTTCTTGGACGTATAAAATGTGTGTATGATAATTTAAGCAGACTTGTGCGAATGTTCATTAACCAGGCGCGTTCGTCTACATACTTGGCAGTAACCGGAATCTACCGGAAGTGTTCTGACGACACAGCTAATAACTCGGTACGTCTCCGTGAGGGACTCATATTAGCCCTTACTATACACTAGCACAGGGTGGTCGAGAAAACTACCGCAACAACTAAAAAGCCTTGGTTATGGTTCTGTGAAAAAACACATATCAGTGTGGATGTTCACATACAAACAAATGGATCACTTTTACAAGGTAAGTGCACACGTGCGTACCCTAACAACTTCTTTTCGTTTATTTGGAACAGCTGTCTTACAGCTCCAAGTGCATGTTGATTTCTTCCAATACTCACATTTCTTTGAAATAAATACTCCCAACTTTGGTTACTTAATATTAAAAATTTACAATTGTATGTGATTATATTAATATTATATACTATTAATACTAAATACCCGCAACACTTAGCTAGCTGCTACATATTGGATACTTCAAACGATGTACACTTACAATATTTCACCCATAAGGCTTATTGTAAGCAACTCGCTTTCTAAAAACTAAAACCTACTCTCAACTTTAAGAATTATGTTTAAGAGTAAGCTACTACTAAATATTACAAATTTGCTCCAAATATTCAAAATTAAATTCAACAGATAAATCTTCAAAAACTTGCTACTAAATTTGTAAAAAATTTTACTAAATATTTAAGATTTATCACAAAACTTTTAAACTTTTCTAGTAAATATTCAAAATTTATTGCAAAACATTTGATTTTTTCTAGTAAATATTCAGAATTAACAAAATGTTGAAAAAATTGCCACTAAATATTCAAAGTTAACTGTGAATTATCTGAACATTTATTCTGAATATTCAATAATTGCAGTAACAGATATATGTATTGGTAACGCTAACACTAGACAAATTTGTGCTAATTCTCAGGCCACTCAATACTACATACTTATTCTCATAGAATGAAGAATCAATTGTTTGTTATTGACTATGCAGAGGAAAATTGATAAAAGTACAATTTACTGCTTGTTCCGTATTGGTAATCATGATATGTTTTCTTTGAACATTTTACCACGCGTCATTACATGCGTTTGGTTGGCGTGTATTGGGTGGGCATTTAAAACGATTTGATTATGACGTAATTAGATCTGTAGGTCTGACGTTTCTAAAGACCGTTCTGGCTCCGTAATAAATTCGTAAATAATGGTTATTTGGGTTTTTAACTAAATGTCGTATACATCACATCGAAATGTTTTGGGTTTTGTTTTCTAATTCACTGAAGTCTTGGTTTAACTATAAATTAGGCCGTACACATTTTATATGAGTTTACAATTTCAGATGACTGTTTTGTTATCTTTATTTCACATTGACACCTAAAACATAAACGGCGATGTGGACAGACCAACTCTCCATCAAATGCAGTTCTAAAAGTAGAAATATCTCCAGAATATTTGTTTTTGAGCCTGTGAACTTGGTCAATCGTTGATGTCTGGGATCGAACCCTAGATGGTATTACCAGCTTACCGTAACGTGATACACCGCTGGAGGTTACTAGACAATACAAAACTTTTTTTCAACTTTTGGACATCCTTGTCGTTATCCTTTCAAAATAAATAAATAAACTTTATTTATTTTACAACAATTGCGAAACAAGATATTTCAACTTATACTAATCACTCTTGTTGGCCTGGATGTAAGCGTGAGAGGGGTCTTATTTAGTACCGGAGTACCCGGAGAAAACCCACGTGGTCGGACAGGTGACCTTTACTATACTTTCTATACGCTTTTGGTATCCTAACTCAAGTATCCTCCATAGTTCACCCTACCCCTTCCTCAACACACAAAGTATCCTCTAAAGTTCTCCCACCCCTTCCTCAACACACAGAGTATCCTCTAAAGTTCTCCCACCCCTTCCTCAACACACAGGGTATCCTCTAAAGTTCTCCCCACCCCTTCCTCAACGCACAAAGTATCCTCCAAAGTTCTCCCACCCCTTCCTCAACACACAAAGTATCCTCCATAGTTCACCCTACCCCTTCCTCAACACACAAAGTATCCTCCATAGTTCACCCTACCCCTTCCTCATCACACAAAGTATCCTCCATAGTTCACCCTACCCCTTCCTCAACACAGAGTATCCTCTAAAGTTCTCCCACCCCTTCCTCAACACACAAAGTATCCTCTAAAGTTCTCCCACCCCTTCCTCAACACACAGAGTATCCTCTAAAGTTCTCCCACCCCTTCCTCAACACACAGAGTATCCTCTAAAGTTCTCCCACCCCTTCCTCAACACACAGAGTATCCTCTAAAGTTCTCCCACCCCTTCCTCAACACACAGAGTATCCTCTAAAGTTCTCCCACCCCTTCCTCAACACACAGAGTATCCTCTAAAGTTCTTCCCACCCCTTCCTCAACACACAAAGTATCCTCTAAAGTTCTCCCACCCCTTCCTCAACACACAGAGTATCCTCTAAAGTTCTCCCACCCCTTCCTCAACACACAGAGTATCCTCTAAAGTTCCCCCACCCCTTCCTCAACACACAGAGTATCCTCTAAAGTTCTCCCACTCCTTCCTCAACACACAAAGTATCCTCCAAAGTTCTCCCCACCCCTTCCTCAACACACAAAGTATCCTCCAAAGTTCTCCATACCTCTTCCTCAACACACAAAGTATCCTCCATAGTTCACCCTACCCCTTCCTCAACACACAAAGTATCCTCTAAAGTTCTCCCACCCCTTCCTCAACACACAGAGTATCCTCTAAAGTTCTCCCACCCCTTCCTCATCACACAAAGTATCCTCTAAAGTTCTCCCTACCTCTTCCTCAACACACAAAGTGTCCTCCAAAGTTCTCCCACCCCTTCCTCAACACACAGAGTATCCTCTAAAGTTCTCCCACCCCTTCCTCAACACATAAAGTATCCTCCAAAGTTCTCCCACCCCTTCCTCAACACACAAAGTATCCTCTAAAGTTCCCCCACCCCTTCCTCAACACAGAGTATCCTCTAAAGTTCTCCCACCCCTTCCTCAACACAGAGTATCCTCTAAAGTTCTCCCACCCCTTCCTCAACACAGAGTATCCTCTAAAGTTCTCCCACCCCTTCCTCAACACAGAGTATCCTCTAAAGTTCTCCCCACCCCTTCCTCAACTCACGAAGTGTCCTCCAAAGTTCTCCCCACCCCTTCCTCAACACACAAAGTATCCTCCAAAGTTCTCCCACCCCTTCCTCAACACACAAAGTATCCTCTAAAGTTCTCCCCACCCCTTCCTCAACACACAGAGTATCCTCTAAAGTTCTCCCACCCCTCCTCAACACACAAAGTATCCTCCAAAGTTCTCCCCACCCCTTCCTCAACACATAAAGTATCCTCCAAAGTTCTCCCCACCCCTTCCTCAACACACAAAGTATCCTCCAAAGTTCTCCATACCTCTTCCTCAATACACAAAGTATCCTCTAAAGTTCTCCCCACCCCTTCCTCAACACATAAAGATTTGTGATTGTATTATACTTATTCCCGTTACAACAGTGAGTAATCTGCTTAAGTGCACACCGACAGAGAAAACTCTTCTGAAAAGTAAGTCTGATATTGTGATAGGAATCCACAAGTCAAGTGCCTTTATTTCCGGTCTAGACACTTCATCATTGTTACGTCGGTAAACCGGAAGTTGCTGATGGTGGGACGATTGCTAAGATGACTTACTATCGAGTATTCGCAAACATCACAGACCTTTGCTTCTTTTTTTACATCATTGCGGATAATAGTTTTATGTCTAGTGACACTTGTTTAAAATCTTAAACTCAATTAACATTTCGTAATTATGGTTTCGGAAAATCAATGACCTTAATAATTGAAAAATCGGATTAGAGCACTGGTTGCAATCTTTCAATATTAATTCCAAAAATAGACTGCCACGAAAAATAAAATAAACTTAAATAGTTTACACTAAGTTTGTGAGTTTACGAAAGCCTGCTCTATATAGCTATTGTTACGGCCAGCTTAGGGCTTGAGGTCTATGTAATAACTTTACGTAAATACCGATGTTGTTTTACCCCTCAAAGACTTTACTTATGTCAGTTTCTGAAAATTTGAAACTATAGTGATGTGGCAAACGAGATCTTACTATTTTATCCCCTAATAATACTTTCATTGAGTCGTGTTTAGTTGCATTTTTTAAATCAATACAAAATATGAACGAAGACATGATTATCATATAAAGTTATTTTCCATTCGCGACGTGGACATGTTTAACCATGTTTATGGTCTTCGTAATGAGCAAATTGACGAATGCCGCAATAAAACAACATATAAACATGCATGTTTGAAGGAAGTGATGACGTCACATCCTAGTGGTGCTATGTAAATCACGTACGGACAACGTATACTATATGCGCCAGTTGGAACGAGGGTGTCGAGGACAGGGGATGGGGAATGAGATATGACGGGAAACATGGTGAAGCAGTTAGCGTCAACAGGTTTCGGGGATTGTCGGTTAACACGCACAAGAACATGATTCACTTGACAGGCGAGAAAAGGGGATAGCATTTCTCGTGTGGAGAACGTACCGTTATGTCACTGTTAATATACCCTAGGCATTCTGAATAGTATAGATCCTTGATATCAACGTGTTACCAAAATAACATTGTTTAACACACAAACCCCTCCTGTTATCATGTACATGCCTTACATTAAAATTGATTTCAAATTCCCCCAATCATCTTGTTCATAATGCAATATAAGCGTTACCGAAATAGCATTGTTAAGACAAACAACCCTCGGTAACCGTAGCGCAAACAACCCGTGTTCATTACTATTATCCTCATCACAAAACATTGAACAGATAATGAAAAATCGCTTTTTAAATATAAAACCCGTGTTTTAAAGCAAGCAATTTTATTTACCAGCATCCCGTGTCTTGCAATAGTCCGTAGGGCCCTGACTATCTGTCCGCGATTTTATTTTTGTTTTGTGTTTCGTTTTTATTTTTGTCATGGTCGAGGTCGATATCGACCGCCACCAAGACGAAAATGAAATCGCAGTTCGATAATAAGCACCTTCCGGACTATTGTGACAACCGGAAAAAGGCCCGTGTTACATAAGCAATCCGAAACTTAAACAATCCGTTTTACACAGGTTACGATAAATACTAACGGCATGTGTCACTTACACCGGAAACTCGAAACGAACAATTCGTGTTATTCTAGTAAAACTAAACACAAGCCTCACGTGTTAAACTAGCAATCCGAAACACAAACCAACCGTGTTACAATAGGTAGCAGTACAGTTTTTCGGTGTGGCCATGGGAGATTTTTTTTTGTTCATTAGATTACCCCATTATAAAGGTTTTAATTAAAATTGAAACAATAAATCCTTGCTAAAATTGGTCTTGTCATGTTAAAGTGAACAATGTAGGGTTTCATTCTTTTCAGAATAATGTTTTAGCTTTGTGTTGGGAATTACTATTTAGGTAGTCTCGAATCTGTGTCTACGCACCAAAAACTAGCTTTACAGGAAGTGAAATTTTCATAGTGTTTACATGTGGTCATGTTATGAAGGATTTCCCAGTTGGAATTTGCTGAAATGTAAGTACTTTGTTACCATGACAGTGTTGTTGATTGTAAGATAGGTGTTTAGAATTAAATGTCTTCTAGAAAATTGTAGTGTTAGTTTGGAATTAGCAATATTTTTGCATTTTTAGCATTTTTTCAGGTAACCATGACAATCAAATATCAGAAATCAGAGGAAATTTTTGATATACACAAATTTCATCTTTCTACTATAAATGAAATTGTTATGTAGTTTATAAATATATATACATGTAATGATGTATTTTTCATAACCAATCTGCAATACCTGTATATCTCAAACATGACCAATAATTTCAGGAAAAATGCAAATTAACTGTTTCCTGCTACCAATAACAACCCAAAATAAACCACCCGTGTTATGCTAGCAATCCGAAACACAAACCCCCCGTGTTACAATAACAGCCCGAAACAAACCATCCACGTTACACTTGAAACCCAAACCACACAACTCGAGTCACACCAGCAACTCAAAACAAATAACCTATGTCTAGTCGGCAACCTGAAATACTCGTGTAACATCCCTTGATAGTAAACATTCGCTGCTTGTACAAGTAAGATAAAATCACCCATGTACTTCATTATGTAACCTCGTATACAGGACTTGCTGCTATTTATACGCGTGATTACAATCACAATGGGAGTTCAGTAAACCGGTACTTAAGGTCTACTATTGTGCAGCTTCAGAGAATTTCTTTATTGGCTTGAAATGGAATGAAGGTGAATTGGAACTAAAATTTACTTATATAATTGGCGGTAAATATATACACGTGTATGATCACTGGTATCCAAATCTGGAATAATAAAGACTTCCGGGTTAGTGAGACTGATATAAACAAGATCTCCCACAGCGTTTTATAATTTTCCATCTGTGATAAATCTGTTGAAACTGAAAAATAACAAAAACCAACAAAAAGTAATCTAAAGAATCTAGTGATTCTGATTCCAGTTAATTTGAACAAAATGTTTATTAAAAGTTCCAACTGACGTAGCCGTGTGACTTGTTCACCTAAAATAATGTTTCTAAGTTGAAGCTCTATTTCATATAAAGTCGATTGCCAAAAAGCACAGAAGATTATATTTGACATTCCATAACTATAGACTAGAACAAAGAAAGGTCTGGTATTGTTTATCTATGGCACATCATACACCTATGTTTGTGAACTTTCGTGCATGTCTTGGAACAACACTGGGCTAATTTGTTTGAAGGAAGACTTGATCAACAGGTTAACTGAAATATTCATTCATTAATTTTCATTTTCATTTATCTATTCATTCATTCATTCATTCATTCATTCATTCATTTATTGAAAATTCACAGAAATCAAAATGCTTTTAGTCTGCAACGTATTACTTTGAGCCCTTAGATACAATTTTTAGATTTCAGTTTTATCATTATTTTAAAAAAGATAATATTAAAACAATTTTGTGTTCTTATTCATTAACCTGCTTATGCCTGGGACCTTTTCTAATTCACATGAGTCTTATGACTTGGTGCGGACGTCCACTCCGAGAACTCCACCTGCCCGTGCAGTGTATTGACTTAGGTCTCCTTCATTGCAACCTCTCAGTTGTAGTTTAAAAGCACGCTTGGTGTACAAAATTGGGCATTGCACACTAATTTAACCAAGTTTCAATGGTGGGTGTGGTTACCCGCTAAGTAGTTGGGCGTTACACATAAAAGTAAATGCATTACAATATTGGATGGAATTACGAGGCACCTATTGATGTAACTGGGTTAACGTAGTGGGCGGTACAATAATCTTACAGGGTTACAACAGTGGGAAGGGTTTCCAGAGACATATATAACACATAAATTTGATATATACGCCTCTGGTATTACCAAAGTGGGCGGTACAATAATCTTACAGGGTTACAACAGTGGGTATGGTTTCCAAAGTGGGCGGTACAATAATCTTACTGGGTAACAACAGTGGGAAGCGTTACCAAAGTGGGCGGTATACTAATCTTAAATGGTTACAACAGTGGGTAGGGTTAACAAAGTGGGCGGTACAATAATCTTACAGGGTTACAACAGTGGGTATGGTTTCCAAAGTGGGCGGTACAATAATCTTACCGGGTTACAACAGTGGGTATGGTTTCCAAAGTGGGCGGTACCCACTAAATGAGACAGAATTAATGTTGTAATTACACCTTTACTAGTATACAGTTTTCCATGAAGTTGATTTTTATCTTCATAAATAACTTGTGTTTGCTTGTTACAGCTATCAGTGAGCCTGGTCCTTCTATTAGGGGCGTGGTTAGTTATGGTCTCTGCTGCAGGTGAGTCAAATGTCACATTCGTGAATAAATACAGTATGTGAAATATTAGTTCATATACTTGGATAAGTCTTCCAAAAGTATGAAATGCTGTAATACGGAATTCGCTAATGTAAATGCACTTCGATACAAGCGATGTAACAGCAACACAAGTTTCATAGCAAATGATATAACTGACATGTTTTGTCCATTAATGTTACCGTAAACCATTACAGCAAGATGTCTTATATGTCTTGTCGCATTTAAATCAGGTACATGTAAAATTTAAGGATTTAAGCAAACATCGCAGATTGCATTCAGTGAAAGTATTGACAACACAGTATACTATTGCGCAAATCTACTAGCCATGCATAAGTATCGATAAATGCAAATATTAGAATCGACACAAACATTCAGATGAGTAAGATTATTTCGTGACTATGCAATGTATTTGTAAATATTTTTAAATAACCTGATTATAAAATTAGAATTCATTGTTAGAAAAAAATGCACATGCTAAGTAAATGTAACACTGCTATACTTTAGGACAATATTAATAAAATTTCTGCTGAATAATTAAGATGATGACATAATTCCCAGGCCTCAAATACATTAATTTTCACGAAATCCATCACATTTAGCAATATAAATATATATATTTCTGTTGTTCTGTTAAGATAACTTAGATTATGGTATGGATGAAAAATATATTACAAACGAAAAATCAGCATGGTCGAGTAGATCAAAGTGAAATCATTTACTAAAAGGGAAAAGGAATTTTTGATTAAAAGAAAAACTAAATTGACCGGTATTTAATTAAGTTTTAAGAAATGATTATGTGATAAAATGTACCAGGTCCTACGAATTTATTAGATGAGGTTCACCCCTAGAAAGTAAAATATGCTGGTGAAATATTATCGCTTCTGTCTTGTTGAATTTGTTTCTTTATTAATGTTAAACGTGTTCATTGGGCAGGTCATGGTCAGGGATATGGTCTCCATCTTGGATCTTCAAACAGTCAAGGAGGAGACAGAGATGAAGGTTTGTGGAATATATATTTTGTATTGACAAATAATATAGAAGATACCTTATTTTCAATGTTTATTTTACATATTTAGGCCCTTAGCATCACTGACGAGTCCTGCAAGGGCGATAGTTTAATTCATGGTTTGGCTCCATTGTATCTAAGTTATTAAAATTTGTTATTTACTTGTGTGTCTTTGGTACAATCTTGTATATTGTATATACTTCAATGCGAAATAAAATCATTATAGCTGAAAAGTAATAAGTCAGAGTAAACAACAACACTGTATTTAGTCTATAAAACATGCAAAATGGGTGGCGTAATAAATAGGCATAGTATAAGACTTGTGATGAGGCATCAAGAAGGACGATAAATACATTAAAACAGTTATTATTGCTTATATTTTACCTTCATGTTGCATGTCACTGCCTTAGCAATATAATTTTAAAGAGAAGGATGATATTTACTTAAAATTTAAAACGTCATGTGTGAATAAATAGTTTAAAAGTTTTAGATTAAGTTCAGTTCGATATTAATATAATGTGTTTTAAAAAGTACAATGAACGCGGTTCAGATGACAATGACAACAATAATCTCGAATGCTCAAAGGATGCAGCGGGCTTAAAAGAATAATGATAAAAACTTATACCGATACCGATCCTACTGATCTTGTGATGATATACACTTGAACATGTACCCGTTACTCCGGATTCAGTGATCCCAATCCTACTGACCCTGTAATGATATACACTTGTAAATGTACCCGTTACTCCGGAATCAGCGTTACCGATCATACTGACCTTGTAATGATATACACTTGAACGTGTACCCGTTACTCCGGAATCAGCGGTACCGATCCTACTGATCTTATGATGATATACACTTGTACATGTACCCGTTACTCCGGAATCAGCGGTACCGATCCTACTGATCTTATGATGATATACACTTGAACATGTACCCGTTACTCCGGAGTCAGCGGTACCGATCTTACTGATCTTGTAATGATATACACTTGAACATGTACCCGTTACTCCGGAGTCAGCGGTACCGATCTTACTGATCTTGTAATGATATACACTTGAACGTGTACCCGTTACTCCGGAATCAGCGGTACCGATCCTACTGATCTTATGATGATATACACTTGAACATGTACCCGTTACTCCGGAGTCAGCGGTACCGATCTTACTGATCTTGTGATGATATACACTTGAACATGTACCCGTTACTCCGGAATCAGCGTACCGATCCTACTGATCTTGTGATGATATACACTTTCGCCTTTACCCTTTAGTCCGGAATCAGCGATACCGATCCTATCGATCTTGTAATTATATACACTTTCGCCTTTACCCTTTAGTCCGGAATCAGCTGTACCGATCCTACTGATCTTGTAATGACATACACTTGTACATGTACCCGTTACTCCGGAATCAGCGGTACCGATCCTATCGATGTTGTGATGATATACACTTGTAAATGTACCCGTTACTCCGGAATCAGCGGTACCGATCCTATCGATCTTGTAATTATATACACTTTCGCCTTTACCCGTTACTCCGGAATCAGCTGTACCGACCCTGTCGATCTTGTAATGAGATTCTTTTGTACGTGTATCCATAATTCGTGAATCAGCGATACCAATCCTAGTAATCTTGTACATGTACCCGTTACTCCGGAATCAGCGGTACCGATCCTATCGATGTTGTGATGATATACACTTGTAAATGTACCCGTTACTCCGGAATCAGCGGTACCGATCCTATCGATCTTGTAATTATATACACTTTCGCCTTTACCCGTTACTCCGGAATCAGCTGTACCGACCCTGTCGATCTTGTAATGAGATTCTTTTGTACGTGTATCCATAATTCGTGAATCAGCGATACCAATCCTAGTAATCTTGTACATGTACCCGTTACTCCGGAATCAGCGGTACCGATCCTATCGATGTTGTGATGATATACACTTGTAAATGTACCCGTTACTCCGGAATCAGCGGTACCGATCCTATCGATCTTGTAATTATATACACTTTCGCCTTTACCCGTTACTCCGGAATCAGCTGTACCGACCCTGTCGATCTTGTAATGAGATTCTTTTGTACGTGTATCCATAATTCGTGAATCAGCGATACCAATCCTAGTAATCTTGTAGTGATTGACGCTTAAATATTTACCCATCACACCGGAATCAGCTGTACCTGTCCTACTGATCCTGCAATAATATACAATTGTACCTTTATTCGTTACTCCGGAATCAGTGATTTCGGTCCTACTGATCCTATAGTGATATTCACTCGTACCTGTACCCCTTACTCCGAAATCGACGGTACCGATGTCATTGTTATTGTTTTGGCCATCAGTCTTCTGCCATAATCGTTAGATATTTCCACTCCCATTTTTTTTACTTTGTAGGCAACATAATGTACCTATGCCCCATTCTTTCTTATTTCAGTTTGCGACACTCAGTGCGAGATAAATGGGATGAAATTCGACGGCAACAGTGACTTCAGCTTGAGGAATGGATGTATCGAGTACTCTAAATGTCGTTGTTTTTGTGACGGTAATTGGCGTTGCTATGACGGTATAGATCTGTGTAACCCTGCCAACAACGCACCCGATCCTAACGCGTGTCGAGAGTGTGAAGTCAACGGAATCTACTATCCCAGCAACAGTGCGTTTGACTACCGTCGGGGATGTGAAGAGCTCACCGGATGTTACTGTCGATGTAACGGATCATGGACGTGTCAGACTGCAAGAAACACATGTCCTAATCGTCAGACTGGCTCGCGAGGCACCAACTATCGAACAGGCTCAAGGACAGAGTATTCAAGCTCATCTTCATCTGGAGGCAATACCGGTCAATTGTCCAATAGAGATGTTGATTCATCGGTTTCTGATACAAACTCAGGGACTTTTTCATCGTCTTCATCAGGTAGAAATACTGGGTCATCATCATCGTCTTCATCAGGGAGAAATACTGGGTCATCATCATCATCGTCTTCATCGTATTCTTATACGTCATCTTCTTCGAGACAGCGAACGTCGTCGTCATCTTCATCAAGTGGATCAGGTGTTGGGGTATCCTTGGGATCACAAGGCGGGAATTGCAATACAAACTGTTTAGTGAACGGCCAGGAAATTCCACCAAACTCTTATTTTAAGTACACAAACAGTTGTATCGAGTACCAATCATGTTACTGTAGTTGTACTGGGTTCTGGCAATGCTCCGCAGAGACGGGGATCAACACGTGCTCAGATTCAGACTCACGTGCTGATCTCGGTCAGGGCGTGTTCACAGGTCGCCGGGACCAGCGAGGCTGCTTGTCCTGTGACGTCCATGGAACGTTCCACTCACCAGATACTTCATTTACCTACCGGAACGGTTGCGTGGAATGGCAAGACTGCCGTTGTGAATGTGATGGTGGATGGCAATGTCAGCCTAACCGTGCTAAGTGGATCTGTGAAAATGTCTGCCGACAGTGCGAAGTAGAAGGTCAGATGTATGACGGCAATACGGAATTTGTGTATCGAAAGCAGCAAGAATGTATCGAATATGACCCATGCATCTGTAATTGTGACGGTTCGTGGAACTGTCCGGCTGAAAACGGCCGTTGGATATGCACCGATCGTTGTCTACAGTGTGACGTTGAGGGGCGAACGTACGAGGGAGGTACAAACTTTAAACTGCGTGAGGATTGCTGGGAGTGGGACCCATGTATTTGTAGCTGTAACGGTTCTTACCGCTGTCCCAAGGAGAACGCCAAATGGGTTTGTACTGATCGTTGCCTAACGTGTGACGCTAAGGGAAGTATCTACCAGGGCAATACACAATTCAAAATGCATCAAGGTTGCTACCAGTACAATTGTGACTGTAAGTGCGACGGATCCTGGACGTGTCCTGCCAACAGAACGATTGACACTTGCAATCAGAATGCTACAACTGGCTGCTTCTATTGTAATGTACACGGTGAGCAATATCAGGGGAACTCATTCTTCTCTCACACGGATGGCTGTATACGCTACAATGACTGTACGTGTCGATGTGACGGGTCGTGGGATTGCCCAGGGGAGAACGCAGTGGACACATGTAGGCAGAATGCTACATCTGGTTGTTACTCGTGCGATGTGTACGGTACACGAGTAGAGGGTTATTCCAGGTTTCAACTGGAAGAAGACTGCTGGCGCTACGAATGCGAGTGCGATTGTGCCGGAGGATGGCAGTGTTCTCGTTCCCAAATCACTTATCTGTGTGGATCCCAGCAACAAGTTTCTACGGGCTGCCGGGACTGTCTTGTAAGTGGAAACAGGTACGCCTCGCGCAGCGTATTTAATCTACAATGGGGATGCATTAATTACAGCTGTCGATGCAGTTGTGACGGACGATGGGATTGCCCTGCGGAATCTGCCACAGTGTCGTGTGCCGGTGACTACTTTGAACAGTTTCAGATCCAGTCTGTTAGTAACATCCCGTCTTCCTGGTGTAAGGAATGCATCATCAACGGACACACATATCCCGGAAACTCTCAGTTCGATTATCGGGAAAGGTGCATCAACCACCATGTTAGATGTTACTGTAATGGAGGCTATCGCACCTCTACTTCAGTAGACACCGAATGCACCTCATCATCACGAGATTCAACCGACATTACTAGAACCCAGGACCGATGTCGACGATGTATTATGAATGGAGAAACATTTCCTTCTCGAGCACAGTTCAGCATTGATGTTGGTTGTATTACGTATCGTTGTAGATGTAGATGCAGTGGTTTACCGGAGTGCACCCCTGGGGGGAATTTAGCATGCGGGACGGCAGTAATTGCCAGTGGATCTATTGGCAATAGACCGGGAACTACCGTGGTTCGGGCGGGTGGAAGTAGCACAAGCAGCGGAAGTTCTAGTAGTAGCTCTTCGACAAGGATAACAGGTGTTGAAGGTACAATTGTTGACACCAGCAGGACAGTGAATAGAGGTGGAAGTGTTCGAGTGACAAGTGGAAGCACGGCCAATACAGGCGGAAGAGTAGTAACCACGGGTTCTACGTCAAACGGAGGCGGAAGTGTCAGAGTGACAAGTGGAGGCACGGCTAATACAGGTGGTAGGAGAGTAGTAACCACGGGTTCTACGTCAAACAGAGGCGGAAGTGTCAGAGTGACAAGTGGAGGCACGGCTAATACAGGTGGTAGGAGAGTAGTAACCACGGGTTCTACGTCAAACAGAGGCGGAAGTGTCAGAGTGACAAGTGGATCAACAACAAATAGAGGTGGTACTTTCAGGGTGACTACTGGGACAACTGGTGGACAGGGGTCTGTCGCCACTAGCGAAACAACGACTGGTGGTGGGAACACATATGGGGTCTTCGTAACTCCCGGGCGAAATACAAACAGAGGTACGGTGTCTAGCAGCAGTAGGACCATAACCACGTCAACTGTGGTCAGGGGTGGTACTAGTGGTTCAGGCGTGGTAACAGAAAATACTGACCAATGTAGAGTATGTTTAGTCAACAATGTACAATACGCTACCAACGCACAGTTTGAGTACACCCGGGGATGTATCCGATACCAGTGTACTTGTTCATGCAGCGGAGAAGCCACTTGTAAACCAGCAGGTTTTACCGACTGTCAGAATCAGAACAAAGGTGTGGGGTGTAGAAGATGTGCCGTGGAGGGGAGGCGTTACCAAGCGTTGAGCCAATTCACATTCAGAAAGGAATGTAACACCCTGTCGTGTTTGTGTGAATGTAGTGGTCGAGCTGTGTGCATCCAAACTCCTATCCCTGGGTGTGATCCGGAAAGCAAAGGTACCACAGACAATAGATGCAGAGAATGCCGAGTAGACGGTCAAATTTACCCACCGAATTCTATATTTAATACTCAAAGAGACTGTCTCAGGTACACATGTCAGTGCGGTTGTAATGGAATTCACAGATGCACAGCTCCTATCAACACCTGTGGTACGTCGATTGGTCAGCCTACACAAGTCTGTAGGGAATGCAGAGTTGGCGGACGTACTTACACAACAAACGAGCCGCTTGTACTTGAGCGCGGTTGTTGGCGTCAGCAGTGTATCTGCAGCTGTAATGGTCAGCCCGATTGCAATAGTCAGACAGCTGAATATACTTGTACCGACGACGACATAGACGACAATGATTGTGTGCCTTGTAATGTGAATGGAATAGATTACCCACCAAATAGTAAGTTCGTCAATAGAGAAGGTTGCATTGCCTATAAATGTCATTGTTTCTGTAACGGAAATCACTACTGCGTAGGTACGGGAACGAACGTGTGTTCTGGAGGTACTGATACTATTGTAAATGTTGGCCAGGAAAGTGTTGTCGGCAGTACGACCGTGCATGTCGGTACCAGACCTTCAGGCACAATACGCAATAGAGGAGGATCAAGTTCAACACGTACAGTCATTACCACATTGGGAACCTCCAGTAATCGTGATAGAAGACCGACTCGTATAGAAACATCAAGGACGACAACGGTACAACGAGAGGAAATAATGCGCCGGGAAGAAATAGCTCGGCAAGAGGAAGCTGCCCGTCAACTCGAGAGGGAAGCATTGAGAAGAGCACAGGAGGAAGCCGAACGTCGTAATCGAGAAGAAATCGATCGCCGAGAAAGAGAGAACGCAGCCAGGCGAGTAAATGAAGAAAATGCACGCCGACAAAGAGAAGAAGACGCCCGTCGAGAAAGAGAAGAATCTGAGGAACGTGAGAGGGTAAGAGCTCAGGAGGAAACTGAAAGACGTCGAGAACAGGAAGAGGCTAAAAGACGTCGAGTGCAGGAAGAAGCTGAAAGACGTCGGGTGCAGGAAGAGGCTGAACAACGTCGGGTGCAGGAAGAGGCTGAACAACGTCGGGTGCAGGAAGAGGCTGAACGACAAAATCGTGATGAAGTTGAACGAAGAGAAAGAGAGGAAGCTGCTCGTCGGGAAAGAGAAGAAGCAGTCCGACGGGCGAGGGTGGAAAAAATTCGCCGAGAAAGGGAGGAAGCCATTCGTCGAGCTAGGGAAGAAGCTGGACGTCAACAGGTAGTGGATCGTGCTCGTGAACGTGAACGAGATATTGAAAGAGAACGAGAACGCCAACGAGAACGTGACAGAATTATCGCTGAAACTGATGAGACAAACTGCCAAATCTGCACAGTTGATGGAAACAGCTACAATGCCAATGATATATTTTACGTAGACCGACGTTGTAAACGTTATAAATGCACATGCTACTGCAACGGACGCTACGCTTGTAGGACAGGAAGTCCAATTAATATTTGTGACAACGATGGGAATGTAATAGAGACTTTAAAAACGTCATCGACGATGGATACAACGCGCACAAACAGTGGAACAAGGCGAACTGGTAGAACGGAAAATACATCTAGTCGAACGATCACGACAGACAACTCAACCGGTAGAAGGAGCGGAACGGGCAGTAGTACAACACGTCGTAGAGACAAAAACCAAGGCACGCAAACAGTCACCCGAGTGGAAACTACATACTATGAGACATTTGAAACCCGTCAGGGAAGTTCGGTTACGAGGAGAAATGGCGAAGATGTCCGGGCAGGTCGTTGTGGGCCCTGTGTCATTAATGGTCAGAGTTATCCTGGCAGACGAGAATTCCAGCTGGACGACGGCTGTAAGCGTTTTCAGTGTAACTGTAAATGTGACGGATCGTGGTTGTGTCCGCGACAAAAGCCTGCTCGTCTGTGCGGTTCGTCCACGTCTACATCGACAGGATCTTCCAAGACCGTATCCCGGACAACGTTCTACGAGTATGAAGTCCGACAGGGACGTTCTGAGGTAATGATGAGCAGTGATGAAATAGACGCAGGTGTTTGTGGAATCTGCGTGGTTGACAATCAGCCGTACAAAGGAGGAAGAGAGTTTACATACATTGACAGTTGCAAAAGTTTCAGATGTTTATGTTCTTGTGACGGTTCTTGGAACTGTCCCCGACAAATACCCACTTGGGGATGTCAGGAAGCGAATTCAGAAAATTATCGATCGGGTAACACACGGACAGCAAGCACTGACACATCAAGTTCAGAGACAGTAGAAACAAGGACAACAGGATCTCGAACAGTGAGTACTCAGACATCGGGTTCAAGGAAGGGGGACTCCTCATCAACATCCTCAAGCAGTTCGGGGTCTTTTGAAAGGACTGTTTCAAGAAGTGGATATTCTTCTGGTGGAGATAGGTCTTCTGGAAGCGGGTCTACGTCAGCATCATCGGATTCAGTTGCTTCTTCGTCGTCATCGACGTCCTCTTCAACTTCATCCGATTTCCAGTTGTTTTACTATGAATACGAAGAACGTCAAGGTGTCAGCGAGATTCAGCAGAGCACAGAGGGCGATGCCTGTGGCGTATGTGAAGTAGCAGGAAATAGATATAACGGTGGGTCGACATTCCGGTACGACGACCAATGTAAAGGATTCAACTGTTCATGCAACTGTGATGGGTCATGGTTGTGTCCAAGTCAGAGGCCAAGGATCTTATGTCCAGACCAATGCAAGTCATGTACAGTGAGAGATGAGGTGCACGCATTTAACTCCCGGTAAGTGCAATCATTATACTCTGATCATAATACGCTACCTCACTATGATTGATCATAGATATTTTGCTTAGTTCCGTTGTGTTGAACATCAATAATAATATCAGTATTTATATCTTGAATTTCCTTTTAATATTTTCAGATTCCTTGTGAAATATGACGATTGTAGAAAGTACATGTGCACGTGTCATTGTAACGGTCGATTCACATGCTTGCATGATGACGTTATCAATGCATGTGAGGAAGGAGGAGACACGCCAGACCAAGGCGAAGAGGAAGAACTAGCAGAAGCATGTTCAACCTGTATAGTAAACGATGAAGAGCGACAACCTAATACACGGTTTCAGTACCGCATCGGATGTAAACGATTTGTGTGTACGTGCGATTGCACTGGACACCATGAATGCTCGGAAGAAAACGTCTGTTCGGACGAGAGACTACGTGAGGACGGTTGTCGCGAATGTGTTATAAATGGTACTCGCTTCCCACCAAATTCACAATTCCAGTACATCAAAGATTGCTACAGGTTAAATTGTGACTGTGCGTGCGATGGATCCTACGATTGTCCTAGTCGCAACACAGAATACGTGTGTGATGGCGGTTGTCAGCAGTGTTTGGTGAACAACCAAGCTTATCGTGGGAATACGCAATTTCAGTATGAAGACGACTGTTATCGGTACAGCTGTAATTGTAGTTGTGACGGGTCCTTCAACTGTCCGTCAGACAGGACTGTCAATATTTGTAATGAGCCTGTCAACTGTAGGAAATGTCATGTTAACGACGAGTCGTATGACCCGGATACGTTCTTCCAATATGATGAAGGTTGTCACCGTTTCAGTTGTGACTGTTTCTGTAATGGATCTTATAACTGCCCTGCGAGTCGGACAGAGAACATGTGTGGAGCAGCGGTGGGATCCGGGCCATGCACTCAGTGTGTTGTAAATGGAACAATACAACAACCAAACACGGACTTCTATTATACAAACGATTGTGTGCGCTACCGCTGTCATTGTGGTTGCAATGGTGCATGGGACTGTCAGTTCGAATCAGCAATTCCAAACTGTCAGAAAACTGTTAAGACTAGTGATATAGACGACAGGCAACCAGTTAGACGACGATGTCGCGCATGCGTAGTAGATGGTCGACGCTATCGTCCCAATAGTCGATTTCAGTATACAAAGGGATGTGACCGGTTCGAATGTAACTGTGGTTGCGATGGCTCGTTCAACTGTCCCGCTAATCTGACGCGTAACGTCTGTGGAGGTGATCGCAAATGTAAAGACTGTCGAGTTCGCGGAACGAAATATTCCGGCAACTCTGTGTTTGTGTTACGTGAACGCTGTCTTCAGTACCGCTGTTTCTGTAGCTGCAACGGAGAATGGGATTGTCCAGCAGACCGAGCCGTCGACACCTGTACTGGGCAAAGTTAACTACTCTTACATGCTTACATGTAATTTCTGTAGCAATGGCTAGGTTTATGTATGTACACACTAGACATATGTCACTTTCGTACACGTGCACTAGACAAAGGGAATCATAGATTATGTTAGATGTGTAAACAGCTATGCAGGTACATCGGAATTTGTTCCATTGACACAAAATTCGCTCCATCTACATGTAAACTGAAAGGAAGTTTAGCAATTATAAAATCTCTCATTTAATAGATTATCTATAAATGTATGTTGGGAAAGGCAATTAACTCTGATATCGGTTAGTTAGGGGTTTTACTGGCGTGTTCAATTTACCGAATATCATTTAAGTGTTCGTGTAGTGGTCACATACATCAACAAATTCACGAACAAGGTTTGCCCAGTGCACAAGGAAGGTGTTTTTTTGGGAAGGGGGAAGGGGGTGGTTTCAACTTATACAGAAGGTGGGGGAAGGTACTTGGTATATCTTATATATCTTAATGATAATAATAAGTAGCTTTGGAGAATATATGTATACAAGTAGTAGGCGTTCGCTTCTTGGGAGTTTTTTTTTTTTTTTTTTTTTGGGGGGGGGGGGGGGGGGTTAGCATATGGACTCTATCAAGTCCGAAGCATCCTTGTAAAATCATAGTTCGTGATTGGGGCTTGTCTATCAATAACTTGAACATACTGTATACTCGTTCACACCACAGAGCCATCTCCTTACAACTCCTTGAATTAAATATTTCCACTGGTACTTATTTGTACTTTACAGGAAGACAACTCTGAAAAAAAGACTGGGAATGGGTATGGCAAGGGAGGGGTTAATGCTTCACTGGTATTATGCTCTTGGGTTGGCTTATACAAGAATAAATGTATATTAGAGGATATTTCGCTAAGCTATCGATATTCGTGAATTTTATGTATGATAACAGTATATATGTGCACAATTGTTAGTATATTTTGTAATTAAATGTCTTCAATGACCGTTTCTCATTTTGCCTTTATTTCATTTTTTTGTTTTTTCGGTTTTTTTTTATATTTCGTCCTGTTTCGGCCTATTTAAAAAAGAAATAAGATGTGCAAGGAGCCAGATTTAACCACTTAAGAGCCAAATTAGTTTGAAATCAAAGTTGTTTTGGAATTCATTAACGCATCCTTCACCTCGTGCTCTGGTGGTGATATTACCAAATGATAAAAGTGATGTTGAATTTCAACAAATAAAACGTTTAAAGTTATATGAGCTTATTTTCTATTACACATACTGTGAATGAGTCTGTGATAATTCATAAATCGAATATTATTTCATCGCGATATATTAAGTTGAAACGAAGATCAGTACTAAAAATGTATCCCTACCGTATTTGGTAAGAAAATTCATGGAAGGATAAACTTTGTTTCAGGGAAGTCAAAATAGAAACCATATATATTCCTTAATCATTAATGCAAAACCATCCATGGAACTATGGATAAAAGGATAGTTCTACCGCGATTAGTTCATTGCATACCGTTAAAACTGTTTTACTAAAGTCACAATCAAGATTTAAAACATTAATTACACATTTCAGGGTTTATGGTTTACCGTTAAATTGTTTTACAAAAGTCAAAGTCAATATTAAGAGCTTTCATTTCACAGTTTATATTTTTTAAAGATCTGAGAACATTTTAACAAGAGAATCCAAAGGCATCTTAATGTCCATTTTCGAATTACGTGTATAAGATCATAACACAATATGTTCTCTTCATTTATTTGATCTTAATTATATGTTTTATTTGATAGGCGTATTCAATAATATTATTGTAAAAATCAGTAAATTAAGGGAACTTCAAAATTAACCACACAGTTCTAGCGGTTTGAATGCATCTGAAACAGCCAACTATCGGACATCATTTAATTATTTTTTTCAAATCAGTCACAAAATGGATGAGTAGTAATTAGCCAAGTGAAACGGAGCAATGAGATTTTAAAAGAAACTTAGAAAAAAATAGCAATAACAAGAAAATTGTCAAAATCCAAGATGGCCGCCTGTCAGCCATTTTGTTTTCCAATCTGGCAACGCCAAAATAGATACACATAATGACAAAGGCAATCATAATAAAAGTTGATAATGATTTATCAAGAACTTGTGTAAGAATTTACAAACTATAACTGCCATTAACGGAATCCTACATATGAAAGTGGAGAATGATTACACATAAAAACTGTCATAATTCAAGAAGGACGCCACATGACCAAGTGGTTCTCAAATCAGTATCAAAATGTACTATGCACAAGAAGTGACCAATACGAACCTTATGAAAATTGATGATCTAACAAACACTTTTCAATAAATCGATAACAATTGTCATTTCTTAATTGCACAATGCACTAAAACGCACCAAGGTGAATCTACAACATGAATAACGAGAATCGTCAAGTCAGTATAATTCACTTCTCAGGAATAAGAAAAAACAGAAGTACAACTGCTAGAATCCAATATGACTTCCCTGTCGTCCAATGTGTTTCCCGATCAGTACTGAAATAGACAACGTACAACTAACGTCCAGAGGAGACCTATGATTGATTTCGTTCTTTTAAAAAGATTATCCAGTACTTCCCAATAAAAATGGAACACTTCTTCAGAACAAATAGTTTATTTGATTTGAGAGAGAGGTGTTTATAAAACAATGCAATGCTTATAAGAATTAGTCTTACATATTAAACACACTCATATATGTAGGTTATGTAAAACACTCTCATGGCCCGGATTGAAGCAGAGGGGAATATTCGATGCTCTTTTTATAAATCAATAACCCCAATTTTATAAGGTTTCAGAGTGTGTATAAAACTGGATTTTTGTTATTATGGCCATTAACCGATGTCATACTTTACTTAAAATCCCGAAAACGGGGCATTGCAGGTAAACCACATTCAAAATATTTATAGTTATCAGCAGCGGTCATCATTTGTTAAAGTAGTGTTTAAATGTTTCAAACCTAAAATTCTCTTGGACAGGCTTGAAATGCTTTTCGTATTTTAGGTGTCCGAATCCCCGAAACCGCTCTAAACTACTTGATGTTTTCTTTGTTGGAGCTGATGATAAGAGCCGATTACATTATCAAACTGAAATAGGAGTCGCGTGTAAAACGGGGCCACGTCTAAATAGGAACTTCTATATTAAAAGACATGTAGGGCGAATCATGTTTGGAAAACCAGAAAGAAAATACCGACATGTCAAAAGAAACTTAATTTAAATTCATAGTCGATAAAACATAGGCAAAATATGAACAAGGGGAAAACATTACGTGAGACCCTCATAAAACGCACAAGAACAGTACCATGTATTGGGGTGTCGTCTGCTTCGTCGACAAAACAAACACCTCACTTGTAAATACCTTGTAAGATTCGTTCAAAAATGAAAACAGTGTCTGCAATTCAATTAGCACTGTTGCCTGTAAAATATCTTACCTTTTCTCTCCGTTAGAAGTCTATAGATGAACGTTTTACGTTGTCAGAAGTGGTCTTGTATTCTACTTTAAACTTTGCAAATTAAAAATTTTAAATATGGCTGTTTGTTTTATGCAGACGACACTATTTGCTACGGAAACTTTACATTTTCACTTTCACGCATGCTCATAGGTATTCAAAGTTTCTGCCGACAAATGATTGGTTGCTTGCTCATTAATCAATATCCGCCATTATGATTGACATTACACATCCATCTCTGGGCGTGGTTTAAACCTTGCAATGAAATTGAGTGAGTGGTATGTACATCACATCAGCGTGTTCCGACATAAATCTTGTTAATATTTTGGTTAGCATTTCAATCTAAAGCATAAAATATGCATCGGTCGGATTATTTAAGAAATAATTTAACGGAAAATGCCAAATTACAAATTCTGAGGACAATAACTCTTGTTTCAAGTAGTCACAAACTATTTATTAGATGAAAATTATTCAAATACGATACTTGCAAATAACAATATACATTCAATCAGCTGTCCATAACATTTTTATAACATCCCGAAAATGCCAAATGAAATAACACATTCTTTCACAAAACTAGCCAAGGGCACTTTTTTTTTTTACCAACACGCGACATCGATTCGACAACCCGAACAAGACAAGTTATCAAGATTTCCCTGGCCGTCTCCTCTCGCATTCAGAACACTTGAACTCAGAGGGACCAAGTATGAAATGTGAAATCAGGGACATATATATTAACGTGATATATACGTCCCTGGTGAAATTAAAATAATTCCCTGAAAATAATTGGGCATAAACAGGAACACCCAATCACAAAAATATTGTTTGGAGGGCCGTGTTTAAAAAATTCGGATCCTATACGTTAAGCAGTTTTTATATAAACTTAATTCATCTTTCAACAATTGCGAAATACCCTTGATGGCCCGCATGGAAGCGTGCGAGAGGATTTCACTGTGGAACGAAACCGGAGAACCCGGGAAAAACTATTTGGTCGGACGGTGGACCGTTACTATTTCGCCCGTCGGACGTCTTGGTGCAAGGCGAGATTGTTACCGCTGCGCAGCCCGACCACCCAAAGTAAATTAGTGCCCTGCTTTGACCGAATATAAACACAAATTATGGCATTTTATCGGAGTAGTTGACTATGTGATTATACCAGCGTTATTCCCTGAGCATGTCAACAAAATGAAAATTCAATCATTTCCTAAAACGACGGCATCGTGGAATGGAATGACAGAACCCTAAACACGGTAAAGCAAAGAACATTCACAACTCGTCCATTAGGATCAAAGAAAAATGGCGCATTATAGTTGAAGGGCCTTGTTCCACTTAAATGTAGTCAATATTGACCGAATGTAACCAGCATTAGAAAGGCTAAATCCCAGTTGTAATCGGATCAGATTTTGGTTCCCTGTAAGTTCAGGGTTAATGTTGCCTTAATAAGTTCAGGGTAATTGTCGCCTGTTTATGTTCAGGGACAGTGTTGTCTGTATGTTCAGGTTTAGTGATGTCTGTTTACATTCAGGGTCAGTGTTGTCTGTTTATGTTCAGGGACAGTGTTGTCTGTATGTTCAGGTTTAGTGATGTCTGTTTACATTCAGGGTCAGTGTTGTCTGTTTATGTTCAGGGACAGTGTTGTCTGTATGTTCAGGTTTAGTGATGTCTGTTTACATTCAGGGTCAGTGTTGTCTGTTTATGTTCAGGGACAGTGTTGTCTGTATGTTCAGGTTTAGTGATGTCTGTTTACATTCAGGGTCAGTGTTGTATGTTTATGTTTAGGGTCTGTGTTATCTGTATGTTCAGGTTTAGTGATGTCTGTTTATATTCAGGGTCAGTGTTGTCTGTTTATGTTCAGGGACAGTGTTGTCTGTATGTTCAGGTTTAGTGATGTCTGTTTACATTCAGGGTCAGTGTTGTATGTTTATGTTTAGGGTCTGTGTTATCTGTATGTTCAGGTTTAGTGATGTCTGTTTATATTCAGGGTCAGTGTTGTCTGTTTATGTTCAGGGACAGTGTTGTCTGTATGTTCAGGTTTAGTGATGTCTGTTTACATTCAGGGTCAGTGTTTTATGTTTATGTTCAGGGACAGTGTTGCCTGTATGTTCAGGTTTAGTGATGTCTGTTTACATTCAGGGTCAGTGTTGTATGTTTGTTTAGGGTCTGTGTTATCTGTATGTTCAGGTTTAGTGATGTCTGTTTATGTTCAGGGTCAGTGTTTTATGTTTATGTTCAGGGACAGTGTTGCCTGTATGTTCAGGTTTAGTGATGTCTGTTTATGTTCAGGGTCAGTGTTTTATGTTTATGTTCAGGGACAGTGTTGCCTGTATGTTCAGGTTTAGTGATGCCTGTTTATGTTCAGGGTCAGTGTTGTCTGTTTATGGTCAGATTTAGTGTTTCCTGTTTATATTCAGGGAGTGTTGCCTGTTTAAGTTCAGGGCTAGTGTTTCCTGTTATGTTCAAGGTTAGTGTTGCCTGTTTCAGCTTTGAGTTCCTGATAGTTGTTTAAGTAAATGATTAGTATCATTCAAATTTTCTCTCTTGAATTGAGTCATCTCTCAGAATCTTCAAATTTCTCTTTTGACTCCTCTGTATTTTTCTTATTGTGAGTATTAAATCAAGAAACCAATGTTGACATGGCTCCATATGACATTTGTATTAGTCCAATTTTTTTTATAAATATCAATAGTGACATTGACCTTGGACCTCAGAAAATGCAGTCTTGTTTATACCATTAGGTTTAGTGATCCTTGTATGTAAGTCCTAAGCTTGTTTCTCATACCAATTTGTAATTGATGCATGTGTACTACTGTTGAATATTGAATGATCAAAAAGTTTTTAAATAAAGTATGGCACATTATAAAACAGACAGAGGTGACACTATAGAGATGGCTGCCTCCACAAAACATTGGGGCATAAAAGACAAGCAATATTTGAACGGGATCATTAACTTTTTAATAACAAGAAATTCTATTGTCTCATACTGCCAGCAGCATCTGACAATAACAAAAATTGCAACGTTTAACCTTAAGGTGTCCAGCTGGTTTAGTTTCAATGAAACAATTTGTGACATCCTCTTTCTGTGAGGCACGTCATCTCTACACCTGTGTAATATGACTTGATCAGTCAAACCACCAAGTTCAACCATTCATCAAACATGATAAAATCCTGGTTTACAAGGCTGATATGGTTCTTTTGAAGATTAAGAAATACACCTCCATCAAAGCCTGTCCATATGCCTCAGATGGTTCCTTTTTTCTCATCAAAGGTTCACAAGGCAATTACAAAATGATTCCCAGCTTACTTGCCTATTTACCATCCTGAAGTTTGGTGAATATAGACCCTTCATTTTGACAGGAAACATTACACTTGTGAAGAGATATGATTTTGAAGAGAAACCTTCTATTTTGAAGTTGCATTTTGCAATGATGATTATTACCAATGGTAATTCTGTTGAAGACACAAAAATCAGAGTGTAAGGTTTTTCAGCAGAGCTGTTCCATCATGTGACGAGTTCCTGAGCACCGTATGAATCTCAATCTTAGAAGAGTTCCAATCCAATATGTACAAAGTTTTCCCTCCTTGTATCATCAACATCCTCCCCACGTCAGTCTAGCCACGTGGTCAGTCTTCCTCTTTGTGGGTTTGACAAAGCCAAGGAATTGGAGTTCAGACACAGCTCTTATGAATCGAGCCCTGGGTTGTGTTAAGGTTTGGTCAACAATTTTTAATGTATATTACTCAAAATCTGTACACTCAGAAGGAAAGTGTATTTTTTTCCTTAACACAAATATTCCCAGAGGCATACTGTGTGCATAGACATACTGTGTGCATAAATAGATATAGTTAATATTTTCTAAAAATAACAGATCAAAGTCTCAAAAAGCTTGATGACAACAGAACCACATAGTAAATGGGCAATAATTAAAAAATGTAGAGAACCTCAAACTCCAATGTCGGAGAATAGGTTCTATACAAATGATATAACTTGGATCATCCTACTATTTGATAACAGTTACACACCCATTTAAAGCTAGCTGATCTCTCTTCAATCTACTTTATTCGTTGGGAACATTGTTACAATCATTTTACTTCCTCTATCAATAACTGTCACATTAACAAAATGTGTCTTTGACGCAAATTTCGGAGACGATATTTTAAAAATTTTTATTCTATTAATTGTTCAGAGTTTATTCTTTCATTCTAAAATGCTGTTGAGTTATCATTATCTACATTTTTTTTATCAAGTGTTTCATACACAATGAGCAATAAACATTTAATTCCAATTATCAAACTTCAGAAAGGTTAAAAAATATAGAATTCTTCACATTACCCCTTAAGTTCCTTGAAATATGACACTGTGCTGCCTTAAGGTAGGGAATTACAAAATTTCTTACTATAGTCATGTCAATGATATCTTTTAAGCATTTCCTCCGACAATATACTGCTTTATGTTAATGTTAAAGACATCATTCGGAAGCTATATATCTGAACACAAGGACAAAGTGAATATTACAGAGCACTTATACAGCTTGGTCCTAATAAGGTAAAAAAAAAAGGGATACTGTAAAACTGGGTCTGGATTCTTGATCTCATCTTCATTTTCTTCATCATTTGAAGTCTTCACCGTGATGAAGGCCTGACAAATAGAAATACATAAAATTTAATCATCAAAAAGACAAAATCATTAACTCATATTGGTTGGATGGGTGATGCAGTGGCAACGTGCTTGCTTTTCACTCAGCTGTGCGGGGTTTATTCCCAGACATGATAAGGTAAGGGGTAACCTGCCTGAGTTTTCCCCGGGCACTCCAGTTTCTTCTTTTGCAAAATAAATAAAGTTAATATTTCAACTGTAACAGACAATAAATGAGGGTATGAATAAGTGTTAATACTAATCAATAAACATCTATTAAAATTTATGTTAAATTTTGTCATCAACATTTCCCCCTTAAAACCTGTAATTGTGACAGATTGCATAATATCTCCGAATACTGTACAGAATTTAGTTTCAACAAGTAATTTATCAGTTAATATCAGAAATAATCATTCAGACAATCTCAATATGTGTCAGTTGAATGATTGATTTCTAAACACTATGAATATTAAGAGTGCTTCATTACCAAATATGAATATCAAGAGTGATTCATTACCAAATATGGAAATCAAAAGTGAAAGGAAAACTTTCCCTTTTTCTGACCTTATTATTATCTCCTAAAATCAAATCATCTACTGGGAAAATGTTTAGAAAACTTTTCATAGATTTCTAATGACTCGAGATTTGCCTTCCACATTTATCACCAAATACACTTCAAACATGGCAACTACTACCCCTAATTATCTGGCTGAAAAGAAATAACAAGATAAATGACTGCTATTTACTTTCATCTTATTGGTCTCAACTAAAATTAAACATTGACAACGATTTGTTTTCTTTACCTGGAGCCAGTCGTAAAGGTTGATGAGCTGACTACATTCTAAGTGAAGTTTGTATGCTATGCACACGTCAGGAATGTCAGGGCTGATAGTCCCTGAGTTATCGTTATCCTTCTGAAAAAACATGTTAAAAATCAGAATTAAATTTCAAAAGCAAAATTATCTCGACTGTGTTAAAAGATATCTAAATCCTCTTCAGAAGAGTTTCATACTGAAATTGAGCCAAGGGCAATAACCAGATTTTGGTATATAGAGCTCTGCTATAGCAACTGGTAGTAACTAGGTAGAGGTAAAAAGTCATGCAATGGCAGATCCAATGAATGAAAGACTGAAAGTGAAAGTGCAAAGTTTTATCTGGCTCTGGTATAGGTAATACCAAAAGGGTTTTAAAGTACAATAATCAAATATGCAAAAATTGTTCATTAATTCTGATTTTCTGTAATGATTATGTAACTCAACTTTAGTTAGGGCCAAATTTAACAAGTCAATTTGTCAAATTACAGTCCCCCACAGAATGTGAATATTTTCAAAATAAAGTCTAATTTTGATAGACAATACAATGTCTAGCCAAGGTAAACCAATATCCTAAGTATGGAGTTCCAGTGACAACAAGTGTAAGAGATAAGAGTCTGGACGAGCTTATCCTTTGATGTAGGTCAAAGATCAAAATGTAGGTCAAAGTGACTTACTTTGGATACATGACACACCACTTTACTAAGGTGTATCCATATCTATTGCATGAAGTACCAGTGCCACATTGTTTAGTAGAAAGAGCCAGGACAATTATTTTCTTTAATGTAGGTAAAAGATGCCAGGGTTATCTACTTTTGATACCTAACCTCCTGCTTTACAAAAATCAACCCATAACCCTAGCATCAACTTCCAGTGACAAGTCGTATAGGAAATAGAGACTGGACAAGACAGCAGAAGGAAAAATGGAGGGAAGAATGGATAGACACAATGTAAAACTATAGTCCAATCCAGTTCTTCATCAGAGTTTTTATAAAAGAAAGAAATTTTGTATAAAGATTCACCTTATATGAAAATTAACAGAAAGAATCATCAGTTGAAATAAAATACTGCTTCAAAAACACAACTATGTGATATGGATAATGATTATTAGTCTTTTTATAAAGTGATCTGTCGAATACTGACCAAACAGATATCCATACAACGGAAAAAGAATGGACTATGCTAATCCACAGGTGATGGGCTCAGAAAAACCAACATTGAAACCGATTTATCATTACCTGGTTGTGAAGATAGGTGTGGGAGCTCCCGAGAGCCAGTTGCACAGCTGACCGAGGTGAAGCAGCTAAGTGACTCCTCACTTTGCTGGCTAAGTCATAGTACATCAGTTCATGGAGCGGCAGAGTCTTCGGGCTCACGACATACTTTCTACAATTGATTTAACAACAATTTAACATCTCATGTTGGGAGACATGGTCTCACAAAAATTAATCGAGAAGATGTTTTTTAATGTTGTATATTGTTACTGGAAAAGAGTTTAAAAAACCCAATTCAAAACTATAAAGAATGACTGGAATGGACACTTGTAGACTTGATAAATTTAGTATGAATTGGAAACAAAAGACAAATTATAGACCCAATTAAACTCATAGGAGACATTGTCTCTTTCTTTTTTCCATATTTTGTTTCAAATCATTTTCCTTTTAATTTACCTGAACAAGGCATCAAAATAATCCACACATTCTGATCTCAACTTTTCATACGGTGATAATTTCTTTTTCTTCTTTTCCATCTCTTGTAGCCTCTGAGAGTACAGCAGAAGAAATATTTGTTTGAATTCTGACTTCAATCTTTAATTTCTATTTAATAACCTTGGTTATTCTGGGTGAACATAACAATATCATACACTTAAATACATCATTAAAATCTCTTTTGCTTTAATATCTTTTTGCAAATTAAAGGGATGTTCTGCACAAGTAAGGATTTCTTAAGATGCTTTTGCACAAAGCTGTACAAACTTATTTACCTATGTTCCTATAGAAATCATACAGCTCAAATCGCTATTTAAATAAACATATGATATTTAATTTGTGGAAATCCTTTATAGATCTAGAGAAGGGAGGTAATCCAATATGGCGGACGCAGAACTCGGGAATGATAACCCCAAGAATGGCATGTTCCTGCGTATAATGCACACATCCTTTTTGACATGACAGTTTTAGCTTGAAAAAGTGTGCACTATACGTGAAAATTTACGGTAGTTAGATCAGTTTACAAACATTCACATAGCCATGATTGTATCATGTCAGGTTTGCATCGTTATAAGCTGAACAGAATGAAATATTTGTGTAAATTGTAAAATCAAAACAGAAAATATGCCTAACGAAGAAACAAAAATTACAACCCCAGCGAAAAATTTTAGTGAACTGCATGACACACTTGTGTATTTACTCAATACTCTGCATAAAATCTGTGATCCATTGATCCTTCGGTTCCAGATTTCCTGATGTGCTATACTTCGAATGTTAAACCTATATAAGCTGGGACCTTTCCCACCAATTTCATTTGTCCTAACTGACCACAGGAGTGATCATTTGATGCTAACAATAGCTTTAAAAGTCATTAGACTGAGATTTTAAAAGGTACACAACTGCCAGAAATTTCGCAACTTGGCTGAAATATCCCTTTAAACATAAATTTTGTTGGGAGTTTTTCACCCATTAATATTGTTACCTTTGTTGTAATCAAAGTGTTTATTGGTATTATAACAGGGTTTTCCATAATTTTGTTAGTAGTAGGCTGTGTAGTGAAAGTAGGAGGCTGGCCTGCCGTGTACGTGTAGTCGTGTATAGAACATTATTATGGAACTGGATTGGTGTAGGCAGCCAAATGATCAAAGTAGCCGGTCAAATTGGTCGGCGGCCGGCTTTAATGGAAAACCCTGTGTAACATGACATTCTAAATTCTACTACTAAAACCATAATGAAATTCAACCAATCTCTTAGTAAATATTGACCGAACTTATTCTAAAATTTGACCAAATAACCAATAACAAAATTTTACCTCAGTTTAATCACCACTTTTTTTTTTAAAAATACTAATTGCTCTTGTCAGTAAAAATGGAAGCCATAGGAAGTCCTACATATGAGGACAATGGAGTATCTTGAGACATGGTTGTGTGACCTAGGAAGGTAAATGTCAGATTTATACCTTTTTCAAACTGTGAAGATCTGTTTTCTTGATCACAGAACTGTTCTCTGGGGCTTCCTCCTCACCATCGTCATCTTCTACTTGCTCTGTAAACAAACGAACAACATTAACCAAGGTCACAAACATACCGTATCGATGGTAGTAGATATTAAACAATAACATAATTCTGATTTATCAGTTTAGTCACTGATTTGTTCTTTACTGCCAACTATAACTAAAAAGTCATGATTTTCTAAAGCAATCATGAACTGTCCTTCAAAATAAACTTTTAAAGAGTCACTAAGGTTTACTACAGACCTGGGAAGTGACATATTCAAACACTCACTGAATCCAATTTACCATAAACTATATCAAAAGAATGTTTCTGAAAAACTCCATATTTTAAGTTTTCAGTAATATTTTACCAATTTTAACTTATTGCTTTACAGTAGTAGTGGATATACGACTTTCAGTTTGTGTTTCTTTGACCAAATTGTGATAATTGATAATTTTTAATCTTTACCATGAAGTGTGTCAAATCTGTCCAGCAAAGAGGTTATAGATGTATGGACATCCTTGAGACTGGAGGGAAGTTCATCCCCAAGACAACTCACACAACTCCTCAACAAACCTGTCAGTTCATCTTTTGACATGAATCTGAAAATTCAATTTTACATTTCATTTTTTTCTGTCGATAAATATTTCCTTGGCAAGTCTCATTTAAAACTATGCTATGTGTAAAGTATTTTTTCACAGACAGGAATTTGTTGAAGTGATGTCACAGGTTACCATGAACTCTTGAATCATATGAGGCTACCGTCAAAGTTAACCTTTGTGTAACATTTAATTAAAACTTCTTCAGAAAGTCGCTAGTGTGAACTAGGGGAACATAACTATAAAATTTGAGAATAATCCATTCAGGGATATAAATTATAGCAGAAATAGCAACAACAAATTTTGTCAAAATCCAAGATGGCTGTCATCACTATTTGGTTTTCTTTTTTAGGATCAGACTCAAAATTGGATGTGCACAACTAGGGACCATGGGATATCTACATATGAACTTTAAGAAATATTCTGATGTTTCTTATAAAAAACAATAAAAATGCTGATGGACTGATGTATGGACAGTGACGGCACAATGACATAGGGTTATTTAAACAGCCCACTGCCTGATGAAGGTGTGCTAGTAAAATGACGAGGCACAGGCTTTCATATATACTAAGGGTATGGATTTCTTTTCTTGGTTTTTAAAGTTCAGCAATTTATGATATGAAATGTAATCATTTTTCCACAATGGTTTTTATTTACTCACTTCAATAATTCTAATGAAGTTTTGTAATCTTCATTCTCTTCAATGTTCCATCCAAGGGCAGTAGCATACACTTCTCGAAGCTGAAAGTCAGAACCAACACAATATAAATCATCAATTAAGATGGATCTTAGTGCCAACAATGTATTTAACTTTATTTGCTCTGTAAAAAGTTGGATCTTTTCCCTTTTTTTCTCTTCTTTTCTCTGTTCTTACTCTTCACAATAAAAAAGTTTGCAATGTCATCTTTAGAATTAGCTATAACATTCTTAGACTGTCAAATCAAAGATGAAAGACTCTTGGCCATTTGTTTTTTCTGATCAGTTACAAAATCAAAGGGTACAACTATTGAGTGAGGTAACCTAGGTATGAAATGACCTTGCTGGAAGACCTTTCTCATGTCCCCTGGTCAGTGAATGAAACATTCTGGGATGTAAACAATGCATTGAATGCATGGATAACATTATTTTTCAGTGGAGTAGATAAACATATGCCTATGCTTCAAAGGCGAGTAAAACAGTCAAAACAACCAGAATGGTTGGATGATGATATTTTAGAGATTATCCAGTAGAGAGACAAATTGAAACATGACAGTGAACTTGACAGACATAGATTAAAGTGTAACTATGTTGATAAGTTGATTTGGGAGGCTAAAGCCATGTATTGTAAATATGTTATTGAAAACAATTTGGATAGCCTTAGTAAACTTTGGAAATATATTTATGATCTCACACCTAAAAAATCATCTCCCACACCTATAATAATTCAGCTTAAAAATATCTGATAAAAATGAAATAGCAAATCCATTCAACAGTTATTTTACTACAGTTGCAGGTAAACGAACATCATGTTTAAGAAATACAAATTGTACATATGAAAAATTGAAGAATTTTTGTAAATACTAACTAGTTGGGGATTGTACTTTTTCCATTCCACTATCTCTGTTGATTTTATTGGCAAATCTTTGCGATATTTAGATACAAAGAAAGCTATAGGTTTGGATGGTATCGGTGCACAGCTACTAAAAATCTCACATGCTCATACAGTACCTTCATTACCATCTATAATGAATCTTTGTATTCAAAATGGTTGCTTTCCTATAAAATGGAAAACTGTCAAGGTACATGTAATTCCCTTGTATAAATCTGGAAACACCTCTTAGGTTTGCAATTACAGACCTATTTCTGTATTATCCATTTTATTCTAAATATTAGAGCATTAGAGTGACATGTCCATGGCTCTTTCTACCACAATTTGAATACATATGACCTCCTTGTATCTTTACAATAAGGTTTTCGTAAAAAGCAATGTTGTGAATCAGCCCTGTTGAAAATTAAGACATGGACAAACAATATTGATAAAGGTCTTGTAAATGGTGTTACTTTCTTAGATTATAAGAAAGTTCTTGATTTAGCAAACCATGTTGTGTTACTTGAGAAACAGGAATTATATAAATGTGATTCAAATACCATTACATAGTTTGATCCATATCGCAATGACAGGTCACGAAAAGTAATTATTGCAGGGAATATATCCACTAACATGAGAATTATCCATGGGATAGCTCAAGGATCAATTTTGAACCCCATGATGTTTTTACTTTTCATCAACGATTTCCCATTTAACCTTAAATCTGAAACAGATACTGACAGCTTCACTTTTACTAAATCTGGATCATCTGTACCAGTTCTATGGAGTAAACTACAGAAAGACCTTGAAAATGTAGATGTGTGGTGTCATGATAACAAAATGATTTTTAATGTAAATAAAACTAATGTATGTTTATTGCTTCCAAAAAGAAAACTTGGAGAATCATTGACAGTCGAAATCCACCTGTCGGACATTTTGTATCCAGATTCAACTCAACATGGGATGAGCACAATTTGTGATCAGGAGAACCTAGATGGGGAAAGTTTGAGAAATATCCTTCCAGTCATTCTTAATGAAATAGCATGAACAAAACTTGTTAATAATCAGAGGATGGATGGACCAAGGAGGTTCGGCTTTTTTAATAGCCAAACATTTCATAATGATGAGCTGAGAAAGCATCATTCATACATTCCACTTTTGTTGATAAACAATTTTGGCAAAAGACATACTATATTTTCATATACCAGACCTACCTGTTTTCCAAGGGGCTGTTTAGGAAGTTTAGACACAAGGGTATGGAGGCACCGCAACATGGGGTAGAATTCCTCACGATAGGTATGTATTCTTGTCAACAGCTTTAACACCTCACTCTGTAAAATAATTACCAGGTACTTTATATATTTAAGTCCTCACAACAGACATGTATTCTCGTCAACAACTTTAACACCTCATTCTGTAAAATGTACAATGTATATCATATACATGGTTCATACAGATCAACTGCCATGTTATATATATTATATATGTACTAGTGCCACAATAATAGGTTAGAAGTTGATAAAAACATCAGACCTCTGAGGAAAAGCAGATATCGTCTGAACCAATCAAAGCATTTTGATCAATTAGTTTAGTCTAGGACAGGATACTTTACCTCTGCAGTGACAATGGGATCAATATAAGTAAGGACAATTATCTACTTTATATCATCTATTTAGGTGTGTGGCTGAAAAGTAATAGTGCTGTTGCTCAGTTCAGAACTGGTGATAATTTGTGAAACAATTCTCAGCATTGTCAAACATTTTGATAAAGATGATTTTATTGACAATAATAAGGGACTATCGCATTAGGTACATCCACATATGACTTAATTTCTATGTTAGGTATACAAGCATATACAGTGACATCACATCACTTCAATTAAACACATATATCATCACCTCAATTAAACACAAATGACATCACCTCAATTAAACACATATGTCATCACCTCAATTAAACACAAATGACATCACCTCAATTAAACACATATGTCATCACCTCAATTAAACACATATGTCATCACCTCAATTAAACACAAATGACATCACCTCAATTAAACACATATGTCATCACCTCAATTAAACACAAATGACATCACCTCAATTAAACACAAATGACATCACCTCAATTAAACACAAATGACATCACCTCAATTAAACACAAATGACATCACCTCAATTAAACACATGTCATCACCTCAATTAAACACAAATGACATCACCTCAATTAAACACAAAAGACATCACCTCCATTAAACACAAATGACATCACCTCAATTTAACACATACGTCATCACCTCAATTAAACACAAATGACATCACCTCAATTAAACACATGTCATCACCTCAATTAAACACAAATGGCATCACCTCAATTAAACACATATGTCATCACCTCAATTAAACACATATGTCATCACCTCATTTAAACACAAATGACATCACCTCAATTAAAGTCATATTTATGATACACTTGTTTCATTCCTTTTTTTCCTTTTATTTCTCCACAACGAAGGCAGAGTGTTGCTCTAAACAAGGGGAGGTAAATTCTGTAATAATTTCCCATATTTCAGATGACCTTACTCATCCAAAACTGGGTCTGTTGACCAAATATCCCCCTTACAGAAAGTTGATCATATTTGATTTTATTATAAGTAGGTAATCAAACAGATATCCATGTATTCACTTTGGAAATCATCATTTTATATAACAGAAAATAATTCTGTGTTGATTGAATGCTACATTAATCTCTAGATATGCTGTGTTAATTCATACAGCCGATAGATTTAATTGATAACTATATTGTCTAAAGGTCTACTGTCAAATCAAAGGTTTACCTTGTCAAAATAAAATCAAAATATTCATCCAAAATCATGAAAGTTTTGGCATCTTTACCTTTTATCCAAAGAGCCACATCAAAAGTATGAAAAAATAGTGGTTTATTTAATTTATTTGGAAAAATGATATCACAAATAAGCTTAAAATTGTTGCTTCTGTGAATTCCCACCTTGAGTATTACATCATCTGTCAACAATTCGGCTTGCCTTGGCAGTGAGCAACTTTCAACATGTCTGAAAGCAAAACAAAGCAAACCATTGAGAAATCTGTGTGGAACATAAGACTTGTAGTTACTATCAGGGAGCTATGGAGACTATTGGACAAGATTTGTGGTTACTGCCAAGGAGCTGTGGAAACAATAGGACAAGACAAGTTGTTATTGTGGAGACAATAGGACAAGACTAGTGGTTACTGTGGAGACAATAGGACAAGACTAGTGGTTACTGTGGAGACAATAGGACAAGACTAGTGGTTACTGTGGAGCAATGGGACAAGACTAGTTGTTATTGTGGAGACAATAGGACAAGACTAGTTGTTATTGTGGAGACAATAGGACAAGACTAGTTGTTATTGTGGAGACAATAGGACAAGACTAGTGGTTACTGTGGGGAGAATAGGACAAGACTAGTGGTTACTGTGGAGACAATAGGACAAGATCAGTTGTTAATGTGGAGACAATAGGACAAGACTATTTGTTATTGTGGAGACAATAGGACAAGACTAGTGGTTACTGTGGGGAGAATAGGACAAGACTAGTGGTTACCGTGGAGACAATAGGACAAGACTAGTTGTTATTGTGGAGACAATGGGACAAAACTAGTGGTTACTGTGGAGACAATGGGACAAGACTAGTGTTTACTGTGGAGACAATAGGACAAGACTAGTGGTTACTGTCAGGGAACTGTGCAGACAAGAGGACAACACTGGTGGTAACTGTTAAGGAGTTGTGGGGACAATGGGACAAGACTAATAGTTACTGTGGAGACAATAGGACAAGACTAGTTGTTATTGTGGAGACAATAGGACAAGACTAGTGGTTACTGTGGAGACAATAGGACAAGACTAGTTGTTATTGTGGAGACAATGGGACAAGACTAGTGGTTACTGTGGAGACAATGGGACAAGACTAGTGGTTACTGTGGGGCAATGGGACAAGACTAGTGTTTACTGTGGAGACAATAGGACAAGACTAATTGTTATTGTGGAGACAATAGGACAAGACTAGTGGTTACTGTGGGGAGAATAGGACAAGACTAGTGGTTACTGTGGAGACAATAGGACAAGACTAGTTGTTATTGTGGAGACAATGGGACAAGACAAGTGGTTACTGTGGAGCAATGGGACAAGACTAGTGGTTATTTGTGGGGAGTATAGGACAAGACTTGTGGTTACTGTTAAGGAGTTGTGGGGACAATGGGACAAGACTAATGGTTACTGTGTGGTCTACAGGACAAGATTGGTAATTGTCTGGGAGCTGTGCAATAGGAAGAGACTAGTAGTAACTATCACGGAGCCTGGAAAAATACCTTGGTTTTATTCCACTTACCTCATGAAAGAAGGAAGCTGACGAATGAGTTCCAGCTCATCGTTGTTCAGCTTTTTTATTTGGTTCTGGACTTCCTCCAGAGGGCAGCACAGGTGACTCATTGGGTTTGACATGAAGTGATCCATCATGGAGAACTAACGAGGCAGAGAATAAAACAGAGTTACTGATAGAAGAAATCATATATACACTTTGAATCATTATATAATGTAGAATCATATATATACTGTAGAATCTTATATATACTATAGAATTTTAGGTACACTGCAGAATCTTATCTCAATTTAATTATTGTCCATAAATTGATTAGAGGTTAGAGTTGAAAGGTATACTTTCAAACATTTGAGGTGAATTTGATAATGGGCTAAAATGAAAGAAAAGTTTACACCAGGTCAAAAATACCTCACGGCAAATCTCCTTGTTAAAAGTACTAACCAGATAATAAATAAGTTTGATAGTAAGTGCTTCAGTAAAACTAGGTAAAGATGTTTTGGTGCACAGAAACACTACACAACAAACCTTGAGATTTTATTTAGAAATAATTGCAAATACAACATGTACCTGTAGTCCTTTAATAAAATTAAGGACAGAAAAATCATGGTACAGAAAAATATCAAGCAGAAGTTTGAAAACTCTGGAGCCAAGCTGGAATGGACAGTTTTTGGTCATCAGAATCTGAAACATAATCAAAGAAAATATGAATCTTAAAACCAGAATTATGAGTAATATAGGTCAGGCTTGTCTAGGGATGCTAATCAAGTAATTCTTACTCAAACTGAAAAATACACTAAAATTTGTCCTGCACTTCTCCTCAAATCCTAAAATACAAAATTTCCCAATTCATTTTAATTTACTGCATGTAAGAACCATAGATATGTTGCCATGTTTAAATATTCTAAATACTGATGCACTGCATAACATTTTAGGAAAATCAGTATATTATTCCTATTCTCAAAATTCTCCCAAATGTGAATTTTTTATCCAAAGATATGCCTCTTCCTGAAAAATGAAATAAAAACTCTAGATGTGTTAGAGTACTTGTGCCACTAATTCAGCAGAGAACTGAGCAGTCATTAAGATCTCGTAGTAACTTCTCCAAATGTAATACAGGTGAGATGCTCACCTGGCTGATGAGTTGGCTGAGATATTCTGTAGATGGTGGGGCCTGAAACTTCTCCATACACAGCGTAGATGACACAGCGTTCGGCAGGAGGCGATGGACAGCTGACACTGATGTTGCAATGCCGAACACGAAAACAATTGGCAGTTGGCTTACATAGTTACTGTAACAAAGTAGACATTACAAAATTTAAGTACTACATACATAAAAAAAATGAGAAGCTTAAATGGAAATTCTCTTTCATTTCAGCTCTTCAGACATGTCAATCTACAATGTGCATGACATTAATCCTTATAGACACCTGACTAACACTGGTGTGTGACCCCCAAAATGACCCTTGTCTATAAATCAGCTTACTAGTCAACCACACCTTCATTTCTGTACACAATCAAAGATTTTATAATCACTAGAATGCATCAAAGAACAGAAAATTTAAATCGCTCAGACTTTGTTTCGTTCATACCTGCAGACAGTAATGAATTCCTGTAAAATTCGTGGTTGAAAACTTTCTAGATCCTCAAACACCATGATGACTGGGGGGAGGGGTTGACGATCCTTACTACCGCCGTCCAAAGATTTACGCTTCTTAGGACTGGAATGGTTTGGCTGGAATTAGTAATTCAATCACAAGCTTATAATCATTTTCAAAAGAAATCAAATTCTGCAGTAAAAAAGACAGCATTTAAAAAGTGTATTTGTCATAAATTTATACATAGTTAATTGTCATTCTTGTAACTTGTCAGTAGTTTTTAACAACAAAATTATGACCAGTCTTTTTTACTAGAGATATAGTAGGTTCTCAAAATTTTTGACGAGTTTTATTAGAAAATCATGAATAGTCTGATATTTGTGCCCAAAATATCTCTGATCTCAGCAAGAAAGAGAGCGTAATGATATATTGAGCACTTGTTTTTCTATAATTATCTTGCTTCTCTAGTGACAGTTATTTTTTTACATTCAGAAAATTTTCCTATCATTCAATATTAGGATTGAAATCATGGGTAAGACAAAAGGGAAGAGGGATGTGGGAATGGAGAGGGGGCAGTGGGTGGGGACAGTTTTTGGATTTTCCATTTTTCATGCTATAGTTATAAATGACAATATAATTAATACTTGTAATTTTCAATTTCACAAATTACCAATAATCAAAATTCTTTTCCAGTTTGGAAAAAAATTAATTGGTTTTTAATTTTCTGTTGGAATGTATGTGACTGTTATAATGTTTAGTTTAAGTTACCTCAGTAACTTGAGTCTGTTAATATATAGCTTAAAAGATATCGTAAACTGCTATAGCATGTTGATATAGATATATACTTACAGAATATTTATCATCGTACCAATCCGCTAATGTGGCCAGGCTTATGGGTAGATTTTTTTCACTCACATCGGGCGATTCCTCGTCATCAATAAACTTTGTGAAGATTATGATATTGGTTATAATATATAGACACTGATTTTCTACATTTCAAAACATTGAATCATTTTACACAAAAAAAAACAAGCAAATAATGGAACATTCCCTATATCTACCATGTTAAATTTCCAATTTTTCATTTGACAATTTCAAAAAGTATGTTTCATTTGTCCCATGACTCTGGGTAAATTAATCACTATATTGGTATTCAATCTTTATGCAAATGCCAATAAGTTTCAATGTATTTACTATAATATAAACATTATACAAGGAATCATCACAAAAACAGTTTTATTTGCTTTGCTAAAATTGTATCAGTTAAATTAATATTTATTGTTCATGTAATATTAAAATGCAGAGGAATGTTGGGCAAAAATAAAAATTTACCAATTGAGGGTTCTTCAGAATTTGTCCAAGAAGTTTGGAGAGTGTGTTTTTAACATTATTACAATCTTTTGACTGAAGGATGGCAACAAGGGGAGTAACTTTCTCTTGAAGCAGATTGACAAGTGTAGCAAACATCACCCCATGGTCTGGTGTATTTACACCTGAAAATATACAACATTCTCATCAATTTATTTTTCAGTAAGTGCAATATTTGTCATTTCAAAGTTCATAGACTACCTAGGGAAGGAGTCCTATACAATATACATCACTTTATACTGTCACCTTAGGTTGAGATTGTTGAGAGCATCTCAGGTATAGATCATATCCTGAGGCTTAGCTAGTCACCTGAGGCTGAGATCCTCACCTAAAGTTAAGATCATCGCCTCAAATATAGATTGTTATTTGAGGTTGACAACATCACCTCAAGAAGAAATTGTTATCTGAGGTCGAGATCATCACTGAGGTTGAAATCATCACCTGAGGTTGAGATCATCACTAAGGTTGAAATTGTCATCTGAGATCGAGATCATCACTTGTGGTCAAGATCGTCACCTGAGTTTGCTTACTCTTGGAAATTAAAAACAAAATTCCAGGGGTAAAAAGGAAGCCATGAATCCTTTTCTACCATTCCAAGCAAAGGAATGAATATAAGCTGAAAGCTTGATTTCCCTACCTTGACGAAATATATATATAATGTTTAATGTATTGAATAAAGATATTGCTTAAAGAAAGATAACCTCATTTCTGAGATACCTGTTACAAGAGCAGCTGTAGGGATCTCCTTGGTACGAGAATGCCCTGCTGGATTTGACAAAGTAAAACTGGACTGGCATGTCTTTGTGAATTTCAGAAGGTCATCAAATATCTTTGTATTTAAGTCAGACTGTAGAATCTGGTAAGAGAAAAAAAATTATGATCCTTAAGTTAACATTAAAATGTATTAACACAGGTACCACAGGTAATGAAAGGCAACTGATCAAAAAATTTTGATTCTGAAGTACAATGTTATGACAAATATAATAATAAACTTTATCTATTTTATAACAAGTGCCAAGTTTTTCCAACTTATATAAATCACTCTTGTTGGGTCGGATGGAAGCACACGAGGGGTCTTAGTGTGGGAGGGAACCGGAGTGGATTAATTGATCATGATATCTTCAGAAATAAGTAAGTAGAGCCACAGTGACAAGAGAAAAATAAGCATACTGTTACCAACATTTGAATTTTTTTTTTCCTTTTTAATTCCCCCTGTTTTTAATGACATGACTTTAAAATCAAACAATATCACATTAGGGGGTATAATAGGACTGCAGTAAGAAATATTTTTCAATTTCTGATGACTTAACCGGTTTATTTTTTTTTTTGGGGGGGGGGGGAGGGGGGGGAGGGGGGGTAGGTGGGGGTTGTAGTAGACATAGCCATGTTCATATGCGAAAATTGTCTCTTAGTGAAAACAATTGAGTACTGTCAATATATGTTTCACATCCCAGGTCTAGTAAAAGTTACATGTCATCTCTTCTTTAAACTTGTAGGTGTCAATCCACAATTACCTGTATTTCAGTATCAATACTTTCCCACAAACTCTGATAGATATCAAGTCTTCTCTTCCAAGTGTTCACAGTCTCACTTCTTTGGAAATATCTTTCTGAAGTGTAACATCATAAAACTTTTTTTTCAATTTTTCAGAAATGCACTACAATTTTAAGTCTTACGCATACATTGAAATAAAATTTAAATGTATCTACAGTCTTCCTTATATCTATACAATTATAATTAAATCTACTTGCAAATTACATTTTTCTTAAACAGTAGTTTTCAATACAAATATAATAAAATAATTGCTGATATGGTTAATGAATAAAATTTTTAAAAAATATAAAATGTTTTCATGAAAAGAATATAACTGATTTGAGTTACCATCATGTTTAGAGGATTACTGAAAAATACTAAAGTTACCAATGGACATTGAATCAGATCGATAACTTCTCATGGAGATGACTGGAAATGTTGTTTGCTTCATAAATCAAACAGAACATAAACAAGTTACCTGGGTTGACAGATTTCTTCTTTCCCTTATATGCAAAGACTCCCTAAAAAGAAGGAAAAACACTTTAGATTTTCATAGTCCACAAATCTTCCAACAGATTTTTTTCAATCATACTTGATGTAAAAAAATGAATACTGATAACTTAATGTTTGTCACAAAATTTGCAATCACATATGTTTTATGTTTGTACATCTGAGACCAGCATATCCAAGTCACTGTACTATAAACTACAATGGTGCAGTCATTAGTATGATCATACACATTTATTTAACGTATGTAAACAATCATCCAATACCATGTAAAGCATGTTTAATGGTGCAGTGTTTTAACACATATGATATATAATACAATTCAAAAAGTACTGGTCATGATTAGGACAGGGACATTTCCAGGCAGTTTAGGGAGGGTTCGGTTAGTAGAAGTAGACAAAGTTGACAAGTCACTGAATTAATATGCACTTTATGCTATACTTTATAATGATATGTGTAACATTTTACAATGGGTTACCTTCATATATCTTGTCAATATGTACACTCTCGGATATGTGGCCATATCATTTATTAATTGATGTCATGCCAATGAGGTGTATACATTTTGTGTACGAGTTATTTCCCTTCGGGTGTTTAAGGGGAAAAATATCCATAAACATTTCTAAAGGCCAACTAATGGATAGTGTCCCCTCAACTAAACCTAAGCAATTACAATTAAACCAATATCTTGCACAATTGTCCATTTTGTTGATTTTCTCTAAGACCTATTTATTATACTTCGGATGTTATAATTCTGACCAAAATTAATACAACTTCACCTAAGACATGTCATAGACACTTCTGCAATTGGCAATAAATGCTGGATTCATAATGTATTTTACCTTTGACACCGACGAGCCTGTCTCCATCATAGATTATAAAATATATTCCCACCTTTTCGAACGAATCAGTCAACACGTGTAAATGCAATATTTCGCGGGAGTTTGTTTTGATATTCTCAACTCCAGGTCTCTGCTACGTTTGATGAGAAGGGATCGTGATACAGATCGCCCAAGCGCTCAATTGACCTTGAGAATTTTTTTTGCTGCAGCCGAACAAGATGATTTTCTTGTTAATTATATTCCTCTTGGTCCTCTTTTTTTCTGTGCTACCAGCGTATTCTGGAGACATAACGAAAAGAGTAAGATTATTAATTGCTTTGCCTCTAATGATTTGCTAACATAAGTCGCAATGGATCTAAATATGTATCACGATCAGATGGACCAGTCGGCAGCTCTCAAATAGTCAGACACATTCTGATTTTTTGTTGATAACAGATAAATGATCAATTATAGCTATATATCGCTATCATAAATATTTACATCTATATCAATCCGTAAGAAAGCTATATTTTGATAAAGATGCGTGGATGTCCATTTTTTGTTTTCTAACTTTGTGTTCAAGTGACTATTTATTGTCAATTTGTTCTTCGTTGACCAATGTGTATTGTGCAGTGTGAGCATTTAGTTCACATGCCATAGCTGTAGGTGAGCATAAATTTATATGTTTATTTTTAGTCATTCTATAAGCAATATGGAAGTGATAAAGTTTGCAATTTTGACAAATGTGAATAAATCTGTTTATTCATTATTTGTAAAAATATACAATGTTGCATTGTTTTATTAGGCAATGTTAAAGATATGATGCCCTGCATTACAGTAAAAGTTGATTATATTACTCCCAGCAATATATATAACTATCCCTCAAATGCAGAACTATGTATGCAGGGTTGTACCTAACCTGTTTATAAACAATATCTACCACAGTTAAGTATATGAAAATGGTCGATAATGGTATTGACAAAAAGATAGGCAAGATCAATGTAGATATTGTACCAATCTCAGCTCTAATTTTCATTAATTTCATCTTCATTCATTTTACAAACCCGCATGATCTATCATTTATATATGTAATTTAATGTACAAAATCAGTTTTTGATAGGAATTTATTGGTTATTGCTTACTGTAGTTTTTGTAAATCAAACTTAATTGCGATATGTTAAGATGTTGTTGGGCAAAATGGCATTGGTGTTTATGGCAGCCAGGTAACTTTCAGAAAGCTGTTTAAATAGGTTGTTTGTGGTGTATCTACACAGAAATGATGGTCGTTGATACAAGTAACCACTTAATTCAGCTAATTTATACAGTAAATCACATTAGGAGAAAAAATTATGGTGACATTGATAGGAATTGGTTAAATTCAAGTAGTCATTGAGGCAGGTTTGTCAGTAAGCTTAGACTGAAAGATCAGATGCGAGTACAGTTAGCTCTCACACAATCATACATAATTGTTTCCTGTTTTTTCTTTGCAGTTGGGCAAGTTTTTCTTGCATGTTTCGGATGAAGAATTGAACCTGCGGTCACAAGTAAAAGAGCTGAAAGCAGAGCAGGACTCTATCAGCATGACTGATGAATTTGCTAGATATGCCAAAATTCAACGACGCATAGACAAATTGATGACACAGGTCAAAGAATCAAGTAATTAGACTAATTACTGACATCTGCCATCCAGACCACAAATTCATGAATAAATCAAGACGCTTCTCTTTGGCACATGAAAGATGCTGGATTTCAAAATCACTGATAAATTTAATATTTTGTTTGTACATATGTATAATGGGAAATAATTCAAGTAAAAACAAAAATGAAAAAGAAGAAACTAAATAATACAACAATTTCAATAATGAAGGAAAGTAACATTTTATGATGTCAATTGTTTAATAATCTGCATGCAGTGAAATGGATATATTACAACCATGAAATTGAAGTTATACATCAGATTTGAATATACAATCTTAACTTTAAGTCATAAAGATGTTAAAATCTGAAATCTTCTGTCATTCAGATTCAACCAGGATGCAGAAGAGCTCACTGTTGTCATTGATTGTCAGAATTGGAATATATGTAATTCAAGTAAGTATTGGTGTAACAGGGAAATGTTACACTTACGAAAAATATATTGCCATTTCATCAATTAGAAGGTGAGAATATCAAAATACGGTGACTACACTGGCTGCCTGTATATCTAGACTGATTCAGACTTGGAGTGCACCCATTATTGTTGTGATTATAAGAAAAGTAATTTAAGAGATTCCATATTGAAGCTTTTATTCACTAGTTAACATACCGTATATTTGCCCAGAAATGAAACAGCCATGAAATAATATTTTCTAATGCAGGGTGAATGATTTTAGATGTGTGGACATTTCTACTTCAAAATTATTGATGCATTCTTGGTGTATGGCACTAATAAATGTCCATTCTGTGAGAATACTATATGTTTTGCAAATGAAAGTTTTGTTTCAGTCTCCTCTCGCAGACTATGAAAGAACTGTGCATTTGTTTTCAGGCATTTACAATGCTAAGTTTGGTTTTCCGGTACCGTAATGAGCCATTGCTAATGTTTCCATCAGAATGGTTTTACCCTTTACAAAAGTTTGTAGCTCTGCCTACAGGAATTCCAGGTATGTACAAAATATTTGGCAAAAGTTGTCCCTGATTCCTGTTCATATTAAAAGTAAGAGTAGATCATTTATAAGGGTTTTCAATTTACGAATATTTATGGCAGTGTCGTATTTTTGCGGTTGAAGAGCAGGAACTGAAAATATGTCATGTTATTCTCTCCCAATTAAGATTTTTCAGTGCTCTCAATTTAGATTTTGAAGTGCTATGTTTTCCTTGCACTCTTATTGGTGTTTTAGTTTGAAATGAAAATCTATTAAGTTTTCAAAATATTTTTATTTATTTTGCAGGTGCCCTGGGTATAGCATGTTGGATCATGTTGTGTACTGCTACAGTTTATCGTATCAAACAGTTCCTGGTCACTTAATCGTCAATGTATCCTTGGTCTTTGTTAGACTCTTGAATACTCCTGTGTGTTTCAGCTGACTTTGGAACACTGGCAATGACTGGAAAATGTTGGTTCATGGCAAACAAAACATATTGAACTGCAGCGAGAGGTTCATTCCAGATTTTGTGACATCACAATAAAAATCTTCAAAGGGCATGATGATATATTTTACAAATTACAAAGGACTGGATATGATGTTTGTGGTATATCTTTGTCAAGATTTTTTTATTAATTTTGTTGTTTTTTTAAGAAAATATTTTCTTAATTTTGGATAAGAATGAGACTAAGTGCTATTATGTGAATGATAATAAAATCGTGACATACAGGGAAAATTAAAAAATTGAAATCACATCTTAATCCAAAACTTAGCTAAATGCAAAATTCAGCAGCAGTTATTCGTATTACATGTAATTATTGATATTGCTACTGAAAGTATAGATGATATTACTTTGTGGTGTAAGATTCTGTTTCAAATAAAACAATCTCAATTTGAACTAATTTTATCAAATTATCTCCCTTTAATTGCCAACACCTCTACTGTCCTGACTGCCCAATCATGAATTTATTTTTTTTGAGTGCATTATAATAATTGAATATTGCACAATGCTTTCTCTATGTATTTTAAACTAATGTTTTGCCATATTTAGAGATACTCACGCTTGTGTTCAAAATTTCAAATGACATGAGAAATATACTTTCTGTGTAACCATACACATTGTTTGTTTCCCCAAAAGTGATATATGAACAGTATTTTTCTATTGTAAACAAATACTATATATAACCTGTGAACCCTTTATTTTTAAAATAGGCTAGTTCTACACTACACTTATTATCAATTTGTTATATATCATCCAGCACCTCGGATAAAAGCTTACATGTATAGAACAGGAACTCTTATAAAGCTCACTTGTATTTTGTTTGTTATTCTGCTCGGTTTCTCCCTATGAAAGGATGGATAGACTGCAGTATTGGTGTTCAAATTAACATAAAAAAGGTTTTTTTTAGGAAAACATTTTATGAAAAGTTTGAGTTCCTAAGTTGATAAAGTAATAATAAGGTAATTTATTGAATGGATTTGTGATTAAAATTCGTTGTTTTATAGAAATTTGTTGAATAGCATATCTATGACATGGAATCAAAGGTCAAGGTCTTCAAGGAAAAGAAATGGTCAAAGTTTGTTTCTGTAAACTGACAATTTTTTTCTTTAAGAAATAATGTAATATATTAAGGGATGTAGTACATTTTATGTATTTGTGAATCTCATTAGATGTTGCTTACCAGTAGTCAAGGTCGTTGGGTCAAATGTCAAGGTCAAATTGCTGATTATGATGTGATAGATAGTCATATTCTTTGAAAAACAAAAAAATAACAAACAAAAAAGTAAATCAAACCTGGTCAATGTCAACAGGTCAAAGTTCAATGTGTCTGTCATTTCCAATTGATATTCAAACTCCAAGATGGTTATTTGGTTTGTGTTTGATGATTTTGAGGGTATCAGTTAGTCTTCAAACAAACCAAGTTTATATGGTTGATTATTCGAGGGGCATTTGTGTAGAATGAAGTGAGGTATGTAAAAGTTTATTATTCTATGTTTAATTCTATTGTGTTGTTATTTTAGCAGGATGTATATGTGTATGTTATCAATTTTAGATTGACATCATACAATAAACAATATCTAACAAGAAAAGGATCTTCTCTTTTGTTTTGTCTATCATTAGAAACGTCATAATGTGCTTTACCAATTCTGTCAATTTTATTACCCTAGGGTCTCACATTTCTCCCTTGAGAGGCATGCAGTTCACTATGGCTTAAATAGATAAATTTGATTTGAGCACAGTTTGTTTAATTTTATTGAAAATAATTGGTTGGAATAATCGGTCAATAATATCCGCGATTTACATTAGCATTATCTCCCTTTGTTCACAAACATGCATCTATAATATATGAGGTTACAACAGCAAAAATGACACTTTTAATAGAACTCAAATGACTGTTAATATTCATGTACTAGGGGGAGTCATAGTCCCTACCTGCCTGTGTCTTTTTTTATACAGTTAGTGTAGCAGTGTCAGAAAGGAAAGATATACTTTCTTTCCACCAACTTTGTTCAACTTTAACAAATCGTATAGATTTCCATATATAGATTTTTATACGCTGCCAGAGGCGGTCGTATACTGGCGTCATCTTCTCTGACACTGTACGTCCATTTCTTGTGAACGCAACTCCTCCTAAATTAATCATCAGATTTTCACGAAACTTGCTTAATGTCACTACTATAATGGGTAGATGTGCACGAAGGGGGGATTTTTTGGTTTGTTGATTTTTATAAGATTTATACAATTTTCAACTTTGTATCTGTAGCTTGCTCATAGTGGAGCCTTGTGAACGCAACTCCTCCTAAAATGATCATCAGATTTTCACGAAACTTGCTCAATGTCACTACTACAATGTTGTCAAGTTGATTATAACACCTGTTTCCATAGTTACATCATTTGAACTGTGCTAGTTTGAAAAAAATGTTTTATATTTCTCGCAACAACCTAACTAGCAAGTGTAAAGTTGCCTGACTTGGGCTACCACAATGGCAAAGCGATCTGGGACTTGGTTAGTCTAGCTGATTATGGACCTACCCTGGACTATTTTCAAGGTTATCTTCAGTAAAATTTCCACACCTCTATTGCACTTAAGAAAGATTGATATAGGTTAAGAAAATCTGTCATATCCAGCTATTGTCTCTGATTGTTAGTAGCCCAATTCAGATATAGCTACATATACTACATCTGACAGACCTGTAATAATTCACATAGATTTTAGGTAGGCGAACATGGCTTACTCATGTATCTAATGATACAACTTATGTTCTGAAGAACACATGACGACACCGGGTAAGTTTACCCAATACTTACCATGTTAAATGTTGTTGTATAAAGTTGATTCTTTGCATGTGTTTCTGAGGAATCCAAACGCCAGTAAGTAGTATATCATTAGCGGCATATTTAATTAAATGTCACGTTAAAACGTGTCAGCTGGTACCGACAAAAGTTGCCACCGCTAACTTCGGAAAACAAAAACACTATATTTTACTGCCTTTAAATCACAAAAATTAAGTCTGGCTTTTCAATACAATTCATTCATAAATCTGGTTTATTTCATGCACATAGCAAACAGCTTCAAGAAATGACTTTTTTTTTTAAATATTCGCAACATTAATAAAGGGACACTTCATGAATAAGTTCATTGCATCTTCAAAGCTCAACTCAATAGCTATGCTATCAAGTGCTAAAATTTCAAATAAATATTAAGGTGCATTTTTTTGTTACATCATAAATCTATATTAAGTTAGAATGTCTTGTACATAAACTGAACACGTGTGTCTGCTGACTGCTCAGCCCCAGGCTGGTCCCATAACTTTCCCTTCTAAGTCCTTGGAGGGTCAGTAAATTTGATTTTAATTTACAAAGTCAACCCAGGTAAAAAGTTTCCAATCAACTTCATTCCTCCTAATGTTTAAACCACGCCCAGAGATGGCTATTTTGTCTCCCATAATGTGATCTAAAATTCATGTTATCATATGACTATACACATATTTCCAACCAAAGATAAAAAATAAACAAGATTAATTTAATTGAACATTATTAGCTTTATTCATTAAATTTCAACCTTAAACAAAGAATAAATAGTTCTACAGCAATTGTAAAGTATCCCAATGTAAACATTTCATCATCTCCTTTTCAATAATATAATGCCAAACCTGTTCTATGAATAATTGTGAAATGTTCGTCACTTCCATGATCAAGAGTTATGTCCCCTGCAAACCATTTTGATTATGGTATCGATATGTAATCATCATAGTTGTTGCAGTATTACCTTTAACTCACCATTGGGCATTCATAATGATTTAATGGCGATTCTATAATTTTGTTGACAGGAAGTCAATGATACCGATACCCTGAAAATTTCATCCCAATCAGTTGATGAATAAGATCACAATAGCAAAGATAATGATTTCCAAAACAGCAACAAAAAAGAATTATCCTTGTCCATATAAAATTATGCCAAAAACAGTTGGCCACCTTCATGACAATCTCACCTTGTCCATCACGAATCTTACACTTGTGCAGATAAGTAGTCAAGCTTTCAAAGCAAAACAGCAATTGTCTATAAAAACACCAGCAAAACGAAAGTCAAACCTTTTAACACAATTATGCACATAAAGTGTATGGTCAGTTACAAGGAAGTTATTCTCCATGGAAAGTTTTGTTAATGCCTAAACATCAATACAGACATGCTTTACATATTAAACATTGTTTCACACTGTTTTACTGGATCATGAGATTTCTGTTTACTGAAACGGTGTCGCATATGTTCGTCTTTGCCATTCTAGCACTGAATCAGAATATAACAAGTTTTAACAAAACATTCCAACCCTTTGCTAAAATTTGCTTCAAAATGAATCAAACATCTTTTTCACCAAAATGTAAAGTTGACCATGAGATCTGTATCTAAAACACAAAGGGAAAGATTTCAACAAACAGCTTTGTCAATAAATGCATATAACTTGTGTATCACCTGATGTTTTATATTGATTTTAAAATTACTCTTTACTTTCTTTTATATTAATATCTAATTAATATCTAAGTTGTAAAACAATCCCGAATCCAAGAGCACCAGTATCATTAGCTCTTGAGCTTAAAATTGAACATACAAAGGTGAATTTTTAACACCATACAAAGGTGGCAATCCTGAAATTATTTTAGAGTTGTCTCCAATTTAAAGAAATGAGCAATGGAAATGGCATCTCAAGGAACAATAAAGACTGCTTTGTTAGTGTGATTTTGTTGAATAAGCAGATATATCATAACAAGGTGAAGATCTTGAAATTGTGGTCCCACCTTCCACCTCTACCTAATTGGTAGGGTGTGCGGCTGAGAGGTAAACTCTTCTGAATTTAAATCCAAAATCTTCACAAAAAATGTGCTTCTAACAAATTATTAATACCAATTACATAATTTTGCAGGTCCAGAATCTTTAAAAACTATAAAACCAAACCAACATCTGTAACTCCAATATGATTAGTGGTTAATCTATTTGGTCATTCAAAAACCAGTTTTAGAAATTGTGAATGGATGATGGACACTCATGTATTATTGAATATTAATTTATTATAAAACTTGAATGCTCAAAGTGGTTAATTTTTACATCATTAACCAATGCATGTGAAGATATTACAATTATTTTACATGACCTGTTTCATTCCTATGAATCTTGAACAAAAGTCTGGCATTGGAAATTGCGAGTGTGACATTCAATAATGTTAGAGCAATTTAATTTTTTTTATTTGTTTTACATATGAATCCTCCCATTAATTACTAAGCCACTAGTTTCTTCTAGTAACAATTTTCATCTAGGATTATAAGAATTACCAGGTATTTAATGTTATCACTGGGATTGTGCCAGTTCGGAATCCCCATAAAGAAAATTTAACAAACAATACAATGCTTATTCATGATCTCTTTCTTTTCTGCTTCACAACGTAAAGATATCGCAATGCTTAGCATATCTTCAAGGTTTCTGTAAAACAGGTAGGTTACAGTTCATTTTGCTTTGAGAAACCTAGTTGCCATTCAACTTTAGACATTACATTGTCTTTTCAATGACATCTAATGGTGTCTCTTCTCCATAATAAAACTATCTTTTTATTTTCATCATTGGCAAGAAATCTGATATTGATAATGTTAAAATGTTACCCTCCACCACTGCGAAATTCTGTAGTGCCTTCAAACCGCCAAAAATTGTCAATTATTGGGGAAAAAAATAGTAAATCCATACCAAAGAAAAGCCAGCATGGTCCATAGAAGCCCACCTCCCTATTTTGAGTAATAGAGGAAGTTTGGCTTAATGGACATGATAGAGGGTAAACTGATAACCTACAATACATTGTTAATAAAGTCCATTACAACATGTTCTTGCATCGAGTAGTTCAGCATGTATCTGCAGAACTTCCTGATATGAAAACTTATATAAATCATTACATGGCTAAGATTTGCTACAAAGCTCACAGAGCTCATTATTAATAATATCTGTCATGTGTATTGGAATAAAAACTACCCAAGATTTAACACTCTTTATGAAAAGAGCCTATTTATCTCAACTTCCTTGTCAGGAAGGAGAACAGAAGTCTGTATTTCTTTCTATTTTTTCTAGTTATCCACAAAAACACAATATCATTAACATCAAAATCAATAATAATTAACACCAAAATAAAAAAAGCACACATGTTGCTAGGTAACGGGGAAAGTCTCTCCATGGAGCACTGGACACAGTCAGGGTGGTGTGTCGGGCTGGGGATGGCTAACGAGACATTCCCACAAGCTAGATCCTAGATCACTGGCCTGGTGAAGAAGGAGTAGGTCAGATTGTAGTTCTTAAAGAAACAGAGCTGATGGTCATTACGGACGTAACCTTTGACTTCTTTCTCTGCCATCATCTTATGGTTGTCTTTAGCCAGAGATGCCTGTGGACAGAAAAGATCAATCGTAGTGATGATAATAAAAATCAATATGAGCACTTTATTTAAAATCACCATCTGCTTTATATAGTTTTATTTAAGTCTTGAATTCCTTCCTGTTTCCTTCCCTATCTGCTTTCTTTCTCTCTTCCTCTCTCTAGCCATCTGCCTTCTTTCTCTCCTCTATCTAACCATTTTCTATCATAATCTGTCTCTTCTCTCCTTTTTTCTTATATGTATGTATGTATGTAGGTATGTAAGGGCGTGTGTGTGTGTGAACTTCTTTGTGTACATACAATGAAAAAATGCAAAAAATAAAATAAATATAAAAAAAGTTGATTATTTATGCTGTACATTATATATATGATGAACACTCACAATTTGACAAATCCGTAGATGATGATGATGATGATGATGATGATGATGATGATGATGATGCATGTTAGTGATGATGTGTATGATGATGCATGCTAATGATGATATATATGTGTATTAGGATGATGTGTATGATAATACATGTAAGTGATGATGTGTATGATAATACATGTTTAATGATGATGTGTATGATAATACATGTAAGTGATGATGTGTATGATAATACATGTTTAATGATGATGTGTATGATAATACATGTTTAATGATGATGTGTATGATAATACATGTTTAATGATGATGTGTATGAGGATGATGTGTATAATAATACATACATGATATGTATGATGATACATGTTAATGGTGATGTGTATGGTGATGATGTGTATAATAATACATGCATGTTTAATGATGATGTGTACGGTGATGATGTGTATAATAATACATGCATGTTTAATGATGATGTGTATGGTAATACATGTTTAATGATGATGTGTATGAGGATGATGTGTATGGTAATACATGTTTAATGATGATGTGTATGAGGATGATGTGTATGATGATACATGTTAATGGTGATGTGTTGTATGATGATGATATGTATGATGATACACGTTAATTGTGATGTGTATGGTGATGATGTATATAATAATACGTTTAATGATGATATGTATGACGATACATGTTAATGATGATGTGTATGATGATGATGTGTATGAGAATATATGTTTAATGATGATGTGTATGATGGTACATGTTTAATGATGATGTGTATGATGATGATGTGTATGATGATACATGTTTAATGATGATGTATGTGATGATAATGTGTATGATGATACATGTTGGACATATGTATGTATGTATGTAAGGGCGTGTGTGTGTGAACTTTTTTGTGTACATACAATGAAAAAATGCAAAAATAAAATAAATATAATAAAAAAAATATGAGCACTTTCCAAATTTTTAGAATATTCATTGGCAAGACAACAAAACTGAAAGTGCATAGCCTCCATTTCTAATTAATAGCTTGAATCCATAGATATATATGAAACTACCATTTCTGGTGGACAAATTAGAGCCAAAAACTGACAGTCTTCTAAGCTCCAAAATAAGAAAATAAACATTGAAAAGCCTACAAATGTGATTAATAAGTAATCATAGAAAAGCTATATTTGAAAATCATATCTCAAAAAATCCCATAAAAAGATCAAAACAGTATGCGTGTAGAGTAAGGGGAGGGCTTACTACAGGACAATGAAATAGTCATCATAAGGACAGGTTTGTCTGGTAAACCAGAAATGAAATTTTGGAATAAGCAGAAAATCTTTACAAGAATCCGCATGGAAACATTGTTATATATACCTGTATATTTAAAGGAATAATATTCAGAAAACTAGAAAATATCTCCACTCTAATGCATATGATTATCATTGATGAATTTGTGAAAGTTGTCAGATGTGACCTTTGACCCTTTAACTCTGAACCGATGACTACCTCATTATAATAAGGTGTAGAATTGGATGTTCTATTACTGTGGGGCAAACATGAACCAAATCATTCAGGAGGTTCTCAAGAAATGTTATTGTTGCAGCACGGGACAGAGCAGATGGACATTTGAAATTCCAATATGTCCCCATAAAATGACAGGGGTGTAAATATGTTCCAGAGGTCCCTTTTTGTACAACTACATTATCTATAGTGCTGTAATCATGTACCTTGTTAGCAAAGACTGTCATAAGGAACTTGCCCGGTCTAAACGTGGACAGAACTTTGTCAATCAGCATATGATAGGATTCCTGAAATATAGAAAATAGCATGAATATTCATTAAGATTTTCTGTCTTCTTTGCATATGTTGTGATATTCTGACTCGTATCATAAATTAAGACAATATTTCTGCTATTAGGATGCATAAATCATAATTCATACACATATTCTATAAAAACATGTATCTGTGTCTGTGCTATCAAGAAACCAGTTATGGTATATTGAGTAGATTTACCTGGGGAACGTTGGTTTCAAAGCTGACGTAGGAACAGTGAGGCTCTGGAGTCACATGGATGGTGATATAGTAACCCTGCACAGAATAAACCATTCTTCAAAACTTGTCAAGAAAGATATTTCTTCTCAATGAGTCTTTAGATCAATATAAATCAGAGATGTCTTCAGGCAGGAGTACACATTTATAGAAAATCACAAAAACGAAATATTTCATGATTGATAACTAAACTTATTTTTTCACAAATGCTCCTGTTTCTTTAATTTGTAATGACTTACCCCTGGTAACAGACCATTCATAGAATACCCACAAGGCTCAAACAGGAAGTCATCAATCTGAACTCCAGGTATAATATCAGATATGCCAGAGTCCTACAAAATACATTTGTTAAATAATATATAAGGGACTCACCCTTACAATGATAATGACTATACTCTGTCTCACCCTTTCATCAATACTGACTATACTTAACCTAGGAATGATAACAAATATACTCAAACTTCGACCTGGGATTGCCACACTTGACCTCTGAATGTTAAATATTCATAGACTTATCTTTGGAATAATACCAAGGTTGACAACTATACTCAGACTTGACCTTGGAATAACAAAAATACTCCGATTTTTGTTGGACTTTTTCTCCTGCACTCACCTTGGTTGCCTGAGCAGCTGACTTCGAGACTTCCTGTGTGAAAATGGCCATCTTCTCTCGACACATATCCCACATTAACAGGTGACCAAGTCAAGGAGAAATTTGCCACATTATCTATTTCTATACCTTGATAGACAGACCAAAAACTGTCAGAAGTCAAACTGACATCAATGAAAGGACAGACAAAATTTAATGAACAGCTTTTCAGTGATAGAAATTAGTTATATTTAAATGAATGGGTTAGATATTGATATTTTTTCGTGGTTTTACCATATCAGTGAAAAATGTAATGAAAGTTTCAATCCCAGTAAATTAGATATAACTGTTATTCATAAAAAACACACAAAGAATATTCTCTTTTTTTTTAAAAATAAGGTGAAAATTTTTTCAACAAGTTACTTTGAAAGGGCGAAATCTCTAATAAAGAAGAGTTAATACTTTAATACAATAATGAATCCCCTTTCCCAAAGAATGCATTTGATTCAATTTTGTCAAAATCTGCTCTGTCGCTTATAGTGATTTGTAGGAATTGCTGACAGGCGGACAGGCGGACAGATGGAAGGACGACAGATGCCGCAGTATCACATAAGTAACCTTATGGTTTATTTCCTCAAATTAGATACTAGCTATTTAAAGACCATAAAAATTTATATTTCAAGAACATAATCCTTAAAGGATATTTCCACAGTCTGGTCTGGCAAGGTGACTCCTTCCTCATCTAGTGTATACAGATGCCTGTTCAGTAGAAAGCAAGTCATTAACAATCAACAGAAAAAATTTAGATGTGATATTCTTAGCAAGCAATTCTTTTTAAAGTCAATACTTCAATCAATATGTTTGCTCTCTCATATCGATCAAAACTTCTTCAATCTCTTAACATTTTTTATAATTATTTCAATATTGAAAATCACTAAAGTACATAAGCTTTCATTTCAAAAGTACATTTTTTATATGCTTTATTGGGTGAAAGATTTTGATAAAAAATAGTTTTATTTTTGGTACTTAAAATATCATGGTTCAATGTTTAAATAGTATGACAAAAGACAACTTTTTCCCGTATTGATATCAACTTACAAGTTTTCAGACTTACCAGCAATCTCTGTTAATACGTCCAAGTGTGTATGCTGCACCATCTACAAATTAGTGAAAGTACACAAACTTTAAAATAAACACTGTACGGAAAAATTCACTTAATAATAGTAACCTTTCAAAAAATTTAAATGAAGCTTGCAAAAATGTATTCAATTTGTCATTGATTGTACATTTGAAGTTAATTTCACATTATACGTATGTAATACATATAGTGTTTCAGTCTCAGGAACTGATATTTATACATCTATCATTTATTAACAATCATGATATAGCCACATTATAATAAAGTATCTTGTATATTATTATAGATATAAACTTTAGCAATACTTACTTTTAAAGATTTTATCGAGGTGGCCGACCTAAAAATTAATCAGAACACAAGTTTGTTTATATCTGGATGAGGAATCAGAAACCTTGATCTCACAGAAGTAACTAGATAGTCACTCTCTATAAATAGTACAGGATTTCACATCAGTAGAGTCACAATCTTTTGTGATGGATATCATATTGCTTTGGATATACTCTTTAATGTCGAGACAATTAAATCAGTGTGAATATGACACCACACTACTACTCATGCTTGTCAGCACTATCAAAGTACTGCAGACCTGAAATAAGTTGGATGTTTCCTGATTTTGTCGAAAATTTTAGAGGTATAAGTCTTATAAAGGGTTTACAATTTTTCTCTTAAAACCTGTACTTCCAGATGATGGTTTTACATACAATACTAAAGGGAGGGAAACATTTGTAGTCTTAACATCACAATATCCCCACTTAAACAATTTGAACATTGCAAGTAAAAAAAAATTCTGATTCATAAAAGCTTCAATTTACGGTAAAAGCCTTGTCTAATTTCACCTGTGACCCCATAATAAAGAATAACTTGTATGAAAATCATTCTTTTTCAATAACATAAGTCAATATTCCAAAGTTGTCTTCCCTTTACCTCATCTTCAAATGTTCGATGGATACTGTGCTGTTGCTCTGGCCGTGCAAACTTCTTCCTTGAATAGAAAATGTCCTACAAAAAAGGTAACATTATAATAGGAATTGTTTTTTTACAGCGTGAAAGAATTTTCTATAATTTTTTTAATTTGTAATGTTGGGTGTTTGATGAATTAAAAGTCAATCAGCTATATTTTCTATTACACTAACATTTAAATACATCAAAGTTTTTTATTGCCAAAACTACACATATGTGTTGCTAAGGAAATATTGCAGAATCTTACAGTAAGCCATATCTCTAAGGAAATGTTATAAATTTATACATACAAAGACTGTATCTAATCCACATTTGTTCTTGGCCAGTCTAAGTAAGGGCTCGATGGCTAACAGAAGAGTGGTTTTCCCGCAGGTTTTCAGGATAAATCGCTCCTTGGTCACAAACATGCTGCTTTCACTGTATCAAGAATGTCCAAAATACACAAAAACTTTGTATTAAATCGTAAACACTACCTTTTTCTCCTTACTCTTAGATGAATATCTGTTATATGACTTGAATTTTATTAGGTTGTACTTTTTCCCCCTTACTATTTCATGTTATATATCTACATGATGATGTCTTTAAACATAATGTTGTAACTTTCTACATGATAAAATGTCTTCAAACTTAAAGTTGTAACTTAACTGGTGATAACTTTATCTGTCAATGTTGTGATTGAAAATTGACATGCCACATGGATATCTAGAATTAAATAGTCTATTTTGACATGCCACCTAGATATCTAGAATACAATAGTCTATTTTGAAATGCCACCTAGATATCTAGAATACAATAGTCTATTTTGAAATGCCACCTAGACCTCCAGAATACAATAGTCTATTTTGACATGCCACATAAATATCTAGAATACAACAGTCTATTTTGAAATGCCACCTAGATATCTAGAATACAATAGTCTATTTTGACATGCCAACTAGACATCTAGAATACAATAGTCTATTTGGATATGCCACATAAATATCTAGAATACAACAGTCTATTTTGAAATGCCACCGAGATATCTAGAATACAATAGTCTATTTTGAAATGCCACCTAGACATCTAGAATACAATAGTCTGTTTTGACATGCCATATAAACATTTAGAATACAAAAGTCTATTTTGAAATGCCACCTAGATATCTAGAATACAATAGTCTATTTTGAAATGCCACCTAGACATCTAGAATACAATAGTCTATTTTGACATGCCACATAAACATCTAGAATACAAAAGTCTATTTTGAAATGCCACCTAGATATCTAGAATAAAATAGTCTATTTTGACATGCCACAAAGATATCTAGAATAAAACAGTCTATTTTGACATGCCACCAAGGTATCTAAAATACAAAAGTCTATTTTGACATGCCACATAAACATCTAGAATACAAAAGTCTATTTTGAAATGCCACAAAGATATCTAGAATACAAAAATCTGTTTTGACATGCCACATAAACATCTAGAATACAAAAGTCTATTTTGAAATGCCACATAGATATCTAGAATACAAAAGTCTATTTTGACATGCCACATAGATAACTAGAATACCATAGTCTATTTGAAATGCTGCCTAGACATCTAGAATACAAAAGTCTATTTTGACATGCCACATAAATATCTAGAATACAAAAGTCAATTTTGAAATGCCACATAGATATCTAGATTACAATAGTCCATTTTGACATGCCACATATATAACTAGAATACAATAGTCTATTTAAAATGCTGCCTAGACATCTAGAATACAAAAGTCTATTTTGACATGCCACATAAACATCTAGAATACAAAAGTCTATTTTGAAATGCCACCTAGATATCTAGAATAAAATAGTCTATTTTGACATGCCACAAAGATATCTAGAATAAAACAGTCTATTTTGACATGCCACCAAGGTATCTAAAATACAAAAGTCTATTTTGACATGCCACCTACATATCTAGAATACAATAGTCTATTTGAAATGCCAACTAGACATCTAGAATACAAAAGTCTATTTTGAAATGCCACCTAGATATCTAGAATACAATAGTCTATTTTGAAATGCCAACTAGACATCTAGAATACAAAAGTCTATTTTGAAATGCCAACTAGATATCTAGAATACAATAGTCTATTTGAAATGCCAACTAGACATCTAGAATACAAAAGTCTATTTTGAAATGCCACCTAGATATCTAGAATACAATAGTCTATTTTGAAATGCCAACTAGACATCTAGAATACAATAGTCTATTTTGACATGCCACATAAACATCTAGAATACAAAAGTCTATTTTCAAATGCCACATAGATATCTAGAATAAAATCGTCTATTTTGAAATGCCAACTAGACATCTAGAATACAAAAGTCTATTTTGAAATGCCAACTAGATATCTAGAATACAATAGTCTATTTGAAATGCCAACTAGACATCTAGAATACAAAAGTCTATTTTGAAATGCCACCTAGATATCTAGAATACAATAGTCTATTTTGAAATGCCAACTAGACATCTAGAATACAATAGTCTATTTTGACATGCCACATAAACATCTAGAATACAAAAGTCTATTTTCAAATGCCACATAGATATCTAGAATAAAATAGTCTATTTTGACATGCCACCAAGGTATCTAAAATACAAAAGTCTATTTTGACATGCCACATAGATAACTAGAATACAATAGTCTATTTGAAATGCCAACTAGACATCTAGAATACAAAAGTCTATTTTGACATGCCACATAAATATCTAGAATACAAAAAGTCTATTTTGAAATGCCACAAAGATATCTAGAATACAAAAATCTGTTTTGACATGCCACATAAACATCTAGAATACAAAAGTCTATTTTGAAATGCCACATAGATATCTAGAATACAAAAGTCTATTTTGACATGCCACATAGATAACTAGAATACCATAGTCTATTTGAAATGCTGCCTAGACATCTAGAATACAAAAGTCTATTTTGACATGCCACATAAATATCTAGAATACAAAAGTCTATTTTGAAATGCCACATAGATATCTAGATTACAATAGTCTATTTTGACATGCCACATAGATAACTAGAATACAATAGTCTATTTAAAATGCTGCCTAGACATCTAGAATACAAAAGTCTATTTTGACATGCCACATAAATATCTAGAATACAAAAGTCTATTTTGAAATGCCACATAGATATCTAGATTACAATAGTCTATTTTGACATGCCACATAGATAACTAGAATACAATAGTCTATTTAAAATGCTGCCTAGACATCTAGAGTACAAAAGTCTATTTAGACCTGCTGCCTTGATATTTGTCTAGATTAGCCACTTTTAAAGTGCCACCTACCTAAGGACGTAGGCATCCATGTCGGAGTTTGATGTCTTGCTTAGGATCTCACATCTCACAATACCTAGCAGTTCCTCCCAGTCCTTCCTGTAATTTAATAATTAGATTTTTAATATTTATTTACATCAATTAATCATAAAATATATAGTAAACATATTGAACAAAAGATCATTAGACAAATTTGGCATCCACCATCACATATTTATTGATTCTATATGAAATTTCAGATTGATTCAATCGGCATTATACTTCTCAAAGAATATCTTGCCTAACAAATTTCAATAGACAAAAATCCAAGATGGCCACTATCAGCCATTTTTATGTTGGATCAGTCCTAAAAGCCAAACTCACAAAACAAAAGGGCCTATTGGAAATCTACATGTATGTGAAATTTGAAAAGGATCCATCACTATGTCCCAAGAAATAAAAAAAAAAAACTCAACAACATAAGCTAAAGATGAAAATTTTCACACTATCTTTATTGTTGGAAAGAAATATATATATATATGTACGGTATGTCATATATTTAAAATCATTTAACCTTACTGTCAAGCTCAGAATGTGATACCACAACACAAATACTCTATATCTAAAACATATTCTTTCCTTACTTCTTTAAGAATGTGAAGAAATTACCTTACCTTACAAGGAATTTTTAAGAATAGTAATGATGACCTTTACTCTGAAATTTTAGCTTGTCTGAGATATAATTTCATTTATTAGTGTTAAGCTGCTAGAGTGCCGCCAAGGATAAGTTTTGTGTTACAAGTACAGTATGTGTATTACACACAGACAGTCCCAACATCCCTAAATCTCTTACCTGATAACGACAAGGATAAGTTTTGTGTTACAAGTATGTATGCAAAGAAATGTCCCTTTATCTCCTACTTGATATTCATGGCCAGAAGATAATTCCATTTTAAATCATCAACTTCAACTGATTATAAATTATGTATCACTATCATAACATACAACTAAATTTCCATAAAATAATTTTTTTTTTTATACAACTTTACATACATGACTCCTGAAATTGGAGATTGAGAGGAATTTTCAGCTATTTCCAGAAAATAAACCAAAATTTCCATCCTGTAAATCTGAAACAATATTTCAGGAAAAACAAGAACAATATATAATTAATATTGTAAACAAAATGTCAAAAAATATATAATTTATTGACACATTTGAGGAAAGTCATTAGTAGAACATTTGTATGCAATGCCTAATAATGGTGGAGTATATGGGGTATGTAGTATATATATACGCATGTTATAGCCATCTTAAATGGTCGGTGCAGATGCGTTTCAAAAGTCTGTAGATCTTTAAGCTTCCAGTTATTGGCATATATATCTACACCTGCAGTTGCCAGCACTTGTACATGTACCATGCATTCAATTAGTACATTAATAGCACTTTAAGTCTGACCTAAAGAAACTTTCCCATCACCAGCCCACCAACAGGTCCAATTAAAACAAAAATCTGACTTGGGATGTTTTTTCTAACATCTAAGTTACAACAATACATCCAGACTACATATTACAGTGTATGTACAGAAGTGATGACATTATGTATTGTTATTTTTTTCTTTCAAATTTATTGTCATAACCAATGAAAAATCACCCATCTATTACTTATTTATAAATGTAGTGTTACCTCAAGTTATTTCATATGAATTACCTCAAGTTATTTCATAACAAAAGATTCACGTTGCGTAAGACCATCAAGAAAAAGAATAAGTTCAAAGAATAATATTTTATGCTCTGAATACCAGTTAACAAGATACAACCAAACCATACATCAGCTTCCAATTTAAGTATGAGTTATGCTTCATTGTAATCACTTTAGATTTAATATGTCACACTTGTGAAAAAGTTCTATCAACTAGCTAATGATTTGATAGAACTTACTTCACAATTGTTGTAAAATAAACAAAGTTTCATAAAATTCAATACAATCCGTCAACCATACATGATATAACAAATAACTTTCAAATGAAGCTTGTCTTTTTCAGTTAAAACTTTGCCAAAAGCTAACTTCAAAAATACCAATAATCAAGAATGCTGATATTTCTGTCTACAGCACACAGGAGTGACTATTTCAAACTGTAAAAAAGATTGTAATGATCACAATTAAGCACTGGCACAGTGCATTAATTATGCAATGATCATCAATGCATCACCGCTGTGGTGACAATTAAATCAGACAATGTCCTGAAAAAAAGACAAAGAAGAGGTCTATTCTTAAACAGATGAATTTTTCATGCATTAAAAACTTGATATAATATTTTCAGCAGTAAGCCCATTCCTGGTAATACCATTCAATGTATTGATATTCAGTAAATTATAAACTAATGTCATTTATTCCCCTGTAATACCTATTAAGCCCAAACCCTGACTTATAAGTAAGCAGTAAATGGGTTGCCAGCTTGGCTCTGTCTGGCCACAGAATGAATATGGTATAGTTAATGTATGTACAGTACTGTAAGAAATTCATGAGTTATACAAACTGTGATCAGACATTTTAAAAGGTTTTAAAAACATATTTACATAAAGTATACTGACATAACTATCCGTATTACTGTTGATCAACAGACCATGTCCTGTCATATGAAATCAAGCGTACCGTCCATAATTAGGAAAATTACCAATCTCACTGAAAATTTAAACTCCCATAAAATATTGTATATAAATAGAAATTTTATAAATGTTTTGCTGGTTGCAAGACTGTGGTGAATTCAGCATTAATGGACTTTATGACACTTGGATGAAAACTGTACTTATAGACTCAGAGGTAGAAAACTTCAGACTCTGTTTACAGTCATAAATTTGGTAAAAAAAATCTTAACATTATGCTGAAAAGTGAGAAGTAAACTGACTGAAAAAATTAATTCTTTCAATAAATATTTAAAACATGCTACAATGTTTATCCTGCTATATATCCAAGGACCCTGAACACATTAAATCTAACACAAAGATGAACTGTGCTTACATTATTACAAAGAAATGTACATGCATTTGTTTAATAATCTAACTTTACAGCAATAAGTATGCATGGGGTTATTGCCAGGCATGGGCTTATAGTTTAGCAAGTACAGCAGGGAATAAATGATACATTAACCATACTGTCATGCAAAGGCATAAGAACCAATTATACTCTGTCCAGCAAAAATTGCAACCAATATTCAGGCTTGGGTGTACTGCATGTGGCATGTAGATTTGTAGATTTTCTCTCATTTTCATGTTAGCAAGAGTAAGGTCAGTCTAGATAATATTTGTGAAGTAGTTTTGGCAGAAAACACACATTACACTATTTACAGTTACTAAATAATAACGGCATTTGGTTTTTTATATCTTTATTACATTTTGTGAGATTAGAATTCTAATGAAGTTCAGTAGCACATACGTTCTGAAACAAAGCAGCATGATGTCATACTCTTTTAATTTTACAGCTGTTGCACTGCTACAGGTCTGAATGCGTCTGCATCAGTCATTTTTGGCTCCTGAGTACAAACATCTGATGAATGTTTGGGTTGTTGTGCTGACTTCTGGCCGTGTACCTAAAATGCTTTATGTACATATACAAGGTCGTGATGAAATGTTTCCCGGATTATAAAAAACTACGAAAGTTATGACAGCTCAACAGAGTTTTGAGCTATAGTGCAACCTCAGGTCAAAAATCTGACTTGATACTTTCTAGTGTGTAAGAGAGCAATTTGTGCTTCTCGGGATATCACGACCAAGGACTTTCCTTGATTGTATCATTTTGCACAACAGACACACTTTTTCCCATTTTCTGTAGACAGCATGCAGTGGATTACCAGAATGATGTTCATTGTTCAATGATTGAGGTAGCCACAAATAAAACTGACATCCCTGTTTCCCATTAATCAAACAGGTTTGGGCCATATTTGACTTAATCATTCCTGGTATCAGAATCAGGTTATCACCAAGATGGCCACCTGTCAGCCATTTTTTTTATATCATTCTCAAAATCAAAAAGACATATTGCTAGGGAGCATGGGGAACCTACATATGGTATTTGAGAATGATCCATAACATCAACAAAATTTCTTGTCAAAATCAAACATGGCCATTTTCATTTTTTAATCATTCCTTATGCCAAATGTTTGGTAAATATCCACTCAGTCCTTCTCAATAGATAGCAGTAACAAGAACTGTTTATGGACAGACATCAGACAGAGCAATGGACAGTTGATTGGTGCAAGGTGATTTCAATAGCTCATCAACTGATGATAGTGGGCTAAAGTTATGGGTTGTTTTTATATCTAGCTATAAAGCATGTAAATTTTGTTAGTACAAGTACTGATATCTATTTGACAGATTGATAGTCATAACAAAACATATTAGACTCTATATAGCAACTATCTATTGTGTCATGCGGTGCTTGAATGCAACAAATGTATAAACATGTGAATATGCCATCAACTACAAAAAAAAAAAATAGTCCAAATAATGGTCTGGAGTTAACTTCAGCCCATTTCACGGTTTTAAGTGGTTTTTGGTTGAACTATATCTTAAGTTATCATTTTCCCTCACATCATGATCAATGACAGGGCATTTTGTTGAACTAAAAAGCTAAGATGAATTCATACTCTATGACAGCTGTCAGAAATTTATGTGAAAAATACATTAGACTGAATGTATTTATGTTTAACAACAACACATGTTAATGTGCCAAGCAAGGCTAATGATAAAACCAACTGCTGAAAATAATCTATTTGGATGAATGAAGTTATAAAAATTTCTATACATTTTGCTGACCTAATAAGTTAAGATGAATTCATACTCTATGACAGCTGTCAAAAATTTATGTGAAATATCCATTAGACTGCATGTATTCATGTTTAACAACAACACATATTAATGTGCCAAGCAAGGCTAATGATAAAACCAACTGCTGAAAATAATCCATTTTGGATGAATGAAGTTATAAAAATTTCTATACCTTTTTAGCTCATGTATCAGGAATAGTGTGATGTTTTATTTCACTATATACAGATTGTCATTGAACAAGTTTTGAGCACTACTACTTCAATATATATTATTTGCAAGTCCTGTCTAAAAATAAACAACAACAAAAACAGGCTTGCAAGGGACAAATCTAGACAATACCCATAGTTATAGATCAAATATACTTGTTAGTCCATTTGTTACCTTTGTGTACACTAAGTTGGTCAGTGCTAGTATGCTCCACAATGGTCATTTCTCTGGGGTTGGAGATTGCCAAACAAGCAGGGGCACAGTTGTATAAATGTACTCTCCCTTTTTATGCACTTGCAGATTGGGCCAAGTCACCTACCCGAACATTTTAGTTTTCCATGGACGCTGGTTTCCCCCCGTGTAAGACCCTTCTGGTGCTTCAATACTACAGTACAGGGCATATTTCATATTTCTTGTTTTCAAAAATACATGAAAATAAATTCAAAAAGGTTATGTAAGCTCACACACAAGCTATTTTCATTAGTTTTCAAAAAAAAAACAAATTGTATTTTTAAAATGAAATCACATTCATGTCGACCAATGACTGAATCAATATCTTACTGAAACTGTGTCTATCCAGAGACGTATATATCATATGTGTTATATATGTCTCTGGTCTATCTAAAAACTGTTAACAAGTATTATAAAGCGTCTTCAGAAATCATCTTTTAAATTAATACTCAATAAAGTCAGTGACATCAATTGGTATGTTGCTAACATGACTATAATGCACTTATTTACCAAGTTTCACGACTGGGAGAGTTATTGAAACATAACTTTAACGTCAACTATATAATTTGTGTGGCGTTATACATGAGGTACATCGAAGCCTTACACATGGTCTAGGCTATTAATCGCACAATGAATTACTTATAAATAGTAAAGTTGACAACATCAAACGTAAATGATTTATAACAAATATCCTCCCGGTTTCTGAAAGGCAGTTACAGTAGATAATACATACTTGTACATAAATAAATGCCTCCTACTGACAGTACTAGGACTAGTACTGTTATTTACCAATCCTATCAGCAATTCAAAGATTGCTCCAGCGGTGACAAATACGACAAATATAGTTTTGCTCAGCGGCAGCGAATATTTCATACCTTTGTATATTTCTTAGATCATGATGCTCATTGTCCGAGGATGAGGAAAACCATACTTCCAGTAATTTCTCTGTTCCCTCGAAAAAATTCTCATGATCGCTCGCACCGGCCATCGCTTGGGACGATCTCTGAAACCTAAATTTAATGTAATGTCAAGGTCATTCAAACGGGAGCAAGGAGGCCAAAGTAGTCGATAGTCAACTTCTGAACGATAAACAAAAAGGTATATGAGGCCTGCAAAATGTAAACGTCTATTTTCATCGTATTTCACGACAGGGTTACGTAGTCTGTTTTTTTTCTGTTTCAAAGCATATCTAAAAAGTAGATTGAAATTATCAAAAAATTAAGCAGATCTGTAAACAACGAAAAATTGACGATAGAATTCTGTTTAGTGACCGACACCTCAGTCGAAACAATATTATATTAGTGACAGCTTTTCATTCTGTGTGGTTTCGATGTACATAGCTATTGAGATACGGTTAAAATAAGTTACTTGTTCTCTCGATAACTTGTAGGAATTTCTTCCAAGATTTCCTCTTGTTATTTCGCGTGCGATTTTGATATTGGTCAAGGTTGTTACTGTTGAACGACTTTATAGATCTGTAAGTCCAACGCTAAATTTTATCTTTCTTGGTGTCCATAGGAATATACACATACACGCTTTTAACATTTTACTTTGGGAAATGATAAACTGTTAGATGATATAAATTTGTAAAGTAATATGTTGGTAAGCAAAAGGATAGATAGCCTTGGGATCGACCGTGATTAGCCCGGAAACGCACATCTCTCGTGAGCCCTTTTGACTTAAAAATTGATATCACTGTAGATTTTGAAAAAAAGAATTAAAGAACAAATTGATTTCTTTGATTATTATTATGCACTTGTATGAAAGATTATGGCACGTATCAAACCATTAGAAAAATAACAGATCACACAAGTAAACCGCTATGATACTAAATGCTGCAGTGTTCAAATTTCTTCCATCTTAAAATGGTATGCTTTCCACTATAGTAGCCGCAGCCGTATCGTGATCAGCAGGTTCCGGAGTACAGGGAAGCAGAGGGGAAGTGTCGTAACACTTAAGTTTAATTTATATCTCTTGCGGATACAACGTAAAGCGGAGAGAACAGATCATCAAAATATCCCAAACGCTGGTTATATAATTAGTTCTTATACAGAGAGAACTCCAACATAGGAATGGTTTTATCGAAATCAGGCACGTGCCATATAGGGAAATAAGAAACTTATTACAGTGGAGACTTCCGTGTTGTTTTTAGTTTTGTGCTTGTTCACGCCTTACAAAGAACCCACTCCTTCATCACTGTTATCTTATCTGCCTTGATGTGAACCTTAACTGTATATGTAGTTAGCGTGAACTTTGCACTGACCTTCATGACCAGAGCCATTTTGTCGGCCAGTGAGAAGAGAATCTCATTTTTGTAACATAAATAATAATGATAAATCATTTTGGCGTATCACAAAACTTATACCAGTCAATCGGAAAATTAATCAGCTTTAAATGCCATTTATTTAAAAACGAATCTCTTCATATCTAGGGCTGAATGTTATACAAAATATTTAGGATGTTATTTTAGCTGTGAATCGCTTAAAGGGACTAAACGGTTAGATATTCATTTCATGGCATAATTGATAAAAAAAAACCATTATAACATTTAAATATCTTTTAAAAAAATTATGCACTTTCTATTAATTATGATATTTTAAAGTTTGCATAACTAAAAATAAAATAAATAGGAGTGACCCAACGCGAATTCATGTCATTATCGTTCCGGGAGTGTTTAAACAATAGCTATGCCTATGCAATTTTGAATTTAGATTAATTCAAATTCATTTTTTCGCCCTTTCACGCGTTTAGCGTAAAACAAGATGTCATTTTGAAAAGTAAGAATTGAAACATGTGTGGCAAATTAAGTTTTGGCTAATTACATTATTAAACATAGTAAAAAATCATATCAAAACGGCAGGTAAAAACGAGGCTCCGAAAGGTCACGTGATGAACTCGACTATCTCCAATCAAAGCAGCGATGTGTGGTAAACATGGCAACGGCGGGTGTCGACTAGCCTAAGTTAAAAGCTGTTAATCTTTATCAGTTTCTCTCAGAGGGTGTTATAATTTTGTGAAGAATCTAATTTCTAAGTTTTACAACGCTTGACCGAAATCAAACGCATGTGGGAAAATGACGAAATCTAACCATTCAGTCCCTTTGTTTTTTTTTTATTAATTAATTGATTATTTTTTGGTTTTATAAGCACCAGAAGAAATTATTTGTCACAAAAATTAGCACAATCAATTTGAAAATCATTACGCTTTCTACTATTCTTTACTTTGAAAAGATTTGGTACTTTTGGAGAAAAATGGTTGATAAACACAGCAAGGCTAGTCCACTACAATTTCTTCGCTAATTAGCGTTACAAAGCGATATACAATGTAGGCAGTTTCTTTTCCATCTGTTTCATATGTCCCTCTCGGTACACAATCTTGCCTTAATTTACATAAGTGTGTAAATGAGACCCACCTTCCATACAGAACAGGATTTGCAGTGTTGTACACTTTAATAAGAGACATTACGAAAGAATAAGGCCGGCCACGGTTTTACACTGAATGCAATATCACATGCAATTTTTGGAGTAAACTAAAAAAAAGTTTTAACACATTTAATCATGAATTTTCTTGTGTCTTTTTTGAAGGCTCTATTGTGTCGTTGAGGTATAAACATCACATTCATTTGCAAACGTATGTTTTATTTTATAAATCTTGATGCTAATTTCCTAATTATAACAACTCGTCTTAATATCCAAAAGGCACAGGGTAATGAAATTGTGTCTGTAGTCTACTAGCATGATTCAGACTTCCAGGTTTGTTCAAGTACATGATCTTGACTGAATTTCAGAGTCACAGGGATTAACTTTTTGAAAGATTTCTTTTCAATAACCAAAACGCACAGGGGCCTGATATTGATAACACAGACTCACATTCAGCACCCCTCTGGACACCTGTCCTCACATGGCTGTTGCAAAAACGTTAAACCTTTTTTAAAAAATGTATTCACACGAGGTCAGTGACCTATCTTTATGTCTCTGTTAAAACCGAGAACCGCGGAGTGACAAATTCGAGTGCAAGTTGCAAGTCAGATAATAGGAGTTTTGAGTAAGGTATTGTCATTTTTGTTAAGTTAAAACAGTACCCTAAAACCAATCAATATCAACACTTTTGAGAGATCATGAATGCCTAGTTATTCTATAATTTCACCCTTAATGCTCAAGTTCTGTAACACTGACCAGAATATACATTTTGTTTGTAACACTGGTCAGAATATACATTTTTTGTAACACTGGTCAGAATATACATTTTTTGTAACACTGGTCAGAATATACATTTTTTGTAACACTGACCAGAATATACATTTTTTTGTAACACTGGTCAGAATATACATTTTTTGTAACACTGGTCAGAATATACATTTTTTGTAACACTGGTCAGAATATACATTTTTCGTAACACTGGCTAGAATATACATTTTTTGTAACACTGGTCAGAATATACATTTTTTGTAACACTGGTCAGAATATACATTTTTTTATAACACTGGTCAGAATATATATTTTTTGCAACACTGGTTAGAATATACATTTTTGTAACACTGGCTAGAATATAATTCTTTGTAACACTGGTCAGAATATACATTTTTTTGTAACACTGGCTAGAATATACATTCTTTGTAACACTGGTCAGAACATACATTTTTGTAACACTGGCTAGAATATACATTTTTTATAACACTGGTCAGAATATACATTTTTTTATAACACTGGCTAGAATATACATTTTTTGTAACACTGGCTAGAATATACATTTTTTGTAGCACTGGTCAGAATATACATTTTTTTGTAACACTGGTTAGAATATACATTTTTTGTAACACTGGTCAGAATATACATTTTTTTTATAACACTGGTCAGAATATACATTTTTTATAACACTGGCTAGAATATACATTTTTTGTAACACTGGCTAGAATATACATTTTTTGTAACACTGACTAGATTATACATTTTCTGTAACACTGGCTAGAATAAACATTTTTAGGTCATCTGACCCGAAGGGTGTGATGACCTCTTGCGATCGCCTTTTGTCCGGCGTCGTCCGTCGTAAACAATTTCAACTTCTCAAGTTCTACCTGTGACATTGAGCTGAAAATTACCTGAAATGATCGTGACATGGTCCTGACCAACGATTGTTAATTTCGGGTTGGTCCGAAATCCAAGATGGCCGCCATCTTTAAAACATATTTTCGACTTCTACTCACGTTCCACCAGTGCGATTGAGCCAAAACTTGCATGAAATGATTATGACATGGCACTGGCCAAAGTTTGTTACTTCAAACATCCTCTGAATAATCAGAACACCCGGGGTGATGATATTTGGTCTGTAGCATGCTGGGATGAAGGTTTACGAAGTTTGTTTAAATGAATAGCCTTAACCCACTTTCAAGGTGGTGGCTGAGTGAGTGCCCTTGATTCTTAAATCCTTGTGAAATAAGTTCAAAATCTTGTATTTTATGTCAGAAGACCGTTAAGGCCCATGGGCCGCTTGTTTTGCAACACTGGCCAGAATATACATTTTTTGTAACACTGGCCAGAATATACTTTGTTTTTGCAGAGAATTGTGGTCAATAATTTCCCTATATAGGTACGTTCATCCGGTACTTCCTTCCACACATAAAATACCTTAAAGGCAAATGCCTTAAGGCACTGAGTATTCTAAAGGTTGTAACCCATACTAATTGGGGAGCTGATCGAAAAGTTTTGTTAAGACTCTAAAGAGCCCTTATTAGATCGAAATTGGACTACGGTTCCTTCGTGTATGGATCTGCTAGACCTTCATATTTAAAATGATTAGACACTGTTCATAACCAAGGCCTCAGGCTCGCTCTCGAAGCTTTTAAGGCCACACCTACAGCAAGCCTATATGTAGAGGCTAACGAACCATCACTATATAGCTGTCGAAATAAACTGGCTTTGCGATACACCATTCAGCTAATGTCAAACCATTCAAATCCTGCTTTTCCCCCTGTATTTGATCCAAAATTTAAAACCTGTTTCAAGGCAAACCAAAATCATTCCATCATTTGGTATTCGAATTTACGCTCTTTTACAAAACACAAATATTGATGTTAACCAAATTCAGTAATTTGGAAGGATAGAAATTCCACCCTTGGCTCATGAATTCACCTGAAGTTGACTTTTCACATCATGAAATGGTTAAATCAGACACAGACAGTTACACCATTCGTTCATCCTTCTGGAAATTGCAGTTAAAATATGAAACATTTCTACATTGATATACTGATGGTTCAAAAGATAATGATAAGGTTGCTGCGGCCATGGTTACACAAGATGAAACCTATGGATGCCGGCTTCCGAACAACGCCTCAATATTCTCGGCAGAAGCGCGAGCTATCTACCTCGCCCTTGAATATATTCAAAGAAACAAAGTAATGAGAGCTGTTATCCATTCAGACTCTCTTTCTGTTCTACAAACTCTTAGCAATAGAAATATCGAAAATATTTTCATTCGTAATACCTTAATATACTGAGAGGTAAAAGAAACGCAATTAGGAATTTCCAAGTCAACTACGGGAAATAGAAAAGGGGTTTAGAATGTAATTATGGTGTAACTGGAAGATAGTTGACCACTCTGTCATCTACGAGAATTTCATTCGTGTACTTAAAGTAAACCTTTCAAATTTGACATTGATTCAAGAGTACCCCACTCAAAATGAAGTGCGTTTTGGACCCATCAATATCGTGTGTGCCCCACGCGAGCTGCAGTAACTGCACGAACTCTTTTGTGCATTTAATTGATCGGGCTATTAACCCTCCCCATTGGTATACGATTCCATTCCTCATCCAACGCCAACGCCAACTGAGCGACGTTGGTTGGAGGATTCGGCCTACGTCTTATCCTTCTGTCCAGCTCGTCCCATAAATGTTCTATTGGGGAGAGGTCAGGGCTGTATGGGGGCCAGTCTAGGGTTGGGACATTGTTTGCTGCGAGATAACCACGGCAAACCCTCGCTACATGCGGCCGGGCGTTGTCCTGCTAAAACGTCAGTTGATGCTGCTGTACTAGAGGAACAACTTGCGGCGCTAGGACTTGATCTCTATAGCGGACGGCCGTAAGATTTCCCTGAATAACGACCAAAGGAGTCTTGATACCATGCGCAATCACTCCCCATACCATGACTGATCCTCCTCCAAAGCGGCCATTCTCTGTCTATAGACACGACGTCGGCCGTCTGCCCGGTAAAGTGAAAACCTGGACTCATCTGAGAACAGGATCCTTCTCCAACGTTGCATTGGGAAACGTCTTACGGAATGTGCGTTCAGCCATTGCATTCGTCTGGCACGTCGCCGCGCATTAAGCTGTGGTCCAACATATGGCCGCCGCGGTCTTAGACGGAAGGCACGCAGTCGAGTACGCACTGTCTTTGGAGGATCAACTGGAACATGATGACGCCCAATTGTGTTCCTTGCTGTTTCGGTGGCCGTCAGAAAGCGATTGCGAAGGTGCAAAAGTCGCATTGACCTATCCTGCCGACGCGTCGTCACACGAGGGCGACTGCTTCGGGGAAGGTCTGCAACCCTTCCGGTGGCATTTAGTCTTTGGATGAGACGGCAAATGTTCGATGGATGGACTCCAAATTGATTAGCGACCCGATTTTGCGGGGTACCTTTCATAAGAAGTGCAAGGGCACGACCCCTGTCAACTTCGGACAGTCGTGGCATTTTTACGGTGAACTGTTTATGCTTAAAATGTTGGAAATCAAGACGGATATGTCCGAAGATTCGCACACACAGATTTTGAACCAATCCTTTATACTGGGTTCGAGATATCGTGCTTTTGTCTCTCATTCTTTTGTACAAGCGGCGTGCGCAGTTTAGTTACGCATCAGTGATTTTAATACGGTATCATAGGGACCTAACTCAAATGCACACATTTGTCAAGTTTCAAGGGTGTACGTCAAGGATTTAATTTACAATATTAACTTTCTGCTAATTGCGTTTCTTTTTCTTCTCAGTATACTATATCATGAACTTGCTTTTAACTTTCGTATTACTTTTTTGCTGGGTTCCTGGGCACATGGGAATAACAGGTAATAAAAAAAACAGATCGTGCCGCAATTGAAGCTTTATCGCTACCACCTGTTTTTTTTTTTTTTTTTTTAACTTCATTTTACCGATTTTAAATCATTTATTAAACAGGTTTTAAAAGCTCAGTGGCAGGTGGATTGGATTACCTATACCAATAACAAATTGCACTCCGTGAAACCTGTTATCGGTTAATGGTCTCCAGGCTACAGAGACAACCACCGAGACATACATACATACCTTACATAATCACATATGCTGAAAGGTGAAGATAATCCTTGGTGCTTAGGGTGTGATGAGCCATTCACCGTTAAACATTTTTTATTGGACTGCAGTGACCTTCTGTCTACTCGAGAACGTTTTGATGTAACATTACATGTCTTACCTTTTGGTTTGTTTAATGGTATTTCCTTTTGAATCGCAGTGTTTTACTGTTTGATGGCCCGAATGATCTTTAATTTGTTGACGGGCGTTAAGAATGTAATAATAATATTCCATCAGATGTTTTGGAGCGAATGTCCAGTGAAAGAGTGACACTGGTCTGCATGTGCCAGAGCAGGACAGAATGCAAGGGTAGATAAAGTATTATGCACTCCAGCCCTGGACACCAGTCCGAGCAGTAAGCAAATTTGCTTTGAAATGCTCTTGTATCATTTTCATTTTGTTTTCAGTTTGATTAAAAAGTGTATTTCAATTTCAAATATATTCTTAAAATTAAAACAAGGACTTCTATAATTAAAATATCAAATAGTTGATTTCAATTTTCTATGTACCAGCTTTTAACTTGAAAATGAACAGTTTATATTAGGCTTACTTATTGTAACTGGTGGCTACTGTACTAACAACATGCAGGAGGCACATGGCATGCTATCCAAAGCAACTGAAATTACGGTAAGTCTTACCACAGTAAACCACTACCTAAATTCTGATCTTCAAACAAATTTTCACCTGATCTTGCAAAATATGATGCTCTACCAAGTGAACTAATACAGGCCCCATAGACCTTTTGCATAAAAGCAACATAAATCAGCATCAAATAGCAATACATGCTGAAATGTCATCCCATAAAAATGATCACAGCATAACTACATGTACTAACTGGTTTCCAGCCTCTAGGATTCACTCTCTCTTCACCACCATGGACATTTCTATATCTAATACAGTTTCAAACTTTTGTTCATTCAGCTGTGAAATATACCATTAGTCTAAATCAGAAACACAAAGAAAAGAAATGACTGGATGTAGCATTACGTCAGTCTTTCATGATGGACAGTATTCTTACATTTTTCTGTAATTAGATGATTATTGAAATTCAAAACTGCAGGCTACAGAATCACTTTTACAAGAGAAAATTCAATATTTAGCATAGTTTAAAAATAGCTTGTTTTTCCCCAGAAAGACTTATTGTCAAATATTGAGCTAAAGTGTGATGAATGCTTTCATTTACATGTACAATATGTACATGTGTATATAGTTATTAATTGCAGTATTCTGAGAAAATCAGAGAAAATGTACAACAATAAGAAAGTAGAAAGTCAACAAAGATAAGAGGTCAGGTGATCGTTAATTTTTCCCCTTAGTTACAGTGTAGTTAATTTTGAAGCAGGAGAAAACAAGAACAATTTGACGATATTGGAATTGAGTTTAATTAAGATGTCTTTAGAAACAACTACAATACTTAATTAACAATTATACACATACACATTACAATATCTCTAAATTCTCACGTAATATATACACATCCAAACATTTTTCCCTTTGATACACATTCACACATCATCTTACAGCCCTCCTTAAATTTGTCACATTATCCATTGGAAATGTATCTAGCACATATATATACGATATTAAATTCCATGTATAGTATAATTTATAACAATCTCTGACCATTTCTGTAAATCTTTTCCAGCAGATAGCAATACACAACACAAAACTAGACTGTATCACCGTCAAACATGTTTCTGGTCATGACGATCATCCAGCGTATCTTCAGTTGCGATACGATGAAATTGTCTTTTATCAGCATTTCATTTAGATAGTAATTAGTTGTGAGATATAGAAGTGAAACATAATATATCTGTTAATCTGTGGTGTACAATGTTTACAATGGGGCAGAAAAAAATATACATTTTGTTTCATCTTCTTGGCTTTCTGTTGGATCATCTTTCAAACAGTTCACATACGCAATATTTTTAATAATCAGTTGTCTTTTATCAGTATAGTGTTCTTGCTCCCATCTGGCATTGTCATACTTGATCATAGACTGATGAATCTGAACAGACAATCATATTACAGGTCTGATGCATCGTATTCCTGGTCTGATGCATCGTATTCCTGGTCTGGTGAAACACTTTGCTGAATTCTAATAGACCATCGTATTCCTGGTCTAATGAAACACTTTGTTGAACCCTTGTTTCATGTCAATGATTACATTCATATACTCCACGGAGCAATGGAGTTAGTAGGGATATGAAATCAGATTAAGGTAATGCTGTACTATGCCCATTAAGTCCTGAAACAAGCTGGACTGATGGAGTATGAGCTGGTGAACTACTGCTACACTCCAATCATGGTCTCCAGTAATTAAGCCAGAGAATTGGTTTTGATGATTAAACTTTGACTGCACTACCGAGTTCAGTTCATCGACTAATGAAACACATGTAGTCAACTAGTTCTTTGTGACCTGATGAAAGCATTGCACCTGCAACTCATTCATAGAATGACTTGTGTAGCATTGTCTCCCTTTGTAATTGCTCGACATACGGTACATACAGGAATCACAAAACCTACGAAGTTGTGGTAAGACCACGGTTAAAATCGTGACTGCCCGTATGTTGTGGATGTTGATGTCTGCGAGTGGTTTCCAGAGGTGAAGGTCATTCCCTGTTGATTGCCTCCTTGAACATTATGCATGTGCTGCCGAAAAATCAAAATAATAAATAAAATCAAAATGGGAAAATAACAAAACACAATAATTTATCATCGTCTGTGAAAGTACTGTTGATAGTGAAGCTATTAAGAGATACTATGCAAGCAATACAGAAAGCATTACAGTAATATTTACACTAAAGGTATACAGAAGTATACTGAGGAAAGAAAGAAATTATCTACAAGCACACAAAATAAGCCAAGTGCAGAATATTATCTATGTTATATCTATATATTAGTCAAGCTGACGTTACATTGAAACTCAAACAAGATACCAGCAACTTCTCCAGAATATTTATATCTTAATTTCAAAATTTCTATATTCATTATCAGTAACTGAGCATAAAGGCCATATTTTTCATTATAATTGTTTTTCCAAAGATATAACATCGTCCAATGCCCAAATTGATTCAGCACTGGCTTACACCAGAAGCATTTTACAGTGAGGCTTTGTGATGCATAAGATGACAACAGGTATAATTACTTTTACCATTTCTGTGTTATCATTAAAATATTTGTGGATTTTTTTCTTTCAATTAAGAATGAAGACTCTTCAATTATTTATTTGTGTTTTCAATTCAAGGATGTGTTATTGGTTTTGCACAAACTAACTGAGAAGCATTCTTGAGACATCTGTAACTAGGCAATATCCAATAATATCATCAGAAATATGAGATACTTTAATAGATAACTTCAGCAACTTTAATATAGAAAATAGCTGAAATGTCTTTTGTTATAAATTGATGTAGATATCTTAAATAAGAGACCATGTCTTTGATTCTGTGATGTCAAAGAAAAGGAAATGAGAAAGTAGTAGGGGATGGGAGTCAAGGATGGGCAGTAAGGAAGGAAGAGTAGGAAGGGGCTGGTAGGGCAGTAGGGGATGGGACAGCAGTATGGACTGGTAGGGCAGTAGGGGAAGGAAGAGTAGGAAGGGGCTGGTAGGGCAGTAGGGGATGGGAGAGCAGTATGGACTGGTAGGGCAGTAGGGGAAGGAAGAGTAGGAAGGGGCTGGTAGGGCAGTAGGGGATGGGACAGCAGTATGGACTGGTAGGGCAGTAGGGGAAGGAAGAGTAGGAAGGGGCTGGTAGGGCAGTAGGGGATGGGAGAGCAGTATGGACTGGTAGGGCAGTGGGGGAAAGAAGAGTAGGAAGGGGCTGGTAGGGCAGTATGGGATGGGAGAGCAGTATGGACTGGTAGGGCAGTAGGGGAAGGAAGAGTAGGTAGGGGCTGGTAGGGCAGCAGGGGATGTGAGGGCAGTAAGGGATGGGAGAGGAGTCAGGGACTGATAAGGCAATACGGTATTGGAAAGAGACTTGCAGGACAGTAGGGGACGGGAGAGCAGTAAGGAGCTGACAGGGCAATTTGGGATGGGAGGGCAGAAAGAGAAGGGAGAGCAGTAAGGGACAGGAAAGTAGTAAGAAGCTGGCAGCGCAATTGAGGATGGGAGGACAGAAAGGGAAGGGAAAGCAGTAAGGATGGGGAGTGAATCACATAGTGGCAAAAGATTGAGATGATAGACTGAGAGGGATGAGAGAAATAAAAGAAAGGAATGAGAGAGAGATGAGAAGAAAAAAAAGATGAGAGTGGAGACAGATGAGGGAGGATCAGCATGTCTTATACAGACAACCAGTAACTGAATTATGTAGCAAACCTTCCACAAAAAAACTGGAAAATAAGATATGAGAGAGATAAGAAGAAAAAAGTGAATAGGAAGAATCATAGGAACAAGGGGATATGAGCAGTAATAGATGGGTGGGTCATATGGGATGATGGGTGAGCAGTAAGTGATGGGAGGGCAGTAAGGGATTGGGAGGGCAGTAAGGGATTGGAGGGCAGTAAGGGTTGGGAGCGCAGAAAGGGATTGGGAGGGCAGTAAGGGATTGGAGGGCAGTAAGGGTTGGGAGGGCAGAAAGGGATTGGAGGGCAGTAAGGGTTGGGAGGGCAGTAAGGGATTGGAGGGCAGTAAGGGTTGGGAGGACAGTAAGGGTTGGGAGGACAGTAAGGGATTGGAGGGCAGTAAGGATTGGAGGGCAGTATGGGATTGGGAGGGCAGTAAGGGATTGGAGGGCAGTAAGGTATTGGAGGGCAGTATGGGATTGGGAGGACAGTAAGGGTTGGGAGGGCAGTATGGGATTGGGAGGGCAGTAAGGGATTGGCTGGCGGTAAGGGTTGGGAGGACAGTAAGGGTTGGGAGGGCAGTAAGGTATTGGAGTGCAGTATGGGATTGGAAGGGCAGTAAGGGATGGGACGGCATTATGTGATTGGGAGGGCAGTAAGGGATTGGAAGGCAGTAAGGGTTGGGAGGGCAGTAAGGGATGGGAGGGCAGTGGGAGGGCAGTAAGGGATGGGAGCGCAGTATGGGATTGGAGGGCAGTAAGAGTTGGGAGGGCAGTAAGGGATGGGAGGGCAGTGGGAGGGCAGTAAGGGATGGGTGAGCAGTAAGGGATGGGAGGGCAGTGGGAGGGCAGTAAGGGATGAGAGGCCCTAAGAGATGGGAAAAGAGCAAAAATGAAAAAAAAAAATAAAATGTCATGGATGAAAGTACAGCTGTTATGCAAGATCAAACCAATATGAAATTTAAAAAAAATTATAAATAGTTCTGTGCTCTATATATTCAGAAGAAAGAAAAAGTCTATTCATAGTTCTTTCTTCCTAACTTAGAAAACAAAGAATTAGAATGAGAAAATATAATCAAAGAGAAAGGATAGGTTATATCGCTGTTGTTACCTGGTGGTATCAGTATCTTATATTCAATATACCTAACACTTATCATGGATATCAATATAATTATACACACATGTACAGATCATGTCAGAGACTTAAACTCAAAGTGAATCTTCTAAGTAGTCATTAAAATTATATGATAAAGAATTTACAAGAAAATTGCATGATCAGTTGAGGTGTGGATAGGTCATGTGATCAGTTGAGGTGTACAGGTCACATGATTAATTGAGGCATGAACAGGTCACATGATTAATTGAGGCACGAACAGGTCACATGATCAGTTAGGATCTGAACAAGTCAAATGGTCTTAATTTGGAAAAGTCAAAAGACTTTAGTGCACACAGTAATAGGGTTTGGTGAAAACAAGAAAATATCAAACACCACATAATACAGAATTTCACTCAAAAACATCTGACCTAATGTTACATCAATTAGTTCTTTCTTTGAACTTAAATATTTCTTTCCCATTTTGAATCTGTGATGTCAAAGGAAGGTTAGTGAGAGATATTCATAGTAGATTTATCTTGGCTGCCCTCTGGTTTTGAGCACAGTAGAAACAACTTGTGAGAATGTGAGTGTACTGGGGAATGATAACCTGCCTGACTTACGGTCGGTTTGTATGTGTACCAGCCGGAGCCCTTGGAAAACAAAACACAATTTGCATATTAAAGTCAATATAAATAGTCTTCAATTTTAATGTTTGATTTCTAGTGGATAAATCAAAAAAGATATTAAGAAAAATCCTTAATTTTGCCATTAGACACAAACCCTGTGAATATGGCATTGTGGGATTAGACGGTGACCTTATCAACGATTGTGTTGCATCAATAAGTGAGGAAGGTACAACCATCCTGTGTCAACCTAGTGTTGAATAAACTATCCACGAAACCTGGTCTCACAGCAGATGTCTCACCTTACTGTACAGAAGGCCGTACAGTACCAACCTCTTAACACAATTCTGTTGTTAAAACATTATACAAGTGTGTGTAAAACTCAAGACTTAAGCTCCTTCTTATCTTTATACTTATGTTTAGATTACACAGTTCCATTTTCATCCTTTTTATAAGGTGGAGTGGTGGTGGTAGGGTGGTGGGGTGGTGGGGGGGAGTAGAAGTAAGTAGAATTACACACTACAGTTTTGTATTACAATGTGTAGCACATATTCTTGGAAGAGGAAAAGTCAATATCATTGATGCTGGTGAAATCTGATTAAGAGGTTGGTATATAAAGCCTTTGTACAAATACACAACGGTACAGCTAATTCACGAATTATTTTCTCATTCTTTAAGAAAAGATCTTTTTATTTATTTTTTTTTTTGTTTTTGTCAAAATAGAAAATCAATGATACTGAAAATATTATATTATAAAGAATGTTGTGAAAATATCTTTTTTGTAATCGTCCTTTTACAGAAATACTTTGATATCTTACTATTTAGCTGTACATCCGGTATGTTAAGGTGCTAGGCATCTGGCTAGTACCTGAAAGGAAACTGACATGGTTGGCATGCGGCCTTTCAAAGGTCAAAAGGTCACAGCTTAACATATATGGCAATCTTCTCTTAGGTAGGCAAACAGAATGAAGGGATGCCAGTTTATAATGTTACAGACATATATATATATATAAACTATGACAATATATACAGGTTATGTTTACACTGATGCATCTAATATTACACAACAAAAAGCAAGAAAATTCAAAATCAAAGACGCACTATTAAATGATGTGAAGACTGAAATGTTCGAAAACTCAGCTACATATCTAAATATCTATTTCCATCAAGTAATATATTGAAATATATCAATTTTGTAGAAACCCGATCAAATTACCAATATTGAAACCAAGCCTGCAATGTTGTAGAATTGTATATCATTCTTAAGGTCTGGTTGATGGTTGTTCTGCAGATCTGAAGGGTTTTTCCATCCAAAAAATAATAATAAAAAACACACTGTAATGCTGTGACAATTATTTTGGAAATGTTGATCATTTTATCATAAATAAAGTGAAGCCACAGTCACAAAGTGTTCAGAATCAGCAAACAAAAGATGCAGTTTAATTCTAAAACATTTCATCTTCCTAAAGATAAGCTTCCACGCAAACTAGGAGACAAAATTTGTTAAAAATAAAATGTTATCTACTAAATAAACCTCAAACCTCATCATCTTATTTTAAATCAAACAAAAAATAAAAACACATTTGGAAAATGTTGGGGAAAAAAACCATTATTGTTTTTTAATATATAAAATAAATCAAAGATTACAGATACAATGCCATGTATCTGAATTACAATAAGACCGGGCTCTTATTTCTCAGTTCATAGTGATGAGGTTTGACTTTGTAATGGCATCGCATAATTTTCAATATCAAATTTGCAAACTAAATGATTTTCTTTTTATAGAAATAATATATATGCATGCCAAACATGCAAGTTCCAGAAGTAAATCAATCATATTTTGTCAATAAAAATCATCAGTTTTGATGAAAGTAATTTTATTTGCAAGGAAAAATTCATACATATATATATAACTAAACCATCTAGAAAATACATTAAGGATCAACATTAGATTTAATGAAATTAATTGTCCAAAAATATCTTCTAAGTGACAAGTGAAAATGTTCTTTTTTTACACTATAATAGATTTTTAACAGCAACAAACAAAACACATTAATTCTACATCTCATTTCTTCTTATACTCTGTATTTATTTTAATAAAATGATCATTAATACAATGATCTTTAATCTAAATTACCATATATCAAATAACTATCAATCTGTACTAATTATATTTTTATAGTACATGTCCATCAAGATTTTTTGTGAGATCATATTAGGATTGTACAGTGTAGTGCCCAACTGTCTGTCTGCATAATATTCAAATTGGTCTCAACAAGACGATTTACATAAATATGTAAAAGCTTGGTTCAAAGTTGGAGACCATTGGTGCATAATTAAAAATCAGTAAATACTTCAGATATATGTAGAGTTTAAACATGAGAGAAAGGACAAAGGGAGAAAATTTGGCATTTGCATCATTAATTGAAATATGAATCAGATAACATTTTATTAAAAGAGTTCATCAATATTTTACTTCATTTACTTTCAATATAGAGGTGTCTAAGCAATACAAATGGTCTCACCAGAATCAAGGAGAAGTTTAAAACATTTTTTTCAGAGATATTTTAATACATCTTCTTGAATTGGCCAAGGTCTTATCAGTTTTGGGAAAATTTCAACTAAAATATCTGATGTGAAACGGTCATGACTCTAGAAACAATAGACTGACCATGACTTATCAGAACTTGACCTGCACATTATTTATCTGAATTCAACTACATACAAAATTAGTTCTTTATCTGTATCTCATAAAGAGTAAATGAGCTGACATGACATAATGATGAAATGACAGCCTAGAGTAAACACTAGATACCTCTAAACCTAAAATGATTTGTTTCTCTGCAAGGCTTATCACTCTTTTAAGCAACCAGAGTCATTTGGAGGCAGGGTTCCATTGAGCGGCTGGTGGCTGTCTCACTGAACAACATACAGGAGACCCATTGAATGCCATCCAGAGCAATTAAAATGAAGAGGTCTTGCTCAAGGTAAGAACCATTTCTTAGCGTCCTAAGAGAGACACACCATCACAGGTAAGAAGCATTGTACTGTACACGATTTCACCTAAACTTAGGTAGGGACAACACTCCACAATAGAGCTATCCCTGCCTCGCTATGAAATGATAGGGGCATAATGAGTTAAACTGAACATAATAAATAAGGTTGAAAAGCTTTGCTGTAAGACAGCCGCAAACAAGCAAACATTGTTGTCCCTTGAATTTTTCTTTTTAATACCTCGCTTACTTTTCAAACTGATGACTAAAATAATTTCTCAGCAAAATATGATTGATATACGACTGATTTCAATCTTACATCTGGTCATGAATTTTATAATTTGCCATTCAGAGGTACAACAATAGACTTAGTGGTTGAGAAATATACTGTTCTACAAAGCTGACAGTCTGCATGATACAGGATAGATATACAAGCATGCATACAGCCATTGTCATTCGAACACTCAAGCATTGTACAGGGATGCTGTACAGTACCTGGTAGTCACTAGTTACCATTGAAGTACTCGTCGTTGTCGCAGGCGGCATCACCCGCACACGCTTCGCTGGCGGCTGGTTGTGTCCCGATGACTGATCAGCACCTCCCTAAAATTTAACATTAAAGTCTCATTTAATAATGTCTGTGAAAAGCAGACAAAAAGCAATATCAAATTTCAAAGTCTTCTTTTGTTGTCTCAGGGAACATCTTAGAAGTATTTTAACATTTCAACTTTTATTTATTTTTTTTAAAGTCTCAATTTGATAGCTTCATCACTGTCAGCTTGTACATAAAATTCAAGATTTATAAAGTTTTATGGACAGCTACAGAAAGTAACGCAAAGATTTGTTTTGTAAATACTTCTTTTTATGTTGCTTGTTCACATGAGATAAAACATCCTCGATACTCTAGGGCTTACGATCACTTGACAATAAACTCACATCTTAATGACACCACAATCAAATAATCAGTATCAAAGGTGTTAACATTAAAAAATACATATATATCCAACACTAGCATAAATACCTTGTCCCCAACTTTACTGGCCCCTGTGTCTGCCTTATCATCGTCATCATCTGTCAGGAATTCACGCTTAGGGTAGGGAATCACCTTGCCCTCAAAAACACTGAAAACATATAGGATAAGAAAAGTTCTGATAATACACTACCTTTACCTTAACGACTTTCATTTATGCAACAAACATAGAAAATAGTGATTACCAAGCATTCAGAAATGACTTAAAATCATATAGCAGAAAAAGAGAAAAGTTCTTATAATACACCTCCTAAATGACTTTCATTTTTGCAACAAACATAGAAAATAGTCATTATTAGACATTCAGAAATGACCTTTCTGTGATTTTATAGCAAGCTTTTGGTAAAACTGCAGAAACAATAAAAAAAGAGGAAAATTTAAGTATATTAGTACGTTCTTTGTCAATATCTTCATTAATTGTAGTGTTACTATTTCCTACACTGGGACAGGTAGAAATAGTAATACAGGTTTACTGTCCTCACATCCCAGTTTCAACATCACAAGACAAGCCTACATACTCTTGTGAAGGTAAAGGATCCTCCATGAAATAGGGATCTTTCATTGCCTGCTCCGACGTTATCCTCTTTGTCGGGTCCATCGTTAGTAGTTTCTGTAACTGTAATAGCAAAACAGTTGATTACATTGACTACAGAGTTGCATGACAAGCATGGAGTGAGATTTAAGGACGATTAGGTCTCAACGAGAAAAGAACAAATATATAATTATTGTTATATCACTAACTGTTCAGTGTAGGAGACCTTATCTATCCTTCTTTTAGTTCCAACATAGCGTATTTCATGCCAATTAAAACTTCAACTAACGTATTTCATGCCAATTAAAACTTCAACATCTCACAGCCCTCATCAAATAAACAATCTCAAAAGCAAGCCCTGAAGCACTCTATGTTGAATGCAAGAGACAAATATATTTTCAAAGTTAGAAACTTACCAAGTGGAACTGTTTACTGTCTGGCTTCACTTTATGTTTTTCCATATACTTTACTAATGTACAGTTCACATATCTGCAAAATATAAAACAATATTTTAAGTTTTCCCCACTGGATTCTGTAATTCTTCTCCATTTAACAAGAAATTCCAAATTCTTAAGGTCAAGTATCTTATCAAAGATTTTTAGATGTGTTGTATTTACAATTGTAAAACATACTATGGAATGCTTTCTTTCTTCTCAACATTTTTTATACAAATGGATTTGACAGACATTGATGATGCTAATATTAACCCTAAAAGGAACTAATATGAGATGAAAGAGGGAGAAAAGCACGCAGAAATTCCAGCCATAAAATTACCTATATGCAAAACATACTGTAAAGGTTAGCTAGGAATATAAACTGAGATAATAACATGAACTTACATAGATCTTTTAAAATCCTTCATAAGTGTTTGGTGTTCTGGCATTTTCCTGATATCTTCCCAATCTTTCTCTGAAATTACAAATATCAGGTCAATAACAACAAAGTTAATGCAATCCTCAGTCTCTACCAGCTCTGTGAAACAAAGGGAGATAATTCTCGTGCTAGTGGAAGAGACATCTCTGGTTCATTTCTGAAAGCATTCTGAATCACACTAAAACATATATCTGATAAAAATGATAAGTTGCAGATACATTTTCAAATGAAGGTTTGGTTGATAGCAACCAATCAGAAATAAATGAATGCTATAAAAAGTTATTAATAGCATCAGATTACTTTTTCGTAATTAAACATTTTATCCTCGGTATATTTGACTTTGATGAGACAACAAATATCAAAGACCATAGACAATAAAACTGGACACAATGAAGGATGGAAAACCAATCCTATGGTTCCAACTCTCAAAAACGTATTCTCCGAAACACCTACATACCAAGAGGAAATCCCATGACATTGAATATTCGATCAAGTTGATCGTGATGATAGGGATTGCTAGTTTTTATATCTTCTTGTCTGCAGTGAAATATTGGTTCATATGTCAACAGCTCAGCAAATATACAACCAATGGCCCATATATCTGGAAAAAATATAACCAACAAATTTTTAAAATCCATATTTAAATAATGACCAAAATCATATTGTTTTGCGATGTAGAGTGGATTCTTTTTATACCAAAAATTTCTCTAATGCAGGTTTTTTTTCTCATTAAAACATAAAAAAAAAGTGTGTTTTGATAAATCCTTTTTAAAATACAACAATGAGTGCTCTATTTCTAATTAGAATATAATTTTTCATACTTGTCTCTTTTAATCTAAAATATACATTGTAAAACTTTCCTGGACAATTATTGTATATTTTATAATATGTAGTAACATATCATGTATAGTAGAGAGGTCATATAAAATTTATAAGCTCAGTCTTACCAATTGCTTTTGTATAATGTCTAGCACCAAGGAGTAGTTCTGGGGCTCTGTACCAGAATGTCACCACCACTGGGTCAAGGTCAGCAAGTGGTTTCAAAGGAGAGTTGAACAACCTAGCAAATCCCATATCTGCAATCCTCACTCTTCCTCTTTCAACCCCTTCACCCATTACAAGTATGTTTGCTGGTTTCTGAAATTTTTTTATGTTTTTATGATATTTTGACCATTTTGAATAATGCTTTACTACTTGAAAAATGAATTCAGTTTCTTCAGCAGGTATTTGAAAGTAATATGCAACGTCAACCACATAGAATTTCATATCAAGGTTTTAGTATATAAACTTGTTAATGTAGTCAACTGCTGTTATGTATATAATGAAATTAGAAAAAAATTTGCTGTAAATGTTGAATAAAAAAATCTGATATCTTGTGACAATCAACTCACCAGATCTCTGTGTAGTACCCAATTAGCATGTAAATAGTGAATTCCATCAAGAATCTGGAACAATAAAGACTTGACCATGTTCCTTGGTACATCCACTGGCTTTTTACTGGCCTTGGCTGACCGGTGGAACTTAATTATATGCTGAAATAGAACAAATTTTATTAACTTCATACATAGTGATCAAATAAATCACACATATAAGTGTTTATAATCACATGAACAACATTTGACATAAATACTGTTTATACTTCCAACAAAGAGCAAGGCTTTGAGATAGATGTGTGTGTGTACAAAAATTGATGAAAAACCTTCAAATTATCTGTACCTGTCCTTTCAGATTAAAATTTATGATAAACTCTGGTCCTGAAATCCAAGTTAGCACCAGCTTGAAAAAATGTACTCACCCAAAGATCATGTTCCGCATAATCAAACAGTAAAAATACTTTTCTGTCCTGGTGAGAGAGGAAAACCTTTTGCAGACTAATCACATTTGGATGTCGTAATTCCCGTAGAAGCTATTGCAAAATAAGAAAGGCACATTATACAAAGAAAAAACATTTACTTTACAATATATGGAAATAAAATATGCTTTGAAATTTATGGACTTAAATGTATGCCATACATATCATGTACATCGTTGAACCTTTGTTAACATGTGTATATGTAATAAGCCTAAGACCAACAACTTAAGGTTTTTAATTAAACATACTATTCAGGATATGTGTAAAAAGAACATACATTGTGCTTAAAATTGTACTTCATTAAACTCTGTATGGTTGGGACTCTGATGATCTAGATATCTTCAGATTCAGAAAATATTTCAACAAATTCAAATTTTAAACAATCTATTACACTGCAACCTAAAAAATCCCTGGAAAAATCTTCATTATCATCTAATATACACTATGCTGATGAATTGGAGCAGTAGTAACATAAATGTCCTAAGTTCCTGTCCAGGGTTTTCCATAATTTTGTTAGTAGTAGGCTGTGTAGTGAAAGTAGGAGGCTGGCCTGCCGTGTACATGTAGTCGTGTATGGAACATTATTACGGAACTGGATTGGTGTAGGTGGCCAAATGATCAAAGTAGCCAATCAAATTGGCCGACGACCGGCTCTTATAGAAAACCCTGCTGTCCCTTATGTATTTTCTAACCATTATCGGAAAATACATGTATTTGATAGAAATTACAGAAAAAATATAACAGAATTTTTTACAAGGAATATAATTTGATACAGATGTTGACCTGACAAATTTAAATGATCAACTTCTTTCAGAAATAATAAAACTAATTGTGTGGATATGTAACTGATGCTACACAGCACTTCAGAAACTATACAGTTTAGTACAATTCTATGACCTGTGTAACTTACTGCTATTTCTCTGCATGCTGACATGGAGATTCCAGTGCCTTCAATCTGTTTAAGTGCATATTCTCGTCCATCGTTTCTGTTGTAAAAACAAAAACAAAATATTTATAAACCATTCATTCAGGTTCATGAATGTAGAATAAAATGTACCAAAGTTTAAGTTTTTACATTCTGCTGAAGACAAAGAAACTTGCAATCTCTTTCTGATTGCACTGTGGTACTCTCAAGCTCAAGCAAACGACAACTCTGGTATACTAGAGATTAAGGATCTAGAAGGAGTTGTTCAGAAAAACCATTTTCTGCAAAGGAGCATTACTCCTTCACATGTGAAAAAGATTGGATTAAATCATATTAATGGGAAAAGGATTCAAAGAATTTGTGATCTCGGGGATGGGGATGGGAGGGCTGGGGGGAGGGGGTGTGTGTATCATATTTATAAAGTTCCAAAGCAAAGTGGTCCAAAACTGTTTGAGGAGTTGACGTTGTTTGGACAAATATATGCTATTTTTCAACTAAGGAACATAAAATAAAATAAATCTGTAAGGAGTTTGATGAGAAAAGTTAGGGGGTGGTGTTAGTTATGATGTCTGTTGGTCCAAAAGTTCATGACTATCTATCCACAATTTTAGTTTCGTCTTGGCCACAATTGGCCATGACCAACCTTTCAGAGTAGATGCATGTATGCATACAGCTTAACTGAAATTGACTTTTAAGGTAGAGGTTGTGAAGTATGGATGATGTCATACAGTTTGAACTCTACCTACCGGTACAAGCCTAGAAGATGAACCTCAAAACATATATGAACAAAGCAGGATGTTGGTTCTTAGAAAGTTTCTCCTAGTGCAGATTTGTCTAATTAATTATACATACAAATGTACAGATTATTTACAAATGTACTCTCATAACATAAGGGTTTAACTTTTCCCCATCAGTACTTAAAAACAGTATGGGTCTGTAGATCAGGTTTAGCAAATATGCATACAATTGTACATAAGCCTTGTCTGTTGATACATGTATATGTACATACATATGTGTAAGCTGATATGTTTACTCTGACTGTCCTGATCTACGAGTCATTAATATTTTCAAACCATGAATGAACCGCAACCAGATCCTGTGTAGCCTTAGCTAGCTGTCAGATAAATGCCGACAATCATGCGATATCCAATAGTATTTGTTGCAGGATCGATCAGCTTTTGTTTAGAAAGTCAAAGGGATCTGATTATCTATCTTTGAATCTATTTAGTTCTTGGTCATGGCCGATCACAACCTACTTAAATACAAAATTGTGGATATATATAATCGGTACCCTTCAGACTATCCATGAATACGAATCTAGATGTGTTCCTGGTAGTAAAAGTAATGTGGTGACATGTTGTAGGTGTTTATTGTGGGGTTAAGTATATCTAATCTAAAAATTAATTTAATCGAATTTTATAACATATAATCTTAAGGGGAGGACTACATTAACAGAATTCATACATTTATATATGAAGCGGACGTTAAGTCAATGAAATAAATGATCATACGAAATCGGACGCATTTTGAACTAGAATGGCCACATCAGCCATTTTAGAGAAAAAAGAAAATGTATTCATTTTAAAGTTGCTATGTGAAATTCATAACAACAATCAAAGATGCACGGTGTAGACAGTGAGAATACTAATCATATTACATAGTTGTGCAACATCTACTGGCACTTATCAACGGGAATACTTACGTCGACACACTCCTGTCTTTTCTTTTCGCCTTGTAGACATGGCCATATGTACCTCGGCCAACTTTGCAACCTTCGAATTCAAATAAATCTTCTACTTTTGCTCGTTCCTGTGCAGTTTTTAGCTTATATTCATAGTCCATTTTCTCCGCTTCGCTTCATTCTTTGTTAACCATACATACTGCACGCTTGCTTTTCCAGGTCATTGAAATCAAGCACACAGATGATAAAGGCCATTTCGGTTTTCTAAACGTAAAAGAGTTTCACGGAAATAAATATCCGATTATGGCGGGAAACTGACGTCACCAACAGCAAAGGCGTGTGCATTATTCACTATTTCTCGAATTACTAGTAGTCTTCAGACATTTTGTTTAAAAAAAAAACGGTGACAAATAATAAAAAAGGACACTAAAATTTAATTATGACGAGAACGGGCCAAAATGAAACATTATGCAACACATGTTGAACATTTAATAGTATTTAATAGGATAATAGTGAACGCAGGCATTTCTGCCTCTGTATTCACATCAATACAATGTATTATTAATATAAACATAATATTAGACTAGATATAATACGCTGTATGATCGTACTTCAGTTCAAGATCTTTCCAGAAATCGTCTAGGTGTTTTTCAAAATCATGAACGTTAAGTGATGAAATTACCCATTGAGGGAGACTATTCCAAGTATCAATTATTCTTTGAGTAGATTAGTGTTTTCTGATATTCAAATGACAATGTTTTTAAAATAATCATGTTTTTACTATGTGCACGAGTTTTTCCTTGCGCTGCAGGGTCGAACATTCCCTCCACCAGCTTTGGATCAAATATCCCATTCATGAACCTAAATACGTTTATCATATCTCCACGTAGACGCCTGTATATCAAGGTTGGGAGATTCAAACGGCGTAGCCTCTCATTGTAGCTTAAAGTTTTAAATCCCGGTAGTAGTTTTGTCGATCTCCTCTGGACGTTTTCTTTCCTTTCGATGTCCGTAATTCTGTGTGGAGACCAAACACTTGCCGCGTACTCTAGGTGCGATCGTACTAGAGTTTTAAACAAATTCCTGAACATATTTTCGTCCAAATAAACAAATGATCTTCATATGACACCTACCATTCTATTAGCTTTATTTATTGCTTGTTGGATATGTGTTGTAAAACTTAAATCTTGATCTACCACAACTCCCCGGTCTTTTTCCAATGCAATGGTTTCCAATGTTATGATTTTACCTTCATTGTTTGTTATATGATATTGCGATTCTCTTTTTTTATGTTTTGTTGACACAGTCATAACTTTACATTTATTTGGATGGAATCGTAATAACCACTTATCCGACCACTTCATCAAATTACAGAGATCTTCTTGGAGTAATTGCTCATCGTTACCATCCGATATTGTTCTATATAATTTAGTGTCATCCGCAAACATGTAGGTTGGTGAAGATGTGCATTCCGGTAGATCGTTAATATATATGACGAAAAGTATCGGACCTAGTACGCTCCCTTGGGGTATTCCGCTAATAACTTTGTGCTGTGCTGATGGTGTACCGTTTACAATAAATCTTTGTTTCCGATCTGTTAAAAAACTTTCAATCCATCCAACTAACTGAGTGCTAAAACCATAACCTCGGAGTTTGTTTAGAAGGCGTTTATGTGGAACTTTATCAAACGCCTTCATAAAGTCCATGTACACTATATCCAATTCTCCGCCATTATCTAAAATTGTAGTCCATTCATCCATGACTTTCAGTAATTGTAGCACTGTTGACCTCCCAGACAAAAATCCAAATTGTTTATCCCTTAATAATTTGTTTTCCTTCATATGTAGTATCATCTTGCTTCGAATTAATCTTTCCATTATTTCACAGACAACACTTGTTAGACTGACTGGTCTATAGTTTGCAGGGTCTGAGCGATCGCCCTTTTTAAATATGGCCGTTATATTTGCAGTTTTCCATGAACGAGGAACGGTCCCTTGGTAAGGGGATGCATTGAAAATAGTTGTCAACGGTTTACATATTGAATTGGCTAATTCCTTTAAAAGTTTGGGGTATATCTTATCGGGGCCCTGCGATTTACTTGGATTTTACATTAACAATTCCTTTTTTAATCTTTCTTCTTCTATATCACTGTCTTGAAATTCTTTATTGAGACGCCTTGGTTCGAGTATAGGTACTTCTCCGACCGGTTCTTCTGTAAATACGCTGCTGAAAAAGCCTGCCAGAACATCCGCTTTATCCTGATCTGTAATTGCGGTGATCGATTGGAATTTATCCGTCTTAGAAATAAAATCAGAAACACATACTTTTACCTTTCGCTTTGAATTCACATATTTCCAAAATAGTTTAGGGTTTTGTTTAGCATCACTGGAAATGTCCCTCTCCATGATTTTTTCCTTGCTTTTCTCAACTCGTTTTTCACTTGGTTACGGCATTTGGTATACTTTCTGTACTTATCTTCATCTTTTGTTTCCATGTATCTTTGCCACAGTCTATGTTTTTTTCTTTATCTTCTCAACAACAGACTTTTCAAGTGGATAGCTTGTACTTGCCTTGCCACGACTTGAGATTGGAACGTGTTTTGATACGCTCCCAGATATAATTTCCAGGAATTGTTCATACATGTCATTAGGATCTCCGTTAAGTACGTTTTGCCAATTAATTTTCATATCCTTCATCATACTCGGAAAGTCTGCCTTTTTATAACTGGGCTGTTTAATTGGTGTAGTAAACCGTATGCTGTTTCCATAGCAAACAAAGCTGTATTCGAGTTCCGCATGGTCACTGTGACCCAGGGGACTGTTATATTTAATATCCTTGACCATTTCTTCTTCATTAGTTATAATTAGATCTAGAGTTCTAGGTTCACTCCCGATTCTCGTTCTTGTATTATTGACTACATGTTGGAATAAATAGTTTTCTCTTAAGTTTTCTTTAAAATCTTCACTCTCTTGATCTGATGTCGTATTCCAAGACTGCCAATTTATTTTTGGAAAATTAAAGTCTCCCATTATCATAATATGTGAGAAACCTTTGTTTTTCGTGGTTGCGCTATTTAGAAGATCTAGAAGTAATCCCGCGTTGTCTTTATCGCTATTTGGACTCCGGTATACGCATCCAACTAAAAGATAATCCGATTCCGCGAGCTTTACCTTTACCCATATACTTTCTTTAAATTTTTCAATGAATTTAACTTCCACTGCTGCATGTTCCTTGCGCACATAAAGTGCTACTCCTCTCTTACACTGTTCAGACTCGTCGTTTATGAAAATGTCGTAACCAAGAATTGTAAGTTCTGCTTTACTGGGAAGAAACCTCTTATTTTTAGGAAATACTTCTGTAATCCCAACAACTCGAATATACTTCTGAGCTGAATTAATTCTCATTTTAAGTTCGTCTATTTTATTTGTTAGACTATCGGCATTAGTACACATACATTTAAATATGCCCTGTGTGGCATTTAATCTACTTTTGGAGATGTTGTCATTACTATTTGAGCGCGGATTACTTGAGGATTCTGGTTTAATATAGACTGATTGGTTAGTTGATGCGGTCTGTGTCTCACTTATTCGGGATTTCCGGTTTTGGCAGCCTTTAATTTTACAATTTTCCTTGCCCAGGGAGGTCCCCGTACTTTGTACAAGTATTCCCCCGACGTATCCTGGCTTTGTTTTTCTTTAGCCTTTTCCCACATCGCCTTTTCCTGCTCCCTTTCCTGTTTTGTTAAATCATTGTTAATTCTGTATCCCGTGAACGAAGGATCGTTGCCGATGTTTTTAATATTCTTAAAAATCACTTTCTTTATGTCCGAATTTGAAAGCGTTACCAGCAAAGGTTGCGCCCATCTATTTTGATCCTTACCCGGTTCATTTGAAAACTATATCCTCTTCTGTGTTAAGACAGCATTTTTATAGGATTTCCTTCACTTTCTTTACATCGTGAAGTATTCTGTCCTCTCTTTTTGTTGACTCGATCTCATTAACGCCTAAAATCATGATATTGTTTTCTCTTGACTTACGATCATTAATCTCCGTTAAAATGCTTTTGGTATCCTTTTGCTCGGATTGGAGGTTTACATTCATTTGCACTACTGCCGACCATGAAGATCCTTTTTCTTCCAAAATTAATTCGCAAAATTATACAGTACCTTTATAACATTTTAAAGGCTATCTCCAATTTAGTCTTTTTTTTTGAATAATCCTCACTATTTAAATTCTCGTGTTTGTTTTATTTCCGTGTTATTTTGGACGTCTTTATGTGTTGGTTATAACTGCGTTGTACTAGACTTTTTTTCGGGGAAGGACGGGGGTAACCATTGTATGTTTTGTTCAGAAATCAACGCGTACATTTTTCGAACGGAATTTACAATATTTGACTTTCATGTTTTCTGGTAATTTTCATACAGTACATTTTTTCCCTGCTTTGTGTGACAGTACACAAAATTCGTATTGATTAGAAGGAAGAAGCAAGTGGTTATAAAAGTGACCCAATAATTGACCTTTACGTACTTCAGTTATTTTCTATATACAGTGAAACCTCGCTATTAAGACCACTTTGGGGACTGGACAAAGGTGGTCTTAATAGCGAGGTGGTCTTAATAGTGAGGTGGATCAGATTGACCACAAAGAACCGTAACTCTGTTTAAAATAAAGATTATATATATCATTAAGTAATGTACATGTATATTATTCAACAATAATAACTAATAATAATAAACTAAAATGTTGAATTTTATGAAATGCATGTAAAAAAGACTAAATTGCTGAATTGACAGAAGAATAATTATGTATATATTCCTTAGTTTATATCATAATATACATGTATATTTACTATTGTAAACATTGAATAAAAGGAAACAAACAATCCATTTTAAGTTCAATTGGAATTTAACGTTAATTTTGCAACTATTTCACATAAATTTACGAACACATTTACTCAGTATTTGTAACAACTTTAATGAAGTCACTATAAAGTCTTTCAACGCTTCATTTTTCACTTAAATTCGCAAACACATTATCTTTATCAGTGTATCACTCAGTACAACACATTTTTCTTTTTACTTAAAAAAAAAAAGAGTCCGGAGCACAATATTGCGAAGAGCTACGGATCTGGACAGCCTCCTCTTTCATACGTCCTTTTTACCGATCGCGATAGCTCGTTTCGTTTCCGTGGTTTCGTCATTGCTTGATGAAGTTCATCGGAGTTTTGTGACAGAGAAAATGTGTCGTAAAAACATTGGAACACATACACGTTTTTTTATTGTTCAAACGATATCGAGAGTGTAACATTGCTACAAAAACAGTTAAAACCCTCGACAACGTGTGCGCGTGCAAGCCAAGGAATATCGGCCGAAACGACTACATAATTTACTTTTGGGTATGCAGGGCTTCTAAGGTGTTTATATACCTACCGATCTATCAATATATAATTAACAAACAACAGATCGCTATTAAAACGTGTCCAGCACGCGGTTTCGGACCGGTAGGCCAAGTTAATCCGATAATGATGTTTACTTCGTTTAACGCCACCTGGTGACAGGGTCGGTAACCCGTGACGAAAACAATGGTCGTGAACGACACACATGTTCGCGGTTCACTGCCCACCAGGTAAACTTTAATCACTGGTCAGGCCGTGGTCGTAATTGTGAGGTCAATTATCGTTAATAAGTGGTCGTTGGGACTGTAGGAAGTGGTCGTAATACGGAATAGCGGGGTGGTCGTAATACTGACCAATACAAAGATATATAGTGGAAAAAAACGGGACTGAAAAAAAGTGCCCGTAATAGCGGGGTGGTCGTAATTTTGAGGTGGTCGTTAGGTGAGGTTTCACTGTATATTTATAGTACTTACTGACTTAAGAGGGGAACAGGGAAGGCCTGGTGCGATTTTAGAATGGAGGAAAGATTGGTTTTGCTCGACAGAGGCTCAATGAAAGGATAACTACTTAAAAAAACTTCTCTAACAACATGCATAGGGGACGCTGTTTTTTTAATCCTCTTCAATGGTATCTCTAAAGGAGTGGTGATATCACTAATACATTGTGATGTTAATATCACTACAATATGGTGATATCACCACAAAGAATGGATGATACCACTACAATGAATGGATGATACCACTACAAAGAATGGATGATACCACTACAATGAATGGGTGTTATTACTATAATTAATGGGTGATATCACAATGATGAATTGGTGACATCACTTTAATGAATGGGTGTTATTACTATAATGAATCGGTGATATCATTATGATGAATTCAGAAATTGGCGGTATTACTGCAATAAATTGGTGATATTACTAAAATTTAATTTCGTTACAGCAGGTTTCAGTTGTTATGGTAAATGCTGTTTGACCCTGAACTTATACTTTATCTAACCAGTGGCGAATAGCGTTCACTGTTTTTGACCTAGAAGACAAATCTTAGCGAAAGTACAGACGAATCATAATTGTCTAAAATGGACAGATTTATGATATTTGACTCGGTTTAAAGCGCAAAAGTTTGATCCTGAGAAAAGTGGGACCCCGGGACAACCGGCTAGATCAGGACACGACAGTACCTGATGTATATGGTGACCATTTGACCTGGAGCGCGTGGTACGATATATAATGACACAGAAATGGTGTCTGATATACATAAATAGAACTGAACAGCGATACGAAGGAAATATTTGTAAAGTTAAAGACTCTTCTGGGTAAGGAGCTGTGTTCTTATCTGGGAACATAAACATGTGAGTATGCATACGTGGAAAACAGATTGTACACACATATGTACAACGAATGGCTTTAACCATAGGATATACAACATTCGTAGTTTCAGTGATGTTTTTCACGGAAATTATTAAACAGTTTACAGTTTCCTACACTTATTTCATATTCAAGGTATCTATTTTTGTGATTCTATATTACTTAATAGTAACACCACTTACACTTAAAACCCTGAACGCTGGTGTGTAACCTCAAGTGAAGATCCGAGGTACTTGGTTCGACGCTCCCTACGTGTGGTAATCTACGTTTCTCAGAACCGGAATGGACTGAGCTGACGCTGTTGACAAAACACTTTACCCTGTTTACACTGGATGGCATGCGACGAATCTCCCGTATTTTGTTCAGTGAGGTGGCAACTATCTACTAATAGGAGATTCCCCACTCAAAATGACTCAGAATGTTCACGAAACGATAGATTCAGCCAAACAAAACAATTCAAAACAATCCTTAGAATATCAAGTAACAAAACCCAATTGCCTCTTAAATACCATTACATGATTGCACGATGTCACTTACATGTAAAGGTAATGACGTTTTGTGTTCCTGAGATCCAACCTACTGATATCACGCCTGCCTGTCTTCTGTTCAATCTATCTTTGTTAATTGGTGCCTGTCTTCAACACTCTCTTTCTTTGTTAATTGGTGCATGTCTTCAACACTCTCTTTCTTTGTTAATTGGTGTCTGTCTTCATCACTCTCTTTCTTTGTTTATTGGTGCCCGTCTTAAACACTCTCTTTCTTTGTTAATTGGTGTCCGTCTTCAACGGTGTCTTTCTTTGTTAATTGGTGTCAGTCTTCATCACTCTCTTTCTTTGTTAATTGGTGCCCGTCTTCAGCAAATCTTTCTTTGTTAATTGGTGCCCGTTTTCAACACCCTCTTTCTTTGTTAATTGGTGTCTGTCTTCAGGACTCTCTTTGTTAATTGGTGCCCGTCTTCAACACTCTCTTTCTTTGTTAATTGGTGTCCGTCTTCAGCAAAATCTTTCTTTGTTCATTGATGTCTGTTTTCAGAATTATCTTTCTTTGTTAATTGGAGCATGTCTTCAACACCCTCTTTCATTGTTAATTGGTGCCCGTCTTCAACACTCTCTTTTTTTGTTAATTGGCGCATTTCTTCAACACTCTCTTTCATTGTTAATTGGTGTCCGTCTTCAACGGTGTCTTTCTTTGTTAATTGGTGTCTGTCTTCATCACTCTCTTTCTTTGTTAATTGGTGCCCGTCTTCAGCAAATCGTTCTTTGTTAATTGGTGCCCGTCTTCAGCAAATCTTTGTTTGTTTATTGATGCCCGTTTTCAACACTCTCTTTCTTTGTTAATTGGTGTCTGTATTCAGGACTCTCTTTGCTAATTGGTGCCCGTCTTCAGCAAATCTTTCTCTGTTAATTGGTGTCCGTCTTCAGCAAAATCTTTCTTTGTTAATTGATGCCCGTCTTCAACAATGTCTTTATTTGATAAATGGTGCCTGTCTTCAGCACTCTCTTTCTTTGTTAATTGGTGCCCGTCTTTAGCACTCTCTTTCTTTATTAATTGTTGCCTGTATTCGGCAAAGTCTTTCTTTGTTAATTGGTGTCTGTCTCTAGCACTCTCTTTGTTAATTGCTGTCCGTCTTCAGCACTCTCATTCTTTGTTCATTGATGTCTGTCTTCAGAATTATCTTTCTTTGTTTATTGGTGCCTGTCTTCAGCACTCTCTTTCTCTGTTAATTGGTGTCTGTCTTCAGCACTCTCTTTCTTTGTTAATTGTTCTGTTTGTCTTTCATTGATGTCTGTCTTCACTCTCTTTCTTTGTTAATTGCTGTCCGTCTTCAGCACTCTCATTATTTGTTTTATCTTTGTTTACTGGTGCCTGTCTTCAGCACTCTCTTTCTCTGTTAATTGGTGTCTGTCTTCAGCACTCTCTTTCTTTGTTAATTGTTGCCTGTATTCAGCAAAGTCTTTCTTTGTTAATTGGTGTCTGTCTCTAGCACTCTCTTTCTTTGTTAATTGCTGTCCGTCTTCAGCACTCTCATTATTTGTTCATTGACGTCTGTCTTCAGAATTATCTTTCTTTGTTAACTGGTGCCTGTCGTCAGCAAACCTTTCTTTGTTAATTGGTGTCCGTCTTCAGCAAAATCTTTCTTTGTTAATTGATGCCCGTCTTCAACACTTCTATCATGATTTTTATTGAAGTATCGCCATACAATTCAATACATATGAAAAACTAAAATTTCCTGAAATCGGATAAATGATCGTTACTATTAGGGATGTTTAACAGTTGTTTTAATGTTGGATATAGCATATAATTTGCAATTTATAAAAAAAATAGGTTTTACTCTATTTTCTTACTTCAGATTTTTTGTCGACCATGAAGGTTTGGGTTGCGGCAATATTAGGAATACTAGCTGCCGTAGCGGCCTCTTACTACTTCCGATGGACAGCGACACACGAATTCGTCCGGAATTTTAATCACTCGTACGACTACGTAATTGGTAAGGTTTCTTTGTGTTGTATTGCGCAAGAAGTCAGCGATTCAGATGTTGACATGGATATTGTTATCTTGTTTTGGGGATTGCGTTCTCAATAAGCTACCTTATCTTTCCCTAAAAGAAATTAGCTCAGGCGGGGTTTTGTTTATAAATCGAAACTATATATTGGGGAGATGAAGTTTATTACTTGATAATTTTAATTTCTATTTTTGTACCATCTTCTTACCTATGTATCTCTATTTAAGTTGTATTTTCCCCAAGAGCTATGTGTTTAACTAAAAATACCGAAAAGTGATATTGTGATATTAACACTAAACAACGAATCAATGACATTTGTACATACAAAAGAAAATAGACACAAATCTATCTGTTTTGGAACAGTTGGAGGCGGTGCATCAGGTTTGGTGTTAGCCAATCGTCTGTCAGAGGATGACGACGTCACTGTTTTGGTTTTGGAGGCGGGGAATTCGGAATCCGATAAACCGGTTTACGATATTCCGTACAATGCTCCTAAAGCTCAAATGACCGAAGCTGATTGGATATACCGGACGGTTCCGCAGAGGCATGCGCATTTCGGAATGAAGGACAAAGTAGGTTTTTTCTTTTCTTTTTCTTTCTTTATTTTTTCTTTTTTTTTAAATTAAAGCAAAACACGTGTTTTATAAGGGAAACGTCGAATTATATACATTAATGTAATATTACAATAACTGAAAAGTTACCATATATTGTCACGTGATTGCCTTGTTATTCAGTGAATATATTCCTTTAATATATTTCATGTATTACTTATGTATAATATTCTACAGTTATTGACTTTTTTGGTCAATGCGAGGAATTGACGCTCTAAAAATGTCGATATTGCCCGAGGTACGAGGATTTGTCGATCTGAGAAAGGTGATATTCTCCGAGGTACGAGGATTTGTCGATTTGAGAAAGGTGATATTGGCCGAGGTACGAGAATTAACGATCTGAGAAAGGTGATATTGCCCGAGGTACGAGGATTTGCCGATCTGAGAAAGGTGATATTCTCCGAGGTACGAGGAATTGTCGATCTGAGAAAGGTGATATTCCCCGAGTTACGAGGATTTGTCGATATGAGAAAGGTGATATTGCCCGAGGTACGAGAATTAACGATCTGAGAAAGGTGATATTCTCTGAGGTACGAGGAATTGTCGATCTGAGAAAGGTGATATTCTCCGAGGTACGAGGAATTGTCGATCTGAGAAAGGTGATATTCCCCGAGTTACGAGGATTTGTCGATATGAGAAAGGTGATATTGCCCGAGGTACGAGAATTAACGATCTGAGAAAGGTGATATTCTCCGAGGTACGAGGAATTGTCGATCTGAGAAAGGTGATATTGCCCGAGGTATGGGGATTTGTCAATCTGAGAAAGGTGATATTCTCCGAGGTACGAGGAAATGTCGATCTGAGAAAGGTGATATTGCCCGAGGTACGAGGAATTGTCGATCTGAGAAAGGTGATATTGCCCGAGGTACGAGGATTTGTCGATCTGAGAAAGGCGATATTCTCCGAAGTACGAGGAATTGCCGATCTGAGAAAGGTGACATCCCCCCTCGGCTGACATGGGATTTAAGATGCGAGTTGGGGGGAAACACCAAAGACCAAATTTAGAATTGTTCAAGAATCTGCCATAGCAGCAGAAGTCAGTGTTCCAAATTTAGTCGACTATCATGTTTCTGATAAGCACTCCCGCAGGCATCGCACAGCAGATTCTTTGGAACGTTTAGTGTTTTTGGAATCTTTGTCGAGTACAATTTTGTGTAAACCATGGCAATTTAGCTTTCGTGATCTTGTCCGGGACTCAATCTCTGGCCTTCTACAACGCCCGCAAACAAATAATTTTGTCTTCTCAATGATCGGAAGTATTTTTAGATTAGATTATCGATTTCGATGTTAACATCTCGTGCAATAAGACGCTGGTTGCAGGTTAATATTGAATTTGTCGAAACCTTTGGGAGAGCTCAGAGCAAATCACAAGAGAGAGAATTTCTCATTCATATTGCAAAACTTACTGTAACGTCAGGTTAAGATAATGAAATATGGCATCACAAACTCACAGTTTGTATCGTGTCGTAACAGTGGAGGCCATAGATATAGACGAAATGTCAGTTGTCTACAATATTTGTCTCAATGATCGATCGTATGATAAACAGGATCTCGAACTTGTTTCCATTTGATATGCGATCTATAAACTCGCCAAAGGCTCGATAAAATCATTTTTATACTCGTTTCATAAATCATATATCTAGCCGAAGTTCACGTAAGATCATGCTTATATTAGTTAGCATTGTCGCATATCATGGCGATAATCAATGACTTCCTAGCTTGATGTGCGTCCATCGCTGTGCGTGTGTGCGTGTATCAGGTTTTGACTCAGTCAAACTGAAAACTTGACAGTGAAAATTGCTATTCTCTATTAATCTCAATCATAACGCATCCTTATATGATTCCATATTGTTTGCCTTTAGATTGCTTACACTCATCACGTGTAAACGAAAAACATATTTTATTTTATTTTGTAATACATAGAGCTGTATTAGTAACAATAAAGGAAAGAAAAGTACACCTTGCCTATAACCCTAACCAATATCAAAATCAATCAGGTGTTATGCGATTATCATGGACTTCCGGTACTACCTGCACGTTCTTTTTCAACTACAGTAGTACCAATTGATAGTAAACAGCTCTGATACAAGTGTCCTTTCTCATGTTTTTCATGAAACCAGGTTGGTATATGGCCACAGGGAAAGGGACTTGGTGGGTCTACCCTACTAAATGGACTTGCCTACATCCGGGGCAGTCGTCATGACTACGACACATGGGCAGCAAACGGCTGTGAGGGATGGAGTTACGACGAAGTTTTACCGTATTTTCTTAAATCTGAAGATATGCGTGAAACGGATGGGTTTGATGAAGGTAAATTCCCATCAATCTTTTATACCCACCCATTCTATCAGTAAGATAGCGAACTCGAAGCAGATAAATCTGGATTTATCAGATTGAATTCTATGCCGCAATACTAGTTTTACATTTTCAATGTGAAAGCTTAACTTTTAGTTTAAACAATATTTTATTAATTGCTGAAGTACAAGAAGAAGACACAAAATAAAAAAATGATTTGATAGCAAGCTTGAAGTTTTAAACGTAAAGCCTGTATTGTAATTTTTTGCTGAAGTTTTGAATATAAAGCTTGTATTGTAAATTTTTCGTAAGTTTTGAATATATAGCTTGTATTGAAAACGTTTGGAGACGCAATTTTCATGATTGTTTTATCTGCAATAGAATACCATTCCCGAGGAGGACCAATCGCTGTATCAGATTCCACGAAGTCCGAATTAGCAGAAGTCTACTTTGAGGCGGCAGAGGAAATCGGCCTCAAACTTCACGACTGTAACGGAAATGATGGAATCCAAGATGGCGTCTGTCGAGCGCAATCCATCATTGGAGGAGGGCAAAGGTGTAATGCTGCAAGAGGTTTTCTACATCCGGTTCTGGGGAGGAAGAATTTGCACGTGGCGATTCAGTCCCATGTAACAAAGGTAAGCAGTTCTTGCTATTTGCGTGAACATTACTATACACTTGTGATTGGTAATCATATAAAAATGGCCAATTGTAAATGATACGTTTTGCATCTCTTATCTTTGTTTTCATTGTAAAAAAGACTATGTGTTCCGTACATTTGGTAACGTTCAAGGTCCATGTATGACGGACATTTACGAATATTGCTGTCACCACTACTTGTATATATTTCTGTCACCTAACCGTTTCGACACAGTTTGATATCACATCCCTATGTATCAACAAGGCTTTGACGAAGGTAAGACATGGCAATGCAATTAACGAGTCTCGTTGCAAAGTTCCAAGGTCCGTGTCAGGGTTACCGCTTCTATTTATAAACAGACCGCTTCACAGGGATTTGGCACGAAATCCAAACCTACGGTCCTTATATATGTCTTATAGTGACAAGAGTTTTAACTCCTGTGTTTATATATATATATGTATGTATTCTAAGGGCAGTATATTTCAGAAACATATACATCACTTTTATGGGAAATGTTCTATCTTTCCAATGAGTATTTGATGAATGAGTTGGCCAAGTATTGACCAAATTATAACCTCATGAATTCTGTTATGAAGCACTACTGTCTCTCTGATTAGTACCTCAATAACCTTGCTAGAATAGCAGAATCTATGTTTCTGGCGGTATACAGTACATTGTCCACACAGAATACCCTATGATGTTATGTCCCGTATGTTGTAGAAATTCCATATTAATACTAAAGTCTTCCCTTTCTTCAACAACAACCACAATTTTTTTCTTTTATGTCGCCGATGAATGTACTTCAATTCTTCAAAATCTTATATCTTAAATTAAATCATTGCAATTTCACGTTTTTCCCCTTGAAAAATGCAAATCTCCGAAATTTCCTATTTTCTTCTTTTGGTATCCATGGTTTAAAATCTCGGTAATTCTTTTGATTGTGGACTCTTTGTACCCCTTGATATTTACGTTGTAGAGCTCGGCATCCATAGAGTTTATTCGGTCTGCATGTATAGTAAATTCTCATTTGGACAAGTTGTTGTTTTCTACCTCTTACGTTCCTTAAGTTCGATTACTGTTACTCAAATCATCTTGATACTTGCTTCAAATATTCGCAACTAGATTTCAATTACGTATGAAGTTTGGTTCACTTTGCGTTCGTATAATTGTTTATTTTCTCGACTTTTCAATCATTTGTGTTCTCTATCATCCTGAATATTTTGGAATATTTTCTTTGTTTACTTTTGCAGGTTCTTATTAAGAACAAGCAAGCAGTCGGCGTGGAGTTTATCCAACAAGGTAGGAAGAAGTCCGTGGCGGCCAGGCGAGAGGTGATCCTTACCGCGGGATCTGTTGGGTCTGCACAGTTACTGATGCTGTCGGGGGTCGGCCCAAAGGATCATCTGACGGAACTAGGTGTAAGTGTTCCATAAGGCTATGTATAAATAAATCAATGGAGGGAATTTTCAGACTTTTACTAAAAGCTTAGAAGCAGAAAGGATGTATTTCATAAAAACCGTATAACTATGGTTGCTGGGAACGGACATCCCAAAATATATTGCATTTCGTTTTTATATAACGGACATTAGTGTCTCTATTAACCTTATTCAAAAGTAAGGTCCTGTCTGATTTTAACACTTTCATACCATCCTGTAAGATAGTACCTACAGCGAAATTCTTTTTAAAAAATACTGCAATTGTTTTCATCAATGTCGCACAGATGGTTATACAGATTGTATTAAACATCTAAACAATACAACATTTGACTGAAATTAAATTGCCTTCTGTATCGTTGAGGTTGTCATATATCCTGCTTTTTTTCGAGAATGAAATAACATTTCCGATTATTTATACATTGAAAAGATTGGAAATCAAAACCCGTGTTATGATTTACTTTAGAAAATACATTTCTTCTACTTAAAACTTTTTGTAAAAGCACAAAAATTCTTACCATCTTAAACAACAACGTTGGTTATCCTTGGAATCGTCTTTTTCTTACTTAATGCTTTACTTCCAGTTCCGTCCTACCCTCATGTCCAGTAATGTAGCTTTCAATTTATTTTTACAAATGACACATATGGCGGTGATGGTAAGGTATCTTTGGATATAGACACGCTCTTTGTGAAAGTGAAATTAGAGATTTATCAGAATGCCATTATTATGATAAATATCCACAAAAATCTTCAATGATTGTTGATGAAAATTGCGTGATCATTTTTTCCCCCCAGTAAATCGTTAAATCGAACTAGAGAACTATATTTTGCGGAAAACGTTTAAAATGTGATACAGATTCCTGTCGTGGTTGACCTTCCTGTAGGATCTACACTAAGGGATCACATGATGTTCTTCACGAAAGCTGATATTGACAAACCAGTCAGTTACACGAATGCCAAAGTCTTCACGCCGCTTAACTGGCTTAAATATTACCTCTTTGGTACAGGTAGGTAGGTCTATTTTAGAACTAAAATTAACTGGATTTGTTCCACCATGTATTTCTGACAATTTAGACAATTTGGGCCAGAATAAATCTCTAAAGCCATGTCACGAGACGTCCTGCTGGGCGAAAAACATTCTATAAGAGGAAATTGATGCCAGTAAATTATATGACGAAGAAGCGGATAATTCGGTCTACATATTCGGTACCAAGCCGTTCTGCCTACGAGCGTGTCGAGCAGCATCCCTTCATCATAATAGCACATGCACTGTCAAACCAAATCAATAGATCGCAATGCTTTCATTTTTCAGTTTAGCCCGCCACATAGACCAGGAACCGTATTCACGAAACCGTTCTCATGCTCAAGCATGAATTTTGTGCTCAAGTCTTTATATCTTGTTTTAGTTATAAATAAAATTTATAAGAAAGGCTGATTTTGTGAAAGATTTGATAATATTTTGAAAGGACTTCAAGCCAAATGCTGTAATCAGTGTTGATATTTGACATTTGTATTATTGGATATGATTTAGGTGAATTATGAAAAAGTTATCTTGAGTACAAAATATATGCTTCACCATAAGAACGGTTTCATGAATACGGGCCCAGCTTTGATTTTTTACGTAATAACTAGAACCAATGATCTTGAGTTGTATTCTTGGCCAGTTCTTTCGAGGCCTGTTCTCTGTTTGGTTAGGATTTATCAGTATTATTTTTGTTCGTCTTTTCCCCTTGGATAAACAACATGTAAGTAAGTTAGTGCCTGTAACTAGAAACCAAAAGTAACGACCCGAAAACCATTTGAGAATTCCAACATACAGATTGACAGAGAGACATCATGATTCTATGAAATTTCCAACTCGTCGTGTACAGGGGTATGTCGATTATTTGTTATGTTGAAACCATTCGTCTAGGTTTGATGACCAGCAATGCCGCTATCGAAAGCCAGGCCTTCATTCGAACAGACCCGGAAAGGAAAACCCCAGACATTCAGCTGACACTTGTGAGCACGTTGGAGGAACATGGTGATTCGTACGGGCACTTTAACTATAGAGACGAGGTGAGATGACATTACCTTCTAGAATGGCCGATTGGTTGTTAGAACATCGTTGCCAAATTAGAGAAAATAAATAAGGTTTAAGCCACAACAGCCATCTTGCATCATCACATTTCCCTTTATCCTACGTTATAACGTCAATTAGCCAAACAGCGGTATCCTTTAGCAAAACCACATAAAATTCATGGTCTATTGATTTTGTATTCTTAGATAAACGAAGCATTATTCCAATCTATTCACGGATCGGGTGTGGTACCGGAAGGATTTTCCATCGCTCTGCTTCTCATTCAACCCAAAAGCAAAGGTTCTCTCCGCCTGGCAAGTCGCGACCCATTCGACTACCCGTTATTGGACCCGAACTACTTGGCAGACATGGAAGACATCCAAAGCTACATCAAAGGTATGACGTCAGGACATATATCGTGTAGGGTGGCCTCTCTTTTACGTTAGTCAACACCACTATAGTGCTTGCTCATTTGTCCCGTTGTCATGGCAACCAGAGTTACAATCTATTAAGATTCTCTTTTATTACTTTATAGGATATTTGGCCATAACACATACCCCCTAAAAAAACGGAGAAAAAGCAATAAAATAGATACATATAAGTAAAATGGGGGGGGGGGGGGGGGGGGAATCAGGAGTGTACTGTTACTAAACAGTCAATGGATTCATGTCAAGAGTACACTTGGTTTTTGCTTGTTATTGGTCTATAACAGAAGAAAAGACATTTAAAAGCTCGTCTGTTGCATTGTTAGAAGGTTTAGCCCAGGAAGATTTCGTTACCTGAATGCCTTATATCTATACATCAGAGCTTCCATTTCTTATTTTATTTCTCTAAGATAGACCAAGAAATCAAAATATCTATATATAAGATATATTTTTATCACAGATTGCAATATTTTTCATGTTTATACTATTTTCTTTGAAAATTGCTTAAACCCCAACATCGACCAACCAAACGTGACGTTGGAAAATGACGTCGATAACATAAAAATGGCCAATAGAAAGTCTTGTTTTATAGAGCTTAAAATACATACAAGTCTAGATGAAGACATTGTTGTTTTATATGGCAGGAATCCGATATGCTCAAAAATTGATGAAAACAGATGCTTTGAAGAAGCTAGGAACAAAGTTTCGTAAGATTGACATACCCGGGTGTCGAGATCATATTCCAGACTCAGACAAACAATGGGAATGTAATGTGCGCCACCTAGCGACAACGGTGTACCATCCAGCTTCTACGTGTAAAATGGGCGCCCTGTCTGATTCGACAGCGGTAGTAGACCCACAGTTAAGGTGATTCATTCTAACACTTTTGATCTCATTTTATTATCATTATAATTTGTAAATGTCTCTTATAGCATTAACAATAATGAGCGTGTACTTATTGATGACATTAAAGGTAAAGAGATTTAGCAGGTCAAGTAGCATAAACCCTTAACATTTCCCAAACAAAAATATGAAATATGCAAGAAAGTACAACGTTAATTACATTTTTGGTGAAGTCCATAGGCAAACAACTTCAAAGACATCCAATCGATACGGAATAATTTCACAAAAATATGACATTTAAACCATAGTTATGTTATTTAAATTGTGTAAATTTGTCCGTTAATTCCTCGCCCATTTCCTTGTCTATATGCTTATTTGAATTGCAATGTATTGACGATATAATGCAACTTGTAATTTAACCTTCTAACAGACAACAAGACAACTTAGAGATCATGAGGTAGCTTTAAGTCGGCCATTTTATGAGATAAGATAGAAAATGCCGAAACTTTTGTAAATGCAGATATTTGGGTTTAGCCTTTCCTTTCCAAAGCGTCGGATATCGCTAAATGATTGAGGGTTAAATTTGCTTAGAATTTGATCAGTTTAATTATTGAACTTTGATTTTCCCTCAAATTACATATTCTTGTTTTAGAGTAAAAGGCATATCCGGTTTGAGGGTAGCTGATTGTTCCGTCATGCCTTACCTCACTTCGGGCAATACAATGGCGCCTACTTTCATGATTGCCGAGAAAGCTGCAGACCTCATCCGAGAAAAAATTACGGTGAAAGCTCGTGGGAGCTGACAAATATTAGTATCCTAGATTGTAGTTGACAATAACATCTGTATACATATTACACGATAAAATCACCTACATTACTTAACACATAAACAGGGTTAAATATCACGTGGCCGTAAAAAATACATAAATGAAATAAGGACGAGTTTGCATTTATTTTCTCTGTTCACTGATGTAATGACACGCGAAGATCTGGTGTAATAATCACATGTGCATGTGCAGAACTGCGACAGACATCATAATATTTAGAACGAAGTTTTTCCGGTGTTTTCGTTCTATATATTACAGGTTTTTCATCAGACAATCAGATATAAGCTAGAACTTACCCCGAGCACACAAAATCAAGGAACCGATATCCACCAGTTAATCAACTCACAATAACATTACCGTTACACTGCCTCTGTCAAAGGACCTAGCTACTATGCCAGTCAAGATTTTGTCATGAAATCGTAACATCAAGAACATTTTTCTCCTCTTCAAAATCGTCTTGCCTATCTCGAGGACGTAAATCACACAAAACACATAAATGACCCACGTTAAGCGATTACGTCATAATTAATGTTCAATATAAATACCGTCATAACGGTTTTTTCCTCAGTTTTGCCACACTGCTTTTAAACTTCATTTTTGTGACTTCGAGTCAATAACAACAAGAGTATTGGTAGAATCGATGGATGCTCCCCGGATAAACGCTAGTTCCAAAAGGGCTATTTTTGACAAATTTAAGTATGAAAAATAACGAAGGGCAATAACTCCAAATTGTTCAAAAGAGAGTTATGGTTCTTGTACAATACACTTCTCCTTATCGAGATCTATCTACCTCTGCATTTTTGTGATATGCTTCGGACGAAATTAGGTCAAAGAGGCGACTATATGCTCTCCTTTCAGGGATCTGAACGATTCAATGTAAAAACGGCTTGTGATGCCAGACCTAGCAAGATGACATGTGTTAGGAACTTGAACAGCTATTCCCAATAACATGATAGTTGTTGAATGCAGTCGATTCGATGATTCAAGCAACCTATCAGTCGATAGTCATACTACGATATTATACATGAACAACTGTTACAACCTTTTTGAAACACAGATTTGCTGCAATAAGTGTAACCCCAACACCAGATTTTAGACATTCTAGCAAACATATATTTCTTGTTTCACACTGCACACTTATATGAAAACATAGATTTTCTTACACTGTCAGGGTTTCCTACCTTTTCGGATGCTGGCATTAACACAGTAAAGCTTTTATAAAGATTTGATATCAAACTGCAGTTTATTTTCGACAGTACAGTATCCTACTTGAACTAAAGCTTTGTAATATTTACGAATTGTAATAAGCAGACAAGGATATATGCGGAAGACGGAAACATGCCGGATAGAAAATTTAAAAAATGGATGGAATCAATAGACGGACGCTATCAAACATGTGAACATTTAGACAGAGGAAATTTCTAACACAAAGTTTCTCCAAGATATCTTGACTAAAGTCTTGGACGATGTAAAGACTGTAAATCTCAAATCAAAACAGAAAATGTTGATAAAGATGCTGGCTTTAATTTCTTGGAGAAATTAAATGAGAATTGGAAACGCTGATGTATCGATGTGAGGCATTCAGGTAACGAAATCTTCCTGGGCTAATATTTTACTACTTAAGTGCAACAATCGAGCTTTTAATTTTGTTATGATAACCAGACCACTCAAGCTCATTTTTATCGTTATACAATATATCGTAACAATATGATACTGCTAGTGGTAGGGTGATAAACAAAGCTACCGTATTGTGAAAATAGGTAGGACATTAAAAAAGTTTATATATAGGACGAGCAATGTTCACGTGATACCAATGTCTTTAAAAATAGCGTTTAAATGAATATGTGAAGATACATTTTAAATGTTACTTAACGTGTAATGAACGCAAAATTACGTGTTTTTACTTTAGTCTTGATTTACAATAAGATGTATTTGATAAGGTCACGTGCCACACAGGAAACGTATATTTTTTCAAATAAAACATTTGAATTTTTTGCACACATATTATTTTACGAACGTCGTTATATGATTGCTAAAGCCAAAAATTAAACTGCGTTATCGCTAAAAGTATGGGTAAGCAAACAGTTGACAGAATGATGGAGTAAATCAATAGCAAGAAATCATGTCTGGGTTTCGGAAAATACAAGGATCACAAGCCGTAAGCAAAGAAAAATAATGAAGGAGAAAATATAGTGTTTCGATAAAATAGGAAAGAAAGGCTTGACAACAGAATATAGAATCAAACCCCAACGTCGATGGAGTGATAGCAAATCTGAACAAAAGAAATATTTTGAAAAGCACTAGAGAGTTAGACCATATCTGTCGGATGGTAGGCGTCCTCTGCTTCATCGGCGAAACCAGCCTTGGAAACGTATTTTCATATTCTCAAATGAAGAAATAAAACTCATATCACGCAAGGAAATATGATACTTTCACATGTGTACACGATGGCGACCAGCACGTTTGCCTTCCTTAGTCTGTATGTCTAGATATCGCTTGTTTTAACTTAATCCGTCAGTTGTGAACATTTTGAACGGATATCAGTACAGTGTATATTGGCAACAAGCTCTTGAACTATGAAAGAGTTACGTGGCCGTAACCCACTCAACAGCCATAGTAACCGCGCACGAGAGGACAAGGAAATAGATAGAAAGTATAGTAAGTGTGTCTCTGCTGTTGAAACTGTTAATTGTTCCAAATAGGTATTGGCTTTCTGGAAATAAAATTTTAATAGAGTTTAACATTAAAAATACAGACAAGGATGATTCCGTGCACCTTAAGACAACCACAACAACCTGCAAGAAGAAATGGCCAGATGACCGTGCTTGGTTTGGATTGGTTAGGCTTCGTTTTTGATAAAACGTTCTGATGATGTTATACAAATGGAAAAACTGAAGTAAGAATGTCGGGCAAGGACAATGAATTGGCCAATCGTGTTGCAACGGATCCTAACATGACACACAAGGCTAAGAGCGAGTGTCGAAAGCTAGAAGTCTCCCAGATCATCTTTCCTAAGTTAGATTTGGAATATATGGAGACTTTGGCTTGCGGAACATACCGGCTGAGGCTTGCACCCGGATATATAGCTAAACATCAGACAGATGGTGGTGATTATGAGATCTGAGTGTACCAGCATGGTGATGGTGTCCTCAGAGGGCAAATACGATCCCGCCACAGGCCCCAAACCAAGTATAATTCGTGGATTCAGTTTATTCCACATGGATCAGACGATCCAGTCCAAGCATATCATTGTGTATGCCCTGTAGGAGAGAGAACGATGGCCATGTGTGCTCATGTAGCACCCATTCTTTATTATCTTGGATACTACGTACATTTGGCAAATGCCAAAGAGCTACAACCTTCTGTCAGAAATTTCAAAACTGCTTATGTTGAGCATGATTGGAAAAGACAATGATACGCACATTTTGATTTGTGACTTTCAGTATTTTTCCGGGAAGACTGAAAAGTTAACTTTTAGAGAAACTATAGAAAATAATACTCAGATACTTTGGTAAATTATGAATCGTATTAAACAACATACCCTGAAATTTTATTGGTTCAAATCAAAGAAATCTAGAGTTGAAAGCTTTCATATCATGTACATTCCTTATGCTTAGGTTATATTCAAACACCATGGACATTAGTTATCATTTCAGTTTACTTGGTTCACAAATTATTATTTTCCTACACAAGGCAGGATTTGGTTCTTAGAAAATTATACATATATTTTGAGGAATTGTCAAGTCTCTGTATCCATTAAAAGCTCTTTTGTGTACAAGAAACAGAATTTGCTTATTTCAAAACATCACAAAAGTTAGATGGTTTTACAATATCGAATCATGTAATTAACTCAACAAAATTAACTGACGATGTTTCTGATGACATAATAGAAGTAATAGATAATATATATATATATAAAGAATGGTTGATTGAAAATCCAATAGAAACACAGACCTCTAGATTTTGGCATTTTTGGAAAATAGACCATGATGCATTTTGACCATAAATTGACAATTTTACTGGTTTCTCGATTTTTTTCTGTAATTTTCACCATAGGCAGACAGTATAATGATCCAAATATTTTGTAAACAGTTTTGGTGTGCTAGAAACGGAAGTATGTAGTTCACTTCCGCAAGAAGTTGTCATATCATTACAGAATGCTAAAAACATTATGTTTCAAGTTCAAGATCGCTTAACTTTT